CGCCTCGTCCACTTTCTCCGCGCCTTCCACCATGTCGCGTTCTGGTCAAAATATTTCTCTACACGCCCTCACACCCTTGACCAGCTCAGACTCGTCTCCGCCGGGCAAGCTGCCCAGTCCGCGCTCTTCCAAGCTCTCGCATGAGACGATGCACACAACCTCGTCCTCTACACACGCGGCGCCATCGAGCGCGCCCAACAATGTCGCCGACACCATCACCCCCATAAACACGCCGCCCGAGACGCGCATCTCCGTCTTCCCAGCCGACGGCGTGCTGGGACAGCGCTCCACATACGACGCACAGCTTGACCCTAAACTCGATAAAAAGGCGCGAGGAAGGGGAGCGGCGAAATACACCACAATACTGGATAAGGTACGTGAAGGTTACAAATACATACATAGATGTGGTCGCCCTGTGACGCTAAGGCTAACTTAACTTGTGTTACAGGGCGACCCATCTCCTCCTCCCGACCCGCGCCTGGCCATTGCTGGCTACACCACTGGCAACTATGTCATCAAGACATCCTTCACGGGCGCTCCCAAAACAAAACTCCGGATAGCGCCATACGTCGCTAAGCCCTACTCTTTTGATCAACGCATATCATGCGGTCCAGGACCTGCGACCCAAGTCGTAGTGACGGGCTTCGATCCTTTGACACCAGATGCGCAACTACGTGGTTTCTTCTCCACTTACGGCCAAGTAGAGACGCTCCGCAACCAAGTACATCCCGATAACGGCAGCCCACTTGGGATATGTCTGGTCAAGTTTCGCGACACCCCACCAACGCGCGGAGTACCTGGCATCAAAGCAACCACCTCAGCAAAGCGAGCTGAGCGCGAAGGCACGAATCAGCGCATTGCGCAGCACACGATCAAGGTGAAATCTGATCGCGAGGGCCGGAGATGCCAGAAACTGATGGATATGGCGGTGCAGCAAACCCGGAAAGAGGAGGAGAAGCAGCGTGCCAAGTTCGCTGCGAAGACTGCTAGCGTTGCGGCACCAGCTACAACAGGAACCTTTGATCTGCCGGCAAATGTTCCCAAAGGCCCATCTGGCAAGGGCGCGCGTCCGCCAATCCCGATCCCTCGAGAACCCTTGACAAGGAAAGCCGCACTCTCCTTCCTCATTGAACGTGAACCAGTCAAGCCTACGCTGAAACGGAAGCCTTATATCTTCATCGCACACGCATACGTACCCGTCCTCAGCACAACCGTCGAACATCTCAAGAAGCGGTTAAAGAACTTTCGGTGGGCTTCGGTGCGATGCGACCAGACGGGTTACTATGTGACTTTTGAAGAGTCGAAGCGCGGTGAAGACGAGGCCGTTCGATGCTACAAGGAATGTCACATGCAGGCTCTGTTTACCTACGTCATGAACATGGAGTGCAATCAATACGGCGACCCCAACTATGAGCGGAGTCCCAGCCCAGAGCGCGTGGTAGCCGACAAGAAGCGGAAGGCCATCGAAGAGCGGATAGAACAGGAAGAGGCGGAAGATCTCGAGTGGGAAAAGAAGCAGCGGGCAGACTCGCTGGATCCCGTACGAGCCGCTTTGGACGTGCTCAAGCAGGAGCTCCAAGAGAAGCTTCTTGGTGACATCAAGACGAAATTGGCCGCGCCCACTATATTGGAACTCCTGGAACCGGATCTTCATGTGGAAAAGCGCCGCAAGTTCAATGTTCCGGCTCCGTCTACGAAGGAAGAGGTTGTTCGACCACCCGCACTTCTCGCCCCAGGATTCGATGCTTTTGGAGCTGGTACACCAAAGGGCCGCAATGGTGGTTTCGGTGGCCGCAATGCACGCAGGTCGCTGGGTGTATTTGATCCCAGTACCAGGCGTGGTAAGAAACCTCCGAAGGTTGTCAATGCATTTGCGGACGAACGAAGGAAGGCATCTGCGCCTAAACCCCGTATTGCCCGTGGCCTGCATCGCCAGATGATTGAGATGTTCGAGCCGGAGGAGTCGGATGATGAGAGTCGCAGCCAGCTCACTCGCGGTACTGAGGAGCAAGAGAGCCGACCCATCAGCCGTGCTCCTTCCACCGACGTTGAAGAGGAGGTGGAAGAGTCGTCGAGAGCTCATCGCGCTAAACGGCGCCGTATCGAGACGGGCTGGGGCGAAGACAGTGACGAGGAGATGGACGATTCGCATGCCAGGAGTCTACTCGCCCATTGCATTCATAAGGATCCAGAAAACATGGCTGAGAAAGAGCTGGAACAGGTATTAGCAATCCTTCCTCGTTCCTCGCCTATTTGGAAGAAGGCAGACAAAGCACTCAAAGGTTTCAGGAGGCTACGGAAAATTGAGCAAGAGGCGGATGCAATCTTTGGGGTGGAAGCAAGCCCGATTGACAAACTTGAACCTGAAGTCGTCATCACCCACGATGACGAAGCACTCAAGCCCATCGAGACTACTGAACTGCCAGAGACGCTCACGACACTCAAGAAGAAAGCTGCCACCAAACCCAAGAAGAAGACTAAGAAGCAGCTTGAAGAGGAGGCCAAGGCTGCCAAGGTCGAGGTTACGGAAATCGAGACACCTGCGGAAGAGGAGATTGTTGAAGCGAAAGAAGTCAAGGAGGTCATCGAAGAGGTCGTGGTTGAGGAGTCGACGCCGGAAGACGACGAGCGGGCCTCTTCTGTGTTCTGGGGCGTGTCCTCGGTTGAGCCTCGTAAGACTGTTGAGGATGACCTCAGTGTTGTAATGGACATTGACGGTTGGCAACACATGCTCAAAGACGAAGAAGATCTCCGTCACCTCAAGGCCGCCATGGAGTCCATCAGTGCCGCAAAGATTGGCGATGCACAATCTTGGGCGTGGAAACAAAAGTCTATCAAGCACCTCAACCGCAACGGCGAGGAGGGCGTATCGCGTACGGAAACCAAGATCGAAGGGTACTACGTTCCCAACGCGACTGGCTCGGCTCGTACAGAGGGTGTCAAGAAAATTCGCGAATCTGAAAAGTCGAAGTACCTCCCTCATCGTATCCGGGTACAGAAGGAGCGCGAGGAGCGCCAGCGACGCGCCAAGCAAGAAGAGCGAAGCGTCGTCTCTGTTGAAGGCTTCAAGTTCCAGACCAGCTCCAACAAGACATCCACCGCCAACTCGCGTGCCAACCGCGCCAACAACCGTCGTATGGTTAACGACATCAACATATCCAAGAACATGTCCGGCGCTGAAGGCGACGCTCTCCGCTTCAACCAGCTGAAGAAGCGCAAGAAGCTAGTCAAGTTCGACCGTTCCGCCATCCACAACTGGGGTCTTTACGCCCAAGAGCCCATCGCCGTCAACGACATGATTATCGAGTACGTAGGTGAAAAGGTTCGACAACGCGTTGCCGATCTCAGGGAAGCCAAGTACGACATGCAAGGTGTCGGATCGAGTTACCTATTCCGCATCGACGAAGACACAGTCATCGACGCAACCAAGATGGGAGGCATTGCAAGATTCATCAATCATTCTTGCACGCCAAACTGCACAGCCAAGATTATTCGCGTCGACAACACGAAGCGTATCGTCATCTACGCGCTGCGTGATATCAACTCTGGTAAGTTCAGTTCCTCTTTTCGGACACTTCATGCCACTGAACATCAACTAACAATGTTTTCAGACGAGGAACTCACGTACGACTACAAATTCGAGCGTGAAATGGACGCTACGGACCGTATTCCCTGTCTCTGTGGTTCTATCGGCTGCAAGGGCTTCCTCAACTAGTCAGCTTCGCATGGCCTCAGCTCTGCTTCGGCTACCCTGGCACATTCTCTTTGCGCTGGCGTTTCTTCAACATCACACTTTTGCAGCGCTACATCGCTGCTTCTTTTGTTTCAACACCTACACTTGGCAGGGAGCGAAAAAGGCGGCTCCTTCCCATGTGCACATGAAGCTAGGCTTCATCTTGGATTCGGGACTGGAAGAAGAGGAAATCTTGCATTGCATGGCGTTTTTCAGTGGCTACATATTATCACCATCTTCCTGGTACCCCTTTCTTCCTTTGAGAGAAAGGGCGCGAATGTATCATCTTTTTTTTTATCCGACCAAAAGAATGGGTGGCGGGGGTGGGTGGGTGGCACTTGCCCTTGACTTTATTGATGGGTTCAAGTCAGTCGGGTCACATCTTTGGCATTGTATCTGGTGTTTTGTCGCTGTCTCTTTTTTCACTACGCTCAAAATCACCATTTGTACTATTTTAACATCTCTACGAAGAAGAGGCGTCGATGGAAGAGTGGTAGAAAGCTCATGGTATATTTGTGTGTCGGCTTTTGTGCCGTGTTATCGACACCGGTAGCTATAATCAGTTCGCAATGGAACAGAATAAGAAGACTAGTCATATATCCACTCCTGAGGTCCCCGTATCTGCAGTAGACTGCGGTATACATGTTCTTTTTGTCCTAGCACCCCATTCAAGCAGTTCCTGTTCGCTACTTATTGAAACGACGTGCGGAACGCAGTGTCTAAGGTTCGTCCAGGAGACTACTCCACGGCCCTGTTGCGAAACCGGCGGCTTGGTAGCATAGGCGCGGGTCCCGGGGTCCGAAGGTATGGTGTGGGCTGTAAAGTGGCAGGTCAGAGATTTATATCGAGGTGGACGTGGGATCGTTTGCTAGGGTCATGGGAAGGAAGAAGGGAATGAGTAGTAGGTAAAGGCTGCCTAGCTAACTTACAAAAAAGGTCTTCTTGGAGCATTGTCAGAGTGCTCGCACGTTTCATGCCTAGGCGGTGCATGTATGTTAGCCTCTATCGTGTTACTATCCAACGTGAAATCCTGGAGGCAAACCAGCGATCAAAGGAGATGGCCTGGCAGCGCCGAGGGGTGATTGAGGCATGACACGACGGCTATTGCAAGTATCAGACCTTGAAATGGGGGTAAAGAGACGAGGGGAGCTTACCCAGAAGATGTGCTGTCCATATCGTGACCGTGACTGTATGCAGACTGCATCCATATATCTTTGGGAGCGTTGGATAACTGACCGAAGACTCTATCCCTGGAGAAAGAATTAGTGTTTGTGTATGAGAAGCTCTCTCACCAAGGGTTTCTGTGTACGTTTTTATTTTGGTTACAAGAGTTACAAAGGTAGAGAGTATCCTAGCGGACACTACAAGAAAGCTGAATCGAGCCTTCGAGATATTCGCCGGCTATTGCCGGGACGAAACCTTCAGTATGGGCAACGATTATCTTGGGGACTCTGCTTAAGTTTTGTGTACAAGTTGTTTAAATCCAGTGTCTTCACCACCTCTAAGACTCGGTCCTTACTTCGTCCATGTCGGCAAATGTAAAGGCTCCGAAATGACAGGTGTTCTTTTCAGTAAGAGTGTTGTCTCGTGAATCTGAAAGACGCTCCTTCAGGGTGTTTAGTATGGCCTTTCATTGTCGTGGACCCCGACTGCTCTCTCTTGTGTATGCAAGCTAGACCCTTTTTTTGCGAACGCAGATATCGTTCTTGCCGTGCTTGGAATTTAAGAATGAACGAAATCTATACATACCATGAATCAACACGCTCCTCCTTCTTTTGCTTCTTCAAGATATTCAGAATGACAGCGGCCTCTTTGATAGCGAAGTGATCGGCAATGTGCTGCAGGTGCTTCAGACTCCAATCGACGGCAGATTGTGGACAGCTTTTTGACCAAGCAACAACGTACAGGCTAAATATCAGTATGTAAACGTCGAGTATGTGCGGTATGCTGTGTGCATGTTGTTTACCCGTGCTTCCACTAGGCAGCTTATGCTTTGCGACTAGGTCGCAGTCCGTCATCTGAGGGACCGATGCAATGATTTCTTGAACTAGGACCAAGATGGCAGCGTTTGCTCGATCATACTGAGCGGCAACATCAGGGTCGCAGCTCTCGGAACAGGACTGGATGATCTCCTCGCAGAGAAGTATTCGGGCTATGCGAAGCACGTTCCACATCTGGGTGATCATGCGATCGGAATAGACGTCGTATACCCATGGGAATCTTTTGGGTACCAGTCTTGCTCCATCAGAATCAGATAAGTTTTTGCGTTCATACGTCCAAGCCGGGCTCGCTTCAAGTGCAACAATCTCGAGCTTTCGATCAAAGTACTCGCTTTTTGTTATCCTCTCTTCCGCCGTCATACAGCCTTTCCGCATCTCTGCAGCTAGATCGGTTATATCGAGCATCAATCCACTGAGCTTCCACTTTGGATAATCAGTGTTGACGAATTGTGCTGCATGCACTCGTATTTGTCGTATTGCATCGTCCACCACTCGTCCGGTACTCAATGAACATATCGTCGCATTCAGGGAAAGTCCCATCAACGCCCGCAGCTCAGTGCCTTTTTTGAATGACTCTACCCCTCGCAATTTTACCAATGTGAGAGCGCCTTCGATATGGGCGTGTCCTGATGTGTTGATCTCCAAGGCCGACTTCATGATCTTCTCAAAGAGATCCAGCAACAACGCTCCTTCGAAAGTCGATGCCGCTTTTGCTGTCGTAGGATCTTGCAGGGCGATGTTGATCTCCCGTAGTGCCTGACAGTACTTCCTACGTCCTAGATCTCTTGCAGTCTCGGAAGAAACCTGATGGGACAAGAAGGCGAGACTGACCGCTTCGATGCTCAGAGTAAGATATTTGGGCGCGGATCTTGGGTCTAGATAATTGTATAGGAAGTCCCATGTGCGACTGAAATCGGAGACGTAGTACGTGAAGAACATGTCTCGACCTAGGGTCAAAAGGTCTTGGGGTAGATGTCGAACCTTAAGCTTGGCTTTGGATTCGCCAACACATCGTTGCTTCAGTGGAGACCTTGTCTTTGCTAGAGCCTTTGTCCGTACAAAGTCGGTCTGGTCGCTGATCCGAATGTTGATCGTGTCGCGATAGCCGGTGCATGCTGCTCCCACTCGAATGCAAGAGCTGCAACTTGGCCGTTGTTGATCACACTGGATGTGTCAGTAAAGAAACCCAATTTTGAATCCGAGGCATACTCGTAGTCTTCTCTCTCTACATCTCTCGCAAAACTTGGATGGTTTGCCACGGAACACCATCGGATCCTCTGCAGCGTGGATGGTTTGTCAAACTGTGGGCCTGTTGATCCTCAATTGATACCAAAAGAAATAGAGTCTGAGTTCAAATTAGCTGACAAGTCTGACTTTACCAAGCAGAAGAAAGTTGTTGTGTGATGTATAAGGCTGCCAGCAGCATATAGATGACTGGAAGCTACCTGCCGTACTAGTCCCAAGAAGGAATGCATTTCGTGCTGCGTCCACTAGCGCGATGTAAGCATGAAGGACGACTGCGAGCCAGTCGCGTAGGAGGTAGATGTTGCATTCTGAGGTCTGGCCTATCATCTGATAGTCTGGACTTATTGATGAAAAGCCTCAGAAGGTCAGCAACGTTCCACAGCCGCGTAACTCACAGGTTCTCATCCAATGACAAAAGCGCAGATGCGTCGTATGCGCTGCTCGACCTGATATCCTAAATCGCTTTCGCCGCTGCCTACATCATCGTGCGTTGGATTCCCAAAAAAGTGAGGTCGGTGGGAAGAAACCATGTATCCGACAAGACTTATGTCGCGCCTTCCACCTCCATGCCAGGTCCTATCCCTACCTACAACTCGAGGGCGAGCTACACATGCATCGCAACACAGCGCACATATTGGGTACATCGCAGAAATCCATGAAATTTTAAAGGGAAGATAAAGGTGCATTCAATGCTTGCAGTCGATCTAGATCTTTGATGAACAACGAAGCCTAATCGCTATCGTCGTATTTATTTCCAACCCCAACATCACCTAGTAATATGTCATCAGGCGCCGGGCCCCTATGATTCCTCACCCACTCTGTCTCTACGCGGAAGAAGATCCATATCCATCTTCGCAACACCTCGAGAACCTCCATTGTAAAGATGCCTCCTTCCAAATCGTTGAAATGATCCAGATGCACACTGAGTTTCAGACTCCATGTACACCTCAGCATTGCGTCCACTGCAATCGCTGCGTAGTAGAATTCTTTGGCATGAAACCAGCGATGCCGTCTGAGACCCCGTGGGTATTCTGGGCTATCCCGAGTACGGGCATTAGAGAAGAGAGTAAGATCCCAATCCTTGGCTACGTCCCAGTAGAACGAGTACCCAGAGTTTAGCACCACTGCGACGAGCCACATACGGAACAACGTCGCTTCCGAAACGCCAAAGCGTGAAGGATCAGGCGAGCGTTGCAGAGCACTCAGTATGATGACAGGGAATGCGGTCGAGTATTTCAGTGCGTTGGCCAGATGCTGACCACCCCATCCTGTCGCTGGACTAACCTGCCCAGTTTGCTTGCTCGCCTTCTGAACACGATAGTATTCTGTGATACACTGCCGCAATCGGATCATCGAGGGAATAGCAATGATGAAGGGAACCCAGAACACGCCGCCGCAACTCCTGTTTGGAGGCCCTGTTGAGCTGTGCGAAGATGAGAAAAACATGCACAGGGAAACAAATAGATCGCCCAGCACCTTCGCATAACTCGTCAACGCATCGGCGAGCAGAATGTCTCCAAACTTTCCATCTTGGGCTTCTGCGATGCCGCCAATGGATATGCGCTTCAGCGTCGCCAACGTACGAGTCCGTCCATTGCGACTAACAAATGGCAGTGGTATGACGAAGCCAATGACCAGCACCAAGAGGTATAGGTTTGGCAGAATCTCCCAAGCGGCAATGTCTGTGGGGCTGCCATGTGTGAGGGTCCAGAATAGGAGCAGCGAGAGCGCGAGCGGGATGGAGAGGAAGGTTGCGATGCGGTAGCAGGAGAGGTGGTGCGGAATATGGCGGGGTGAGGTACGGCCCGGGTAGCGAATCAGACTTGGGACGTCTATCTTTATAAGGGTGAGGTAGTGGAGGTTTAGACCCCAAGCCCATATGCCTGTGCGACAGTTAGCAACGTCATTGAGAGTAGGCAGCGTAAGCGTTCGCATACCTAAGACTATTATGAGAGCGACGCGATACGGCAGGGGTAGCACGCGACTGAAGCCATCGAGTTCTGGCTCGACGGCGGGATCACCTTCCATTTCTCGAATGCGCGCTTGGTTCCGTGGCCGTTGCTGTGTCCCAGCCTGTGCTCTGCCGTATGATCATGAAGCTCCTCGATACAAAAGACGCTCCCAATTGGTCCTTCTCTTCTCAAGTATCTCCGGTCGTGTTGGCGCAAGGGGTTGCACATGTCGCGATAGCGTGTCCACTTCCCCAAGGCGATGGCACCAAACACGCTAGCTAATTTACAAGCCACTTCTTCAGCCGCCGTTGCCTTACGTCAGCATGGCCTTCAGCCTCATGCGAGCTAGCTGGATCGTGCCTGGCGGGGTGGATCTTTGGTTTGTGCGACGACCGCGGGAGCTTTGCCTAAAGCACAAGGCCATGACGCGATCATCGCGACGACAAAGTGACGCTTCTCCGCCGTATGCTATTGGGTACCTGACTTTGGAGGGAAAACAACGCCTAGATCTCTAGACTCGCTGCACTACTTGCTTCTTCTCCACATTCCAAGGTTTCCATTGACTGTCCCTACTTCGTGCGTCACACCACCCAGCACGACACACAGCACCTTCCACTTCATCTCTGTTCCTCCAAACCTCCAGCCTTACCTTCTTTCACTCCCATCTCGTCAATTGAAAGCAGACAGCAGGACAAACAGCAATCATGTCGCCTCTCTCTGTTCCTAAAATTTTCATGGCTGGCGGCGCGGTCGGCTTCGGCTACTACCTCTTCATGCGCCAATACTGGTTCCCCAACCCGTACAAGACACAGGGCGTCCAGAACATTGAGGATCGCTTCTCAGCTGGCGGAGGTCACCCTACGCACACACCTGCTGGAGGAACCCAGCGCGGTACGGGTACAATGAGCTCCCCAGACTTAAAACCCTGGAAGTACATAAAACGGGGTTTGCTGACATTCACTCTGTAGGTTCTGCGACCGCAAACGAAGGAAGGCACGACGGCCCAAGCAAGGGTCCAGACTCAGAGCACTTCAAGAAGAACATCAGCGAACAGCAGAGTGAGGTATGTAGAACACTGGTTTCGATGACCAGAGACCGTGCTAACGTGTAATAGCCTGTCTGGCCGAGCAAATTCAACGAGATACAATACAACAACCCCAAGGGCAAATAAGCGACTCCGAACCGATCGAGCAGACACAAAAGCATGGCAATATATAGCCAGGGGGCATTGGGCATCTGATGAATGGCATCATTGGCGTTTGGCAGATAGCGATGCACAACAGCATCCTGTAATTTTTTAAACCCCTCACTGTTGCGGCCAGTTGAGCGCAATGGGGCCTCCAGATAATCGAGAAATGACAAAACCAATATTCCAAGGCGCACCCGATGCCGTGCCATTGTCATCAATGCCCGGTACTTACTGATGTCCATGCTGTTCCGCGTAGCTGTGGAAGAGCAACTACACATGCTGGGATCATATTGACGAATAAGCAACGTCACACCGCAGCAAAACGAACCGAGGTGGTGCAGCGGAGAGATTCAGCAAGACAGTGTTTACACGCGCCGGCTATTTGAAAAGTGCGAGGTATACAAATGCCGGTGGTTATGTACGAAAGAGACCAAGGCCTATATCTTCGCATTGCCCGTTTTCCTTGCGGCTGTGTTTCTACTAGCATCCAACACAAATGCTACATGATGGCTCAAAGCCACCAGATCGCCTTCAGCATCGTGCACCCACACTTCCAAGTCCATCCTACCGTTCGCCACCTTCTTCATCCCCGCCCTAACCTGCAGCCACTTGACTCCCTGCGGCGGCAGCGCTTTCTTGATGTCCAGATTCAGTAGGAGTGTTGGATACCAAAAGGGTCCTTCTCCTTCGCCCTTGATTGACTCAACCATCAGCGGGAACATGTCTGCGACAAAGCCGACCGATGAATCCGTGAAGTTTGTCCCATCAGAGAAGCAGATCCACTCATCAGCGAGATGCTTTAGGCTTCGTCCTTCCCGAGGGAAATAAAACTTCACCCTCTTCGTCGCTTTTCTGAAGTTGGCGTGCGGCAATTCTGGTTGGAGCTTCCAGTTTGTATCTTCATCATTTTCCAGCTTTGTCAGGTCGACTGACGGGACGGGCGGTGAAAGCTTATATCCGACATCTTGGGTGAAGCCCTTTTCCGTATCCATATTGGAATTTGTGACGTACGCGACGACTTCCTGTCGGCCGTCTTGCTCCATGGTCACATGTACGATAGACGTTTGGCGACCAAGTTTAACATCGTCGACTTTGTATGTTGCGGGCCCGGCTTGGGTCCGTCTCAGGAACTCAATGTGGAGAGCTATGGTATGTGGCTGGTTCTGCTTCGCCAAAGTTGTGCTGAAATGTGTTTTGACTACCTCCAGTATGCTAGGAAGTCGAGATGTGGTTAGTCAAAGGTGTGAAGCAGAATGCGATGGGTCTTACCATCCTGTAACGTAGCCACCATTAGGAACTGTTGCCGTTAGTAAAAGCGGACGATGTTATCTCTGCTGGGGTCTAAAATACCGCTTCCGATGCTCCAATCATCGTGTAATGTGCATGAGTAGGTGTTGGAGGACAGTTTCTGTACTGCAGTAGCTTCTTCCCAAATCGGCATCTTGATAGGCTGATAATGCAGAAATTTCTTGTGTTTGGAGAACTAATAGGTCTTTATTGTCAGACTATCGATGTTTGAGGTTGTCGCAATGCCGTTGACCTCGGGAGGCCATGTGCAGCTATCGCGCCGCTAACGCCAAAAACAGAAAGAACCTCGGTCATGGTTGCACGGAGTTGTGGGGTTTACCCCGGTCGACTAATCATGACCAGCCGTCTCAATGCGCTGCGTCTGCCCTCGGTATTCCCAGGTCAGTTAGAACGCGACGGGCTATGTCCGTCTTCTCGTTCTGGCATCCTTCTACTTTTACTCTACTCCCTCCATAAGATTCCTTGGCTCGGTACTGATCATCATCACGACACCGATCTTCAACCACTAAGATGCCGTCCGAAAGCCAGTACCCTAGCTTGCCGATTCCAGACGTTGATCTGGTAAGTTTAGCATTCGGAGATAAGCTCTTTTGTGGAACTAATGCTGACATTTGTCTTTGATCATAGTGGGCGTTTCTCTTCGAAAGGAATGACAGGCCGTATGCAGATGACAAAGGTGTGTTCTCATGTTTTGTCAACATAAGTAATCACTAAGACGAATAGTGATCTACTTTGATCCGTACACTAAGCGTTCCTACACATACGCCCAGGTCAAAGATGCCGCTATCAACTTTGGTAAAGGGCTCAAGGCACTCTGGGACTGGCAGAAAGGCGATGTCCTCGCTTTGTACACACCTAACTGCATCGACACACCAGCGATAACATGGGGTTGCCACTGGGCAGGCGGGATCCTGTCTCCAGCCAACCCAAATTACACGGTCGATGAACTTGCATTTCAACTCAAAGACTCTGGTGCTAAGGGCTTGGTAACACAGCTACCTTTCATCAAGAATGCGCAAGAAGCGGCAAAGAAGGTCGGCATTCCTCTTGATCGGGTGATCGTGATGGGCGACCAGAAGGATCCTTCTTACCAAGTCAAGCACTTCACCAGTATCATCAACACAGCTGGGTCGTCGAAATGGCGGAGAACAAAGGCCAGCAACCCATCAGAGGACCTTGCATTTTTGGTCTACTCCAGCGGAACGACAGGTCATCCCAAGGGTGTGATGTTGACCCACCGCAACATTGTCGCCAATACGATGATGATCAAAGCCGCGGAGGCTGGTAAACTGCAGCCCACAGGAGGACCAACTGGCGAAGGCGACAAACTGCTGGCTTTCCTGCCATTCTTCCATATTTACGGTAAGTTCCTGCATGTGCTCATCTAGATGATTCTCAACTGACTTCGACTAGGTCTCACGTGTCTGATCCATCAAAGCTTGTATTCTGGCCTCCAACTCGTTGTAATGCCGAAGTTCGACCTGGAGGACTTCTGCAAGTTCATTCAAGAGCTCAAGATCACATTTGCGTATGTGGTCCCACCGATCGTTCTGCTCTTGAGCAAACACCCTCTGGTATCGAACTATGACTTGAGCTCGATCCGGATGATGAACTCTGGTGCGGCACCTTTGACGAGAGAGCTTGTAGAGGCAGTTCACAGCAGACTGCAGATTCCTGTCAAACAAGGATACGGTCTCTCCGAAACCAGCCCAACAACACATACCCAGCCCTGGGAAGACTGGGACAAGACCATTGGATCTGTGGGCAAGCTTCTGCCCTACCAAACAGCGAAGTACATGTCTCCAGAGGAGAAGGAGATGGCAGTGGGTGAGGTTGGAGAACTGTGGATCAAGGGCCCAAATGTCTTCAAGGGCTACCTCAACAATCCCGAGGGCACTGCGCACGCAAAGACAGCAGACGGGTACTTCAAGACAGGCGATGTCGGATACCAAGACAAGGACGGAAACTTCTTCATCACCGACCGCGTCAAGGAGCTCATCAAGTACAAGGGATTCCAGGTGCCACCTGCTGAACTGGAGGGTATCCTGGTCTCGCACCCGAAGATCAATGACGTAGCGGTCATCGGAGTCTACTCGAAAGACGATGCCTCGGAACTACCACGCGCCTACGTCGTACCCAAAGATGGATTGGGCAAGACGGACGAAGACGCGAAGGAGATCATAGACTGGTTGAGCGCCAAGGTCGCGCATCACAAGAGACTCCGCGGCGGAATTAGATGGGTTGATGAGATTCCAAAGTCTGTAAGCGGAAAGATTCTCAGACGGATGCTCAAGGTGAAGGCGCAAGAGGAGGAGGATAACAAGGCGAAAGCGAAGTTGTAGACTACCTTTACCTTGTATCAATAGGCGCGAAATATTTCAGGTGTACCACCTATCTCTTACCAGCTGGGCCATTGCGACCTCATTTGACTATCAGTTCCTTTCAGTTCCTCTTGACCGTCTTCTTCCTTGTCTCCTCTACTCATCTAGCCGAGAGGTATCGCTCTCTACCTATTCAGCCTGTGACAAGCTTCCAGAACAACCAGCTACTAGTGTAGTCGGCGTACGAGATCAAACAACAGCATGCAGAGTAGGTCGGACTTTGATAAGAGACCACGTTACACTTCCGAGCTGACCCTGCTGCAGGTCCAAAGTCTAACACGGCCATGCCTACCCCCGCCCTCAAGGGTACGACCAAACGCAAAGCAGAAGTCATCATCGACCTCGAAAATATGCCAGAGAAGAAGGAAGTCAAGCCGTTCAGACCAGCCAGCAAAAGTACAGAAGACAAGGAAGAAGAAGCCTTCTTCCAGGTGTCTGTCACAGCAAATGCCAAGTTCGACAAGATCCCAATTGCTTTGCGCAACAAACTCGAGGCAGGCTGTCAAACAGCCTTCTACAAACACATGTTTTCCCTCAAAGCTGGCACGATGCCGGAGTACCGCCAGCAATATGAGGTCTGCCTGGGGTTGCGTACACGCACGTTGTCTATGAAGTTCGAAACCACGGTTGCCGTTCCGAACGTCTTGGATCTCAGCATGGCTAACGCTGCACTGTTGGACTACTTCACCAAGCACTTCAAAGGTACACATCGTCTGCTGACCAAGGAGGCGTGCGTCGAGCTCAAGAGTCAGGGGGGTCTACTAAATCCGGATTTCATTGAGTTGTATGCTGTTCGACATGGCGAGTTGGGCTGGGGTTTCGATGCCGGTGGCTGCCTGTCGCTGTATATTACTGTCGTGGTTGACCACAAGTTGAAGGAAAGGGTTTTGTACGTCAAAGCTGGTGGGGTTAAACTCGAGGAAGAGAAGTAAGGCATTGAGAGGAGCGTGCAGAGCCCCGAGCGCAGATTGAAAGGATCAAATTTCGTTTGCAATGCGGTAGTGGTGACCTCTGATTTATGGTCTCGGAGATAGTGAGGGCCTTCTCAGCCATTGACCGAATGGTCGACGAGGGATTTTTGCGGGGCCATTCTTGCTGCATCTTTTACTTGGACAATTGGAACTGCGAATGTCAACACTGGACATCAATGATGTTCGTTCGCATCCGGGGTGGAAATGTGGCATGGTTCTTTTTCTGTGCCTGTGAAGCTGTTTAAGACTGGACGGTGGTGATGGCTCACAACAAATCATCACCGAAGACAGTCTGCGCATACAAGTCTTTCAGTAAGGAATGTAATTCAAGCCTTTGGTTGATGTTCGTGACTGCCGTCCACAGACATCGGAGAAGGCACGTGCCTGCTTACAGCTAGCGCCATCTTGGCACCACCGCACAGCCGAGCCAAAATTACCCTCTAGAATCTCGCGACTCTGAACCCATCTATCGACAACATCACGACCGTCACGATGCCGAAAGAAGTCAAGCAGAAGTCTGGCCTCATCGTTGGCCTTAACGCCGGCCACAGTACGTCTCCCCGCTCGCCGCTCTCGATACGCACCGACCGCTACATTTGAGAAAATTCGTGGATGGAGGCTAACACGGTCTACAGAGGTCACCCCCAGGACCCCCGCTCCCAGGATCTCGAGGAGGAAGGGTTTCCTGTCGAAGCGCACTGCCTTCGTCCGTGAGATCACCAAGGAGGTTGCCGGGTACGTTCCAATCCGAACTTTTCTGCAGAGGGACTGCGCAGTTATTTGTCGAACAGCCCGCTAACTTGACGTGTCTACAGTCTTGCCCCATACGAGAAGCGCATCATCGAATTGCTCCGAAACTCCAAGGACAAGCGTGCCCGCCGTCTAGCGAAGAAGAGGGTACGTCTCCCACCCTAGCACATACCACGACCGACCTCCTACCCGCTCCGGCACATCCAAGTATGAACATCAACTAACACATCACAGCTCGGTACCTTCGGTCGCTCAAAGAGAAAGGTCGACGAGATGACCCGCGTCATCGCCGAGTCCAAGCGCGCTGGTCACTAAACGGTTCACGAAACGCGGTGGATGAAGCAACACGGCGGACGAACGACCGACTTACTTTCCGATTTCTTCCTGGGTGTTCGGTCTCTTTTCACAACGGGCGGCTCGATACGATCTCGGAACGTCACAACATACCACAAAAAGTATGACACGATTCATCGGAGTATGGCAAATGGACAATGATGGTTCCTGAACGTACCTAGCATGTGTCACTCAAAATCATGAAATGTGACGATTGGTTCACGCCAAACCAACCTGTCCCAGTGCACCTATGCGCGTGAGGTGCTGATGCGTTGATGCCTACTTAGCATGGATGTCAAATTCCTACTCTATTGCCCTTATCAATGGCAGAGTAAGGGCCGAGAAATGCTTATATTGAAACGCGCCTTGCTCGGAGACGAGACTGCTCAGGCTTCACACTTCCTTGTGTGGGTGAGGCCTCGAGCAGAGGCGTGGACATTTCAGATATTTACGTGATATCTTCTATCAAGTCCGAAACGATTTACGACGTGAGACAGCACATGCAGCTTACTCGATTGTCTTCAGGCAACAGCATCAATGACAGAGTATTTCATATCGTTTGCGGGAATCGAACATCATGCATTAATCGTAATTCTGTCAAAGCCAGTAAATGCTCCAAGATGACTCCATGTAACTCTGCTGGCCACAATTATGACATCGTAGTCATCTAGTCGTCGTGACCGATCTTCTCCAGTTTGCCAATCTCGCGCTTCTCGCCAGTCTCGCCAACGAACCTGATACGGTCGATACGCGTCTTCTCGCTATCGCCCTCGGCGTCCGCGACAAACAGTACTAACGAGTAGACGTTCTGGAACTTGACGAACCGCAGTTCAAGCTTGGCCGTTTGTGTCTGCTCATCCCAATCTGACGGCTTCAGCTCGATCGTCTGAGTCGCTGGAATGTCCTCCGCCTCTTCGAATCCCAGATTATTTGCCCGGTTGGTCCAGACGTGAATGGTCTTTGGCCGTACTGGCGCCTCGTCGTCGTCTTCGTCGCCGGACACGCAAGAGGTGATGTGGATAGTGTGGACCTTCAGGTTGGCCATGAAGGGTACGTACAGCATAAGCTGGTTGTCCACATCGCTCTCTACCCAGTCCTTCTTGCCTTCTGAACCGGTGGCCGCGCCCTTGCCCTTGTTGAGCGAGCTCGGTTGTGATGTCTCGAATAACGTCTTGACGGTGCCGAAATCGCTGTCCGCGTTGAGGAGATCGAGACCCCGTGGGTCCACGGAATCGGTCACGTCGGTGTATCCGCGTGGTAGACTGGCGCCTATCCACGGTCCGCTTCCACTGCTGCTGCCTCCTGCACCAGAGGCGCCACTGTTCCCCTTTCCATCGTTCTCTGCCTCTGTGGCGAGGGTTTTGATCGCCTCGGAAAGCTGCTGTGGATTCGAGCCGGCGTACTTCTTTATCTGCTGGTTGTTCTTGTAGATGATGAACGTTGGGGTACTAACAAGCGTTAGAAAGCGCTCAAACATGTTGACGTGCTTGAGGAATGTGCATACTTGGTGACGTTGTAGCTCTGTGCAATCTGCGCTTGCTGTACTGTGCTGACTTTGGCGAAGGCGATCTGTCCGGGCCGAGTGAGCTGACCGGCTAGTTGGTCGTATACGGGCGCAATCGCTTTGCTGGATGTGTTTTCTTCATTGTAGACTGCAAGTACCACACATTAGCATCCGAAGTTTGCCTCGTAGATGCCGGGTCGCTGCTTACAATTGATTACTACAATGCGCGAAGAAGAGAGCAGCTCGCTCAGTACTGCAGGCCTCGTGATTTCGATGACCCTAGACATGGCTGTGGGTGTATTTGGGAGCTGGTGATGTTGTCTGTAGAAGAGGCGCGACTTGCACAGAAGGAAGCGCCCGACAATGAGTGGGGCGCCACCAGCGCGGGGTGGTGGCATTCCGTCACCGACGTGTGTACCTAGGCCGGGTCCCATCTGCGGGCACCGACACTTGAACACGCGGCAAGGCCACCTCGAAGCTTCCAGAAAGACAAAGCTGCAATCGCGAACAGCCGCCCGAACATCTGCTCCCTCAGCATCACTGGAGCCTAGGAAGACGACCACTTGCCGAGTCTATAACTATTCCATCGCCGTCGGAGCAACGTCCTCGCCATCGCGCGGCAACCACGTCTTTCACCACCGACCGCGGTGACTGCGCTGTAAACCCATACAAGCCTACGAAGGATTGGTAAGCGCCCCTACTGGCGTTGACCGTCCGCGACACTGTGAACATCCACCTAATCGCCTCTATGGCAGGCCCAAACAATCTGCTACTTAGTTTCGCCGAAGCAAAGCTTCTACACATCGCCAGCATTATCCTCCTGGTCGAACGAAGCGACGCCACCCGAAGAGCCCATAGCTGGAACTGCTGGTACTCCCGCGCCATTTTGATAGCAAACGCGCCCGCTGCTTTCCTTCTCGCCCACGGCCTCTACCGACTCCTACGCGCATGATGTCGCATGTCGTAGTATTCAACTCGTATGCGAGGACTTTCAAGATCCCGACTACGCCCACCAAGTACTTGACAGAGGTACGGGATGAGGCATGCCAAAAGTTTGGTGTCAACAAGGACCAGTTCACGCTCAAGTAGGTCAGAACATAACCATGCCTTAATTCACTGCTGACCAGTGTACAGATACAACAACAAACCCATATCCCTATCGCAACAAATACGGCTCGCAAACCTCCCCCAAGGCGCCCGACTAGAACTCGTCCAAGCCTCGCGATCACCCACCGTCATATCCGTAGCGCTCCAGCTCCCCGCGACCGAGAAGAACGTACGCCTCACAAGCAAGTTCGCGAGCAACACTTCGTTATGGGAGATCTTGCGACACTTTGAAAGTGGGCAGGGGACCAACTACAACTTCACACAGCGCGGCATCCCCGAGATGAGCGGCGCATCCGGTGCTGGCAGGCTACACTACGAGCAACCTGTTATCACTGTCATGCCAGGTCACAAGGAGCAGGCCAACTTTGTTGAGCTACAACAGACTCTCAGTCAGCTGGGTTTTGATAGCGGCTCAGCATTGTTAAAGCTGTCCTACAGGAATAGCGGAACGCCGCTGGAAGAGGCCATGGCACAGATAACGCAATACTTCAAGTCCAGCGAGCCTGCGTCTGCCGGTGCCGAAGGCGCACATGCTTTGACATCTGATCAATTAGCCTCAATACCAGATCCTGCCCAGGCAGCTCCGGAGGCGACAGAAGTCGTAGCAGGCGAAACTGTTCGCGACGAAGAGCCCGATCCAGAACCGATGGAGGTCGATTCCAAACCGGCCGCTAAACCTACACAAGAGCCCGAGGTGTCTACCGAGAACAACGCGGCTGAGAACGTGGAGAATACTTCCCCAGCGGCAGCATTGGCTGCGGCAACGTCAACAGCGTCGTCCGCACCCGTAGAACCCGTTCAATCACCAGCACCGACCTCCCAAACTTTGTCACAGCCATCCGAACAATCTCGCAACGTCCAGATCTTCTCTGCGCCAACATCGTCCACCCCACAAGCAGCGCGAAACGCATTCAATGAGAACGACTACCTCCCCACTATTGAACACGCAAAAGCACACCAAAACGCGTTGTTGACCAAGACACGGAATACGCGTCTGTTGTCTGACAAAGAGTTGGAGGAGCAAGAAAAGGAGCGGCAGGCCAAGATCGACGCTGCAGCCGAGAAGGGCGGCGCACTTCGCATTCGAATGCCGGACGGTGCGCTCATTCAGATGAGCTTCAACAAGACCGATACTGCCGTCGGCCTTTACGACTTCGTACGCGGCTTCCTAGAGAAGAAGAATGAGCCCTTCCAGCTCAAGAACACGGGTCCAACAGGTCGACTCGTCCTCATTCCCCAGGACAACAAGCGCTTAGTGCACGATTTACGCTTCTTCAACAACGAGCTCATCACGTTTCAATGGGCAGACAACGCTAGCGCTGAGGCAAGAGCAAGCCGACATACGCTCTCGCAGGAATGGCAAGCGAAGGCGCAGGCGCTTAAGGTCGAGGAACCGGTACGGGAAGAGAAGGCTCAGCCGCAGGCTTCTCAGGGCCAGACGGTTGCCGAGGGTAAGCGCAAGGCTAACATGAGCAACGAGGAGAAGGAGAGCAAGTTAAAGAATCTGCTCGGGAAGGGCTTGTTCAAGAAGAAGTAGATGTGTTGCAGATGGGGATGGGATCTTAGACATTCACGTGTTTCCGGACGAGCATTTTCAGGGAGTTTGGCATCGGCGACGGAGCGCTTTCTTCTGCAGTGCAGTGTATCCTGCCACTTAGAAACTAGTCATTAGTAGCAGTCAAGGATCATGATCAGGAAGATCACAAAACTCCGTTTGCATGATTCCACTCAGCATGAAGAGCTGCCAATTGGTATCGAGGAGTCTAATGTCGCATGTCGGGGTGGGTCGATGATGCACTTTCCCAGGTTGTCAACTAGCGGAAGACGCTTACCAGGGCTGAACCTCGAGTGAACATCTCTCCTTCCTTTCGACACCATCACAGTATCATCATCATCTGCACAGTTTGCTCTAGCAAGAACTACATTATGAAACGCCCTCGTCGATTCGATAGATTCGTCATTGACAATGATTATGGCTGACAGCCTGTGTTCTCGTTCACCGCGCGCCGCAGTCGGCACCAAGCGGCGAAGGTCGCCTTTGCTCCTAGTAAACACATGTGGATTGGGGGACGCATAAGAGCATGGAAGCTGTGGCAGCTATGATATGATGACCTCGACATGTCCTTGAAACGCCTCCATTGTCAACTGAACTCGCACGGGCGCCAGACCGTAGCATCCACTAAAGTTTTGTCTTCACCTTCGATCACGTTTGCATGACTGGATACAGCGTGCATGCTTGACGTTACAAGACAACGAATCTCTCCTTCACTGTGCACCACAATAGCCAGATTCGGTCGTCCTGCCGCCCGAGCTAGCAGCAAGTCACCCTCACCTTCACCACGTGTGCGGCAGTCTCGACAGATAGTCACTGTCTTCAGCTCGATGGCTCCATTGCCTAAACACGACAACCCAACAATTCCGCAGACACGGTACGTTCGCGGCGCCGAACCTGTCCAGCAGATACTGGCACTAAAACGAGCAGATGCAACCAGAATACACCATCTTAAGCTCCGATTCAAGCAGCTCGGGCGACGACGACGATATCATCTTCGTCCGATCGGTCGAAAAGCCACGCGCCTCGAAGGGCAACAATCGTCCAGCCAAAAAGCGCCCAAACCCCAAAAACGTCTCAGCTCAGGCGGTTTCCCCAAGCCCGGCGACCAGGAAGCGGAACGGCGGATATCAGGACACAAAGCGCACGAAAATCAACAACGCGTCGGCTCAGGCTGTCACTCCTAGCTCTACGGCCAGAAAGCGAAGCGACGGTGATCAAGCTACACCACGCGTCAACTCCAACAACATCTTCGCTCAAGCTCTCTCCCCAAGCCCTGCGGCCAGAAAACCAGTCAGTATTGGTCAAGGTCCAACGCATACAGAACCCTACGACTTCTCGACCTGGGCAGTCTCCTCCAGCTCTGCGGCTAGAGCGCAAATCGGCAATAGAGAGGCCTTGACGATTGCTGCTGAGATCAACACCACGACTCGTGGTTCAGGACAGAACGATACATCCATGCTCGCGACACGCAAAGTTCTGGAAGCAGCATTGGGCAAGGAGGCTTTGGAAAGCCAAGAGAAATCACTCGTGGAAAAGCAAAAGCGTACTGATCAGTATATTGCGCGGCTGGAAGAAGCAGTCAAGCAGAAGGGAGGAGTAAATGTTTCGCACAACCTCATCGCCCAGGATCATATAGCCATGTTGAAGGCGAGGTATGAGACAACGGAGAAAATCGCCTCGACAGAGATCAAGATACTTCGCGAGAGTAACAAGAAGCTCACAGAGGACAAGACAAAGCTTACGCGCAGTATCAAGCTAGTTCGAGACGGACATGGCGCTGTGGAGGCCATGGCACAAGAAGACGCTAGCGCGGAGATTCAGATACTTCGTGAGAACAACGAGAAGCTCTCTGATGAGAAGAGCCAACTTTTGCGCAGCATCAGTGTCATCCAAGACGAGACTCGTATGTGGAAGACCAAGGCAAAAAAGAAAGAAGCTGCCGGAGAAGATCTGGAGATACTGCGTGAACGCAACGCGAAGCTCACAGGAGAGAATGCTGAACTTGTACGCAATGTCGAGCAACTCAAAGACGAGCACAGTACTCTGCGGGCCAATGTCTCCGCCTTGACACTGGACATCTGCGAGCAGAAGAAGCTCTTCGCGTCCAAAAAGATGCGACGATCCAATGGAGACGTCAAGGTCGCCACAACTGAGACTAAGAAACTCAAGAATGAGATCAAACGCTTCAAGGCAAGGAACAAATGGTTGACTGAGCAAAACACCGACTTTTCCGGCAAACTCGCGGAACTGGATACTGAGCGCCGTACCACTCTCGACTACCAGAAAGCCGCAAAACAGTCAGCAGAAGAAACTTCACTCGCACGTGAGCGCATCGGGAAATTGCAACAACAACTCGCCAAGCTGGATCAAGATTTCCGCGAGCGAGGTGAACAGCTTACCGAGCTTAGCCGGGACGCCGAGTCGAAGCGCAAGATCAAGAATCAGAATAAGGCAGCCATCAAAGCTAAGGGCCTGGTACAGACGCGTATGGTAGGTATGTTCACGAACTATCGGAACCTCTTCAAGAAGAACAAGGCTCTGCTGGAGAAGCTGAATTCGACGGCTGAGGCGGGAGCAGCTGGTCAGGAAGGAAAGACGTACCGCAAACAGCTGAAACTGTTGAAGGGTCTGCCGCTGAAGAAGCTGAGCGAGTTCAAGAGTCAGGACTAATCAACTTTGTCGGCGGCCGTGTACGGCGAGGAGGTTGTCGGGCTCTTGTGACAGACTTTCGTCGCGGTGCTACAAGCGGGCGTCTATCAGGTGGTTTGCTCTTATGAGGAGAGACACTTGATGTACATCATCATTCATGTTGGTATGCAAGCGCAGGAGATTGTCCGCGCTATCATGGCAGCAGCCCTTCCTGTCTTCCAGACTGGAATGTTGGCTTTCGAGAGTATGAGCATGAGCATCTCGTCGAGTAGCTAGTCCAGCCCTAATGTGTCTAATTCTCCTACATTTCTCTAACATCCAGCTCACTGTGACGTAGAACTAACGAGAAGATGCCGAAAGGCATCGCGGTACGGGATAAGTGTGAGATGAGGAGTGAACAAATGAATTCCTGTAACTCATAGCTAGAGCTGAGTAGGTGGCTGATATGCGTGACATGCAGATCGCGTCATCGGTCATTGTTCACAAGTTAGCACGTGTATTTGCTATTTGGCCCACGCGCAGCACTCATTGAGCTCAACTCAAACAATTTCCAGATTGGTACAAGACGATCTGTCTCTCGCCATCCCGTACTGTTCTTTCATCTTAGCACTACGTTATGTCCTCTTCACAACAAACCAAACAGAAGACCATGAAAACTACTCTCTAGCGCCTCCAAAACGAGATGAACATCATGGAGAACGAGAGGAAGGCCGTGACCGTTGCGGGTCCGGAATGGATTTACGAGAAGTTGAAGTGGATGGTGGAGAACGCGTTGGAGAAGATCACGAAGAGGATTGACGAGCTTGAAAAGTAGCTGATAGCCAGGATGGAAGGACTGGAAAAGGAAGTGGTTAGTTGAGACGTGGGGCAGATGGGTATTGTCTTTAGATCGGTGAATGAATTACCTCGACGTCTCGGCCACCAATCTTGTAGTAGTGATCATGAGCATAGTCATGATACAATAACTTAATTGGATTATCGCTAATGAAAAAAAAGGCCAAATCATTGTTAAGACATGCAATCGCCTCGTCACTAGGAGACCCTTCACATTGGAGGACGGGTATCGAGCTCATATCATGTCGTACCACGAATTCAGAAACCGCTGATTGGCCATCTAGTCATGCGATCCAGTCATTCGGTTTGTGGCAAACCTACAAGAGACGTAGTGTCGTAGCACTATAATATATCCGCTTTCTCACTTCTCCCTATTCTGTTCATCTTCACTCTCTTCTCCACAACGACGAGAAACACACGCCCAATGGACCACACAACCCCTCAGAAGAAAGATATAAAACCAGTCACCCAACCCGCCAAGGCTGCTAGGCAATTTCTCCTGGAGGACCTCAGTGCAATCAGAGCTGATATGAAAAGTCTTGCCCTACGATTCGATCATTTGGAACGCAATATCAAGGCCGCCAACAAAGCAGGAATAGACGGAAGACTCACTTCATTCACCAAGGCGATCGCCACCAGGAACCGTGATGAAAAGTGGGTTAGAGCTGAGGATGCCGAGCAATTGACCAAAGAGTTGAGGGAGGAGGAGGAGAGAATGAAAGACTCGGTATTTTACTGGTTCAAAGACTTGAAAGTATGGCTGAACAAGGGCTTAGCGAACGTAGAGGAGGCTGAGAAGAGGTCGCGTGAGCATCGAGATAGGGTGTCGAAGAAGATAGATGCGTTTACGCACGAGCAAGAGTAATTGGGGGCATAGGCGTTGGAGTAGACCAACTTCGCCTAGCATAATCGCAAAGAGCAGTTAGTGGTATTAAGATAAGTGACATGCGCATGGACAGGCCCAGAGCTCAGTGTATATCTCCGTGATCAAGACGTGAAGTCATGGGTTGAGCAAATATAATTCGTGATACTCTTTCAAAGAACATGTTGTAGCATCCATCTCGCTCCTCGCGGACAAGGCAGTTTGTCATGACTTGCGTACTGAATTACGAGAGAATTTCGACATCACTCTCCCACCAACTTGCATGTTCCATTGACTTCCGTTCATACAAACAGACAAACCAGGCCTTGCCATATACGTATACCACTGGATCAGCAAATGAAAAAACAGTAAGATCACAAAATGTCACTTCCCATCCAACCACTTCCTTTTCGTGAGGAGATCGAAACCCTGTTTAAACGCATCGCAGTCTTGCAGAAAGAACTCAACGAGAAGACAGATAGACTCCACTTCTTATATGGCTTCGAAATGAAGTCTGCTCCTTACACGCCTGCGCCGGTAGACGATGACAACGACAACGAAGAGGCCGAGAATGACAAAGATGGCGACGAGAACGAGGATGAGCAAGAAGTTGAAGGAAAGAAGACAGGCGTCAAGAACTCCGCCCTCAAGACGAGCGTCAAGAAATCAGCTGTCAAAAAGACAGTCATCAAGAAAGGTGGAAGCGAGAAGAAGAGACCAAGACGATGCAAACAGTGTAAAGAGCACTACCTGGAAGACAACGCTGCGTCTAACTTGGTGAATTGTAAGAAGTGCAGAGATGAGAACACAAAGATGTGGAATGAGGGACGGGCAAACAGGGAGCGAAAGCGGAAGGAGCGAGATGCAAAGAAAGCTACAGGGAGATGAAGTAGAAGGAGATGAAGTAGATCTAGAAGAGGACCTAGAAGAGGACCTAGAAGAAGACTCAGAGGAGGAGGAACAGGAAGCAAGGAACACCCAGCGCAAGCAACCTAAGAAGAAGGCTGGAAAAGCTGCTTCAAAATAGACTTAGCTTGTCACCATCATGTAGTTTCAAGTACAGCACCACCAAAACTCTCATATTCACCATCCCAAATGTAGATAACCTAAGATAACTTCCCCGTCCTCCTCCCCAATCGTTCATGTTCATGCCTGTCCAGGACCCAATCGCTCATGCCATGGTATAGTGCCCGAATGAATGACGCCAGTAAATGCTTCGACAAAGCTCGCTGAACCCGTTTTGATGCCGCTAAAAACAGAGGTGAAAACAAATATACGCTCGCCATGCTCTTAGCCCCCCAAAATAAGAATAGTCCAAGACTAAAGGAGTGTGATGCCCAAAACACCAAAGCAATAAAGCGATAATATAAAAGAAATATATGTTATGGTATGATGTCGTGTTAAATAAGAGGGCCCGCCATCATAGGACTTCCCCGCGTGTTGTTTGTTAGAGACGGCTCATATGCTCCAGGTGAGCCCGACGAACCCGGTCGTGGTCGGTAGTAGCTGTTTGCATACGCTGCGGGAGGAGCAGCATAAGCACCTTGTTGCGGTGGGAGAACGCCGGGTGGCGTAGAGTTCAGCATGTTGCGGTTGCTACGGCGTCGACCAAGCACTGGTGATGCAGGAGCACCTTGAACCGTCCCAGTGGAGTTGCTGGACTCGTTTGAATTACTCCTCACGTGTTGTGCTGTAGCTGGCTGCTGCATCTGAGGAGAGCCGGTTGGATTCGCCGGACGCTGGAAGCCTTGGGTGAAGGGATTGGTACGAGCGGGCACACTGGTGTCTCGCTGACCAAGTGCTTGTCTTCTGGTCTCGATAAGTTCTCGAGCCCGAATATTGCGTTCGTCCGGAGTCAGTCCGACGGAACGAGCAGCAGGTTGCGCAGGGGCTTGTACGTTCTGCGTAGGCGATGGGGGAGGTCTCCCATTGTCAGCCGTGCGCAAGGCTCGTGTAGATGGCTGGGGAGCGAGTTGGCGCCGCGATGGCTGAGGTCGTAGATTGAGACGTGATGGCTGAGGCCTCACACCTTGCGGCGGGTTGCCAGCCTCTCTAATATTGACGCGAGAGCTCGCTGGGCGCAAGGTAGCTACCGAAGACTGATCACGGAGAACTTGACGTGAGTTACGATTGCGCACACCACGTGCCTGCACGAATGCAGCCCAAGGGTTACCGCGCGCAGCAAAAGGAGGAAGAGCCGCACCCTGGACATGCAAGCCCATGGCAGCATGAGGAAACGCGTTCGCTGCGGCAAAGTTGCCAGAGTTCCTCCTGCTATTTGCCGAAGATGGGCGAGCACCGACTCGACTTATAGGACGATCTATCATGTCCATGGCTGCAGCTGCCTGTGTCTGTGCTATCGTATCGATGGAGTGTTGCGAAGAGGCCGAGGAACTTCCAGGGGTCAAGACGGCAGAACTATTGCTGTTGGAACCAACAGAAGGCGCACGATCAAAGCGGCTCATGTTGCCGGCATTGCCCATCGCTGGTAAGCCTGGTGACATGGCGCTTCGTCGAGGTGGCGATATTGGGAGTCGCGGATCCATGATATAGTTCGTGCCATTGTCCATAAGCGGCGTCCGAATGCGCGCAGGAGGTAGAAAGGGGGAATAAGCTTGCGCGGGACTGGGCCGATTTCTGTTCCTTGTTCGAGGGCGAGACAGCGGTGTCATGGTGCGTGGTTCAACGTCTATCAAGGCGCCTGCCATCTGGTGTTGTTGGAGAGCTTGTTGATGGGCAGCGAACATCCAGCTGATACGCGGATCGTATTCCCGGCGTTGCACGCGAGGAGCCCCTCGCCTGTGCCCTTGGGAATTATCCGAGTTATCATCAGTGTCCGCCTCGTTGGTTCCATCCGCAGCAGCAGGCCCCTGGTTGTAAGCACGAGCTGCAGGGTTTCGCAGATGGGCTTGTGAGCGGCGCGTCCGCAAGGTGTTCAGGGCTAGATCGACGTCGCCATCTTGGTCAGAGTCATCGTCGTCGGCTTCCCCATCTTCGTAGTGGGCTGTCGCGCTCGACAGGACAGAGGATCTTCGGCGGAGACCACGCGAGGTATTCAAGACGCGGACATTGGCGGTTCTGGAAGGCGGGCGTATTGGGGCACTAGGCCGAGGACGATCTGCAGTAGGTGTTAGAGAACCGCCCATTCGGCTTCTGTCATTTGAGTTCGCAAGCGGTTCCCACCCAACGGTCGTCCTTCCTCCATCGCTGTCATCTTCATCCTCTTCTCCCATCTCGTCGTCGTAGTCGCGTTGTAGCTCCCATCCCTCCTCTCGCAACAGTGCCTGTGTATCCTCGTCGAGCTCCTCAGTGGAGACGTCGGTGGATGTTGTTGACGCTGTCTCACGGGAGGATCTCGACCCGTTTGCCCGATGTAAGACACGGGTTTGAGCAGGATTCCTCATGCCCCTACGAACGGGCCCCTCGTCTTCCTCGTCTTCGTCTTCCTCCTCGACGGTGCTCGAGCGGTTTGATGATGACTCAGATTCGACGATGCGACGTGCTCGGACACGCGCTCTATTACCCGAAGGCTGGGCAGCAGGGCCAGGAGTGGACGATGCGGCGCTGGGTGAACTCGATGCGGGTACGGCCTCGTCATCGATAAAGTCGTTCATCGAAGAGTCCTCGTCCAGACCATCTTCGTCTTCCTCCTCGACCGTATCCATCTCGTCGCCGTACATGTCTGAGACTATACTCTGTGAGTAGGAGCGTCGGCTGCCGGCTTCGCTGTGCGTAATCGGTCGTCGTCTTGCGAATGCCGCTGCATTGGGTGCCATGCCAGCGTCCAAGAAGCGTCGCATCATGAAGGATCCTTGATCTGGTGGGTATGCGCCCCAGTCTTCCATGCCGTCTCCGTAACCGTCGTAGTCCGGGTCCTCCATGTCCATTTCGGCGTCGAGGTCGTCTTGATCGTGCTCTGACATCTCGTCCATGTCACTGAAGCCGGTGAAGCTGTTGCCCCACGAGACTTCGCCTGTCTCGTCGAATATCAGTCCGCAATGAGTGCATCCGCCGTCTTCCAGCTCCCAGGTACACAAAGGACATCGGTCAACTCCATCTTCTTGATCGCGCACGATTTGCAGTGACAGGCGGTTTTGGTGAGGCGGAAGCCTGAAGCAGCCTTTGAAGAGACCCCCAGCGCGGGGGTCCGCGTTATCCTTGTCCAGCTGTACAGCATCTGCCTCGTCTTTCTGCCACTTTTTGTGGTCTTCTATGCTCTCGCCCGTAGGTAGTAGTTCGGCTCGTGCAATGAAGACGCTCGTCATGTCTCGTATCTGACCAACTATGTTAGACGTCGTCGCTGAACGGCATGCACGCTGACTTACCACATAGGCGGGGGCGGGCAGGTCCTTTACGACGATGCGGCAGTCGGGGCATGTCTTCCGGGCCTTGTTGGCGACGAACCAAGTGCAGAGGCACTAGGCATGTTAGAGGATGGCATATTCGGTGGGAGGGTGCGCGTCTTACTGTATAGCAGTAGGTGTGCCCGCAGGATATGGTATACGGTTGGTAGAGTAAGCGGTCACAGATCTTGCATGTGAGATGCGTGCGAAGGCTGTCAAACTCCGACTTGAGCGCCTTGAGTTGCTGCGGACTGTTAGTCGATACACATGTCGTGCAATATAGAGCCGCATACTTCATCTGCGCGGCCCAGCTGTGGAGGCTCTTCCTTCTTGGTCAGCATCTTCTGTTTGAGGCTGTCTTTGCTTGCCGCCCGCGTCGGCTTGTCCTGGTCGATGAGTTTGGAGGCAGACCGGCTGGCAGTCGGCGTACTCCCGCGCCCGGCCCGTGAATTTGAAGGCATGCCGGTAGACTGTTGCGAGGCAGGCGCAGCATGTGACGTTGTGTTGGAGGATGATGCGATGGACGAGGCCGAATTCCTGGGGCGAGCGGTGGGCGGGGTTGGCGACGCTCGATTGTCCATGGCGGGCGGTGACTCTCTTTTCTCACGGCGAGGTGCAGCTGGGGGTTGAAAGACGGAGCATCTGCTCACATGGGACTTGCCCTTGTAGAGAAGAAAGACTATCGTTGGCAGTGGTTATGCATGCAGCAGCGGGTCTACTAGCCTAAGCATGTTGGCGCTCGGTCGCTGTTGCCCTTGCCCTCCGACCATTTGCCGCAGCAGCCGTTCACTATCGACCTTCACTCCATCCTTAGCGCCTGCCGTGGAAAATCACCACCCTCCAGCGCCAACCATCGCCAACCATCTCCATGACTATCTATGCTCTCATACCTGGTCTATGCTGATTGGACCTAGTGTTTCTATGGCAAGCTTGACACGCCAATGACGTGGGCCACGCGACTCGTCACGTTCCTGTCACATTCCATTTTCGCCCATGCCATCGTTCAACGTTTTTGCTTCACGTTCCTTTTGAACCTTTTCCCATTGAGCCGCGGTCCCAAATAACCACAGGTCAAAGACGCCAAAACCTGGTGCTCCCGGCGCACGAAAGAGAGCCTCTTTCTCCACAAGCTTTCTAGCTTTCGGCGCAGCACCACCACATGCAGACGCGGTCGAATTGTCTTTCATTGTCGCGCTCACAGCTCATACTTGTCTCCGCTCCGCTTCACTCAGAGTGCTGATCCTCGCTGTTGTTAGAGTCTTAGTGCTCGACACTTATCAGGTCCATGCATAGAGTCCACGAGAAGGAGTGCCTGTGATTGTAGGCGGGACCTTGTCGGCTCCTCTAATGCGAAGCGTGACAAGCATCCTGGCCGCACTGTTCAAGTGCGTAAGACGGGATATTCTTCAACATCATCCTCAAGCTGCGCACCACCCCGATCAAGTCATACAACCTGTACTGTGCACAAGACCGCCTAGCCTAACGAAGAGTGGTGGTCTCCTGCAATTGTAGTCCTGGCCAAATACGTTACCAAGGTACACGATCGCTTGTCAATCACATGCATGAAGCATACAACTCATGACTAGGGTGCTAGCACTATCTCGTAAGCAGAATTCTAAGTTGTGGATGGCACGACAGCGTTCTTGATACACGCGACATGCTGTTTATGTGGGCTGGTCGTCCTAGCGCCCGCAGTCCTCCCGCCCCCACACTGGATGAAGCGTTGATAGAGCTAGACGGGTCGTCACGTACCTAGGTATGTATACGCTGGCTAGCTTCCATGGTTCTACGCGTGGGTCTCAATAGTAGGTAGTGAGGAAGCAAGCAGCCAAGTCAGGTCTTCTTGTAGTGCGAGAGAAGTAGTTCAAATCATTGTAGACTTGGCTGCTGTGATGGAGCCTAGCAGTCGCAATATTTGTAATTGGAGGGCTGTCATTATTAGATACTAAAGTCTAGTGCCCGTATTGCGGACCTCGGGATACGCAGGGCAATTAGTGATATCGGGAAAGTGCGTGAGTGCCTCTCGACCTCATGTATGCTCTCTTATCGATAACACACCTCCGCGGCGCATCATCAACGCTCGTCGCAACTGCCATCTTCAGACTGCCTGACAATTACCCGCCTGTACGCGCCCAAATACTCTCTAGGCGCACTCTCTAGACGCCCTTTTCCTCGGCCTTCAATATGTCCGACAAACCGACCCCCTCGAAAGCCGACGAATGGAAGGGTTCCAAAGCCAGCAAATTCGACAAGTACGCCACCGCAACGATCGCGTCGCAAATGTATGCTGCACACAACAGGCGCTGATAGATTGGTATAGCAAGGCGTATAGCGAATACTTCGATCCATGTCAAGAGGCGGCGGACAAGAGTATAAAGTGTTTGAAGAGGAATGGTGGAGAGAGAGCTATGTGCTCGGATTTCTTTCAGTAAGTGCAGTACATCGGGGTTTCAGGACTCAGCATTGCATGAGGAGGTCTTCTGCTAATACGTGTTCCATCAGGGCATACCGAGAATGCAAAGAGCAATGGGTACGTGTTGCCCACCCTCGATCCAATGCGACCGCGACCATCCCTTCATGCCGTACAACGCGTCGCGAAACCGCCACGGAAGAGATGCTAATGTCTATACAGCAAGAAGCAAGGAGAGAAGCGAGAAGGAACAAGTCATGGTTTGGTTGAGCAATGTGGACAAGATTCGGGACGCGCAAATGTACAATATCTCCTCTCTCCATAGGCAAGGCGTTTGACAATGGTTTACGTTTACTGTAACATAGCTGGATCCACTGGAGGTACTGATCTATTGGACATGGAGTTCAACTGACTGTTAGATAGTCTGTGGAAGGATACAAGCAACCTTACTGCGCTTGCTACTAGGCGCGACAAGCAGAACTTTAACGCCATCACCGAAGCATCTTCGTCCCCGCAACACACATTCATCTGGAGCCATAGCTTGTACTCTCCTACCGCGGCAAGCGCGAACTCCAGTTCCAACGCCCTGACGTAGATACGATCACGCAATTTCCCCAGACAAGCAGCCAACCCACCCTCGAGTACTGACGTGCTCGATTCATTGGTCATGCTCGTCGTACTTGCCCTGATTGCCTTGCCCTTGCAGCGTGCATGAGGCTGTGTGCTGACGATCTGCACCCCACCACCCCACTAAAGCTACCCCTCCAAGGCATTCCAGGTTCCTTCTTTCCGCCCGCAACAACCTTCCATCCTCCACTCATCTCCTCTCTCACTCTCCAACTTCATGAGAAGCCTCCTTAACCCTTCCTCTTTCCAACGCGCAACAACTCGAGCTTTCACCACGACCGCACGCATCATGGGTGTCCAGAAGACCATCATCCAAGAGGGCAACGGCCCATCCCCGCAGAAGGGTGACAAGGTCACCATGGAATACACTGGCTGGCTCAAGACCCAGTCCGGCGACAAGGGCAAGCAGTTCGACAGCACCACCGGCCGTGGTCCCTTCCAGACCCCCATCGGTATCGGTCGCGTCATCAAGGGCTGGGATGAGGGTGTTGTTCAGATGAAGCTCGGCGAGAAGGCGAAGCTGGACATCAGCAGCGATTTCGCTTACGGCGACCAGTAAGCCTCCATGCTGTTATCTGATTAATAACTAGTACTGACTTCATGATAGGGAGTTCCCCGGCTTGATCCCCCCTCACTCTGACCTCATCTTGTAAGCTCGCGTCGCGTAGGGACTCAACGAAATTGCTAACTCCGCGATAGCGAGGTCGAGCTCAAGAAGATCAACTGAGTCTACGAATCATCCGACGACGGGAATACACAATGATCACTATCATTGAATGGAAATAGTCAGAGGACAAATATAACATTCAATATACTGCGTCATAAAACTCAGTCGCCAGTCCACGTTGTCTAATGTGCAGTTACATGCTTTCTCATATCCTCAAATCATTATTTTCAAGCTCTCCAACAACGTGCGATATTAACTCGTATGTCACAGCATCGCCCGCGAAGGACCGTGCCTAGCCATGCGAGCATGCAAGATGAGTCCAAAAACAACTAAGCCCATGCAAATCACAAGACTCGCCACGCTGACGGAGAAACGAGTTGCCGGACTCTCGCGATGAGTAGCCAACGAGGCGTCTGTTAGTCCGTTCACCCACAGGCACATGAGCTGTGTGTCGGGAACTCTCAACGCATTATTGACGCCTTTGTTTGGTGACCAGAATGTGGTGATGATGATATCGGTAAAGGCCCCAACGCCGGTCTCATGATGGCTAAAGGCCAAGCTGAGATCGTTGGACTTGGGGAGGGTCGGATGACAGTTAGAGCTCGCATTGGCAGAAGAGTTTGGCGGCGTAGGCGCCCCCTCACCAGTAAGTGCTAGAAGAAGTTAGCACAGGGCTATCTCTTTGAATGAAACGGGTATACGAACGTATGGTTGAAATTGCATTCCAGGATGCCATGTTTGTCTTCTCTGTACATTCAGTCGGGAAAGTCTCCATTCCTCTTTGCACACGCATGCAGCTCTCTTCCGTTGTCTCTGTTGCATTGGAAGGAGAGAGTGCCAGAAGTGTGTTGACCTGAGTCACCAGCGACGAGATACAGCTCGCTCCAATTGTCTCTGCGCAATCCCATGAGTTGTTTCGTCCGAAGGTGGTATTGCATATGAACACAGCGCAACCCCGGTACGGCAGGTCGTCGCGGTCGAGTTCAAGAGACGGAGGGGGTGCCGAGATAGAAGTCTTTCTCTGTGGTTTGGTCGTCTACGGGAACGTCTGTGTCGAGATGGGCGGCGAGTGTCCACGTCAAATTGTTGTTGTCCTCGAGGATGGCGGTGGAGAAGGATCTGAACCTGATCCTCTCATAGGTTCTGTTGGTGACATTGCATTCTGCTCCTACGACACTGTTCCCATCAGGAGGAGCCGCAGGGCAGTGTACGTCGGCGCACGAACCGACGGGACTGCCGAGGACGTATTGTGCGGACGCGATAGATAGAAAGGTGGTAAGTAGAAGGGACGTCGGAAGCAACATCTTGGAGCATTTCGACTTGGCTCGATTCTATGATGGCACAAGAGAAAAGTAGAGGGTGCAGACTTGTAAAGGCTTCTACGATCTTAGAAGACGCAAACAAGCCATGGTCTAGCACATTATATGTTTTGAGCGCCCCACACAGCTGTGCCTCACTCGACAACCTCCACATCAGGCCCTCTGTCACGAAAAGCTTCTCTACTGCAAGATTGGCTAATTACAAGGTATATGTGAGTTTTTGTACATGGGGCACAGTATACCTGACGTGTGCCAAGCGCCGTGCTTGCCAGATCACCACATTGTGTTGTTCAGGCAGCAGATTTCCATGTAGGATTTGGCATCTCTAGAACTAGGCGCCCTATACTCAGCGCTATGTTGTTGCTCCGGCCGCGACTGTGCCGAAAAGATGCCGTGGTCATCTGGTGCCCGGGATACACGGTCGGCAAGGCTGACTTGCGTTGATGATTGGGATGATGCCGGGAGATCGTCGGGTGGTCAAGAGACGAGAAGCGTGCCTGAAGCATATTTCGAAGGAATTCCCCCATCGAAGGCTAGGATCTGGGGATCATTGGTGTAGCTCCTGGTAATGCACGAATCGATTGCCTAAAACGGTTGGTGCCCTCATACGGCCTTGCGTTTGAGCGCGACACGGCCATGAGTCACGCTGCTCTCGCAGCAGGCTTTCTTATAGCATCTGGTAAGGCGATGAGAGTAGAAGCATTTGCTGCTGTGTGGCATTCAATCGAATGCGTTTTTACGTAATACATGCAGTCAAAGCATGCTCTTGAAGAGGGAAACTGCAATATATCTAGGAACACTGCCTTGCCTACTGCAACGCATTCCCATGCTCAAGAATTCAGGACATCTCGCTGTGCAGGAGGTCCACAAGTAAGTCATGAAATCGTTATGTCGTTACCTATCTACCTAGGTATGGTATGCGAATCTTCGAGACTTCGCGAAGCGTGCAAGATACCTATCGCGTCGTATTACTTAGAATATCTTGTAGAGTTCGCGTGAGTGTCGCGTCGTCGCAGTGGGCTTAGTTCGCCCTCCTTCACGGGGGCGATGCTACTATCTCAACGCTTTCTCGCCATCCGGCTCCTTCGCAACAGCCTTTCCCACCACCCCTGCTGGCCAAGCCAGTCTCCTTTCAAGAGTAACGAAAGCCACAACAAAAACGCTACAGCAGCCACTGATAAGAAAAAAGATGTACTGTCTTGTTTATAGGGAAGTACAGAGGTAGTAGTAGCAAACATACCAGAAACGATAACTACGGGAGAAATGATAACAACAGTGAACTCGCCAATCTTTCCTCCTTTCAAACTGAGGCGACGATCCAGACGCTCGCCAAGCTCCTTGCAAGACTTTTGAATGGAAGACAGCGTCTCCTCATACTCCCTCAACTCCTCATACACGTCTTCCAGCCCGTTGATAGTGCGTCCGATGTGTTCGATGACGCGGGGTGGTAACGTTGCATTCGGATCGTCGAAGTAATCGAGGTGCTTACACTTGAAGCTATCCCAACGGTTCACTTTCGTCCTAATATCCTTTATCAACATGGCCAGAAGCTCCAGCATAGGTTCGTTCCATTTGGAGATGGCAGACTGCTCGGCCGCAGATGCAGCGGAGAATGGGTGGCAAGTCATATGATGCCGGAACGAAGCTTCAATCTGCCCAACAATGCTTTCGATCTCATTTCGGGCATGATTCGCTTTTACAAGGCTGATGGCAAGGAAGTACTCTCGAGCGTCGGAGAAGGGAAGATTAGCGTTGAATTTGCCCATGGATATTTGATCGGAGCGCCAGAAATCATTACACTCATCATCCCCAATGGCACGGTCTAGATCAAAGCTTATGTCTTCCAGATCATACGCGACCCAACGGTTATTGTCCGAACCGGACAGAGTGAAATACGATCGCGCCTGGTAGATTCCGCACGTCCCTGGTTCGTTCGTTGGGTCCAGGAAAGAGAGGTCCACCAATATCTGGCGATTGGCTCTTTTGCTTCCAGACTTGCCTACATCATCGAGGCTTTTCGTGTACAGTCCAAAATAGGGGAAATGGTGTTCAAGCTGGAAGACAGGGTATCCTTCAGTGGAGATCCGTACTTTCATAGATGCTCGAAATGTAAGGTATTGTCCGAGAAGATTCTGAATAGCTGAGGCCTGGTGTTCTGTTGCGGTCTCAGTCAAAGCGAGCATATGACATGGGGATGGATCCGCGATGTGTATAAGTCGACGGTCTGCATCCTCGAGACGATCATGATTGAATCGACTCACGAAGAGATGACGTCTCAAATCCCACGCGGTCAGACATTCGTCATAGGATCTAGCTGTAAGCGCTGTGTCTTGTGATGAAGCTAGCGGATGTTGTATGTGAGCATCGGTAATGTCACACTCGACGTTTGGTTTTCGCAAAGGTAAGGCGTGCGAGGCGGTCGTTTTCCTTCTACTGGGAGGTATTGGAGCAGGCGGAGCAGCTCTGTCGTCCAGCCATGCGCTATCCTGGCTCATCGCTTTGGTATCCCTGAATTGTTCTTCGCCAAAACCGCTGCAGTAGTCGATCACAGCCTTGACGTGGTATGGTGTTCTGCCGTCATCGTATCGCCGCATGAACAGTTCGATACCATCACGTCGTCCCGAACGTTCGCGCAGTGGTTTCATCCATGGATAGAGCTCTAAGGGTTTCCTTTCATCGTTGAAGACTCGTGGCCATTGTCTCGTGGAACGCCGAGAGCCTGGACTAGGCGCAAGCCCTGCATTATAAGCCATGGGGATCTACATTTCGTGTTAGCCGGGATGAACTGGCCATTTCCCTACTTCTACGTCTCGAGAGTCTCGTCACATTATGATTCGGTCTTCGCCTGGAATCCCCAATCCCCAGTCAAGACCTTGATGAAACATTCATAAAGAGATACTGCTCTGCACTTACTGCGCCAATAATAGATTCCCCTATCAAGATCGTAATATACAATTGAAGTACCTCGAATATGATGACGCTGTGCATAGATGCTTGTGCATATTGAACCGGTAGGGTTTCGAAATATTGGAAAACTTCATAGATGCCCAAGAGGTCGCGCGAAAGACCATCCGGACTTCAACAAGCCAGTTCGTAGTGCTCTTCATATACTTTTGACACATCATCTTATCGCTCATATTGGCAGGTCAATGTAGTGACGCCTTCAATGCCGTGGTATCCCATATCATATTTCCCAGCCAACTGGAGCCAGCAGCGTCCTTCGTGTCTTAGCGTTGTGGCCAGAGAGCAGGTATCGCTATTCGTACACGTGTTTTGGCGTGTCGGCACTGTGGTCACAGGACCACAAACAAGGCCTCGTTTGCCTTGTTCTCCTTGCGACTCCATAGCTGTAGATTTATAGGATATCACAGCCTCGTGAGGACGTGAGTGGTGCCAACAGAAACCCACAGCCAACAGCTCCAGTCAATTGTAGTCTCGAGTTTGCTGTGCTCGGAGAGCTCAATATAGCCTCTGGATATTACAGGTTCAGTCTTCGTTATGACGAGGTTGGGCAGCGAGATCTTGACGTCTCCGGGGCTGACCTGCATGAAGGGCGTCATCGGGGTCCCAAAAGTAGACTTCGTGGTTCATACGCCACCGGCAAGGCTGAGGATCGCTTATCTCCGGTGCGTAGTGTAACAAGCTCTCGTGTCTTCCTTTCGCATCCAAGGACTGAGCCATCTGCATATATGCCGCTGGGCTGAGCTGCAGTCATCGCACCGATCTCTTCTGCTAGAACGCCCGAAACAGCGTCACTACCCGGGTACAGAACGTTGGGCTCCGAGGCTGACTCTATCGTCCTGCACATCCGCGCAACAGCCCGGTCGCGGAATTGTAATAGTCGAGTGGCTTGCTGTTTCTTGAAGTACTCATCGAATTGAAGGATCGAGCTAACGTGTTCAGACCTCGGGACGGTTCAATGTCTACGGATTACCTAGGTAACAAAGACATGTTAGTGTCTTCAACTCCCGTCAAAACATGAAGCTTATATCGACGTTATGCAAACACGAGGAATGAGTATTCTAGTAATTGTCAGCCTGTTGCATCCGTGAGCTTTCAAGTATGCAATTGTTAGAAACCCTCAAAGATCGGCGTTTACTGTTGGAAGGAAGTTAGCTATGAGGGCTAGCTAGCAATGTACCCCTTCAGTGAAAGCGTAATGACTCATTCAAGGTCAAGATTGCTATTTCAAAGACCCACACATAGCACGCAAGACGGATAAAGCCATTAGCCTTCCAAGGCCGTTCTTCGTTTCCAAATTCTCCTTGATAAGCAGCGCTGTAAATACCATCATATATTATGCGCGGCCCTCAACTTGAGGAAGGTATTGAAGGAAATCTATGTACCACTCTATTACAGTTCTGCGTAAGCCACACCCCTACACTCCCGGTAGTTATTCGGTCAGTAACCATTACTGACCGAATGTACGCGGGGAGTGTAGTATTTCCGCCTGCGCCAAGTCCTCTTTTTAGTTCCCGAAATCTGTTACACAACCTGACACTCCAGCGAATCATGACCCGTTTCTTCTGCTGGACAATTCCCGAGGGCTCCATACGGATACCTCTTTCGGTGATGTCGGAATGGAAAGTTCAAGAGTGGCGTATGGGGACGCACTTGAACCCGCGTAGTGGTACAGTAAGCGCATCTTCCATCACCACAGCCTGGGCATCCGCCGCTTGAGATGGGGATCGATGAGTATCCGCAGCGACACTACACTATCTAGTCAGATATTTTTCCACTATTGCAAAAGATGTACTTACACATTGCCAGATATAAACATGTCGTTTCTTTGCCTAGTTTTGTAAGCTTGCGTGTCTCCTTGTCTGTCCAAATACTATCATACATGATTTCGGAAAGGCAAATCGACTGCTCTAGACAAACATTTAATCAGCTAAACCACTAGCGGTGATGGGTCATGCCTAACCGTATGTGTCTCAGTAATCGTCTTCCAGTTGCAGTAGGTAGAGTAGAGCTTTTCATCTTCTCAGTTCCGTTGTTCTAGCTCTGATATATCCCGTGTCGAAGGAAAGCCACACTTTCGCTTGATCTGTTTTGGTTAGACCGGACGTTCGATTGACGGGACATTTCTACAATTTTATAATTAGATATCTCCCTTGAGTGTAGAGTCTGATAGACAACGCATCTGGTGCGTTTGCCAACGCTATAGAAGCCAAGAGGGGTTGAAGCAAGCAGTTGCGTTTGAAATTGTTTGCAATCATTCTCAGCCTATTAAACCTTCTCGGGATCGCACGACGTTAAGGATCTTTATGATAAGCTAATATTTGGGGGCGAACACTTTTGACAACCTCGATGCCTCTCCCTGGCTCGTGAGCCTCGCGTCCGTGGGGGTACGAGCCCTAGAATGGCCTTGGTCATGGGGAAATTTAAGCAGCCGGGTTCCCGAGCTAGGTAGAGGAGTGCGTTGGACATGGTTGAGTGCGGAAGGAGGTGCGCGGTGCCTGGGCATCATGCATCGTTTCTGATGGCAGCGTCATGCATGCACGCCTAGGGGGTATGTTTTCTTTTGGACGCATGAAGCTGCACAGCCACACAATAAAAGTAAGATCGCGTCGGCCCCTTGAAGAATACCACTCGAGACGTGTCAACAAACCTATGCACACGAGATCTGGTTTCATATGCATATCCAGCAAATACTCAACACTTCTCTTAGCCGAAAATGTGTCTGGTCGATATCTGTATAGGCGGAGCTTTGCGTGTCTTAGGCCATTTGTGCCGTTGGCTCTATACAGGCTGTAGCTGCGGATGGTCCTGGGTATCTGCCTAAATCAGTACGTATAACGAGATGCGGCACGAATGATCTTACTGGGGCTATCTTTCACTGTTGGTGGTGGCTGCGAGTTGGTCGGCTTCCACGGCATAAATTTGAGTAAAGATCCTGCGTGCTCGAGGACCAGCATAAAGATGCGCAGGACAACCATTAGAATAATAGTCGCCAACACAAACGTCTTCGGGTTGCGATTGAAGGCAAAAATGTCTTTCTCAGATCCGAAATACTGGAGGACCATTCCGAGCGGTGTTGTAAAAAGGAGCAGCTATGAAAAGGTTAACACGTGTTTTCGTCATCCCAGCAATACGTTTTATGCGAACCTCCACATTGACACGCGTACTGCGGCTGGTTTTCGCCGCGTCTGCCTGATTTGCGCATGCGGCTGCAGTCGCCTTCTCGTTGAGTTCTCGTAGTTTATCGTTGAGATTGCTGGACCGCAGATTGAGGTTACGCGATTCCTCATTGAGCTTGAAACTCTCAAAATTCAAGCGATTGCTTTCCATACTTGCTTCGTTACTTGCCGCCGTAAGCCGGTTACTCTCGAGGCTCAACATTCGTCCGAGCTATGAAGTGTTAGCTACGGCGCCCGACCTCGCTGGTTTACTTGACTGACGTGAGCGGCGAAACGTTTGCAAGAATCGTCGAGCGAGCTTAGGCTTGAATAGAGGTCTCTAAGCTTTTCGAAGGTCTCTTTGATGCTACCTAGGATCGCTGACAATTCTGGAGACCCTGGATAGTCTGGGGTACTGGAGAAGTAACGTATGTCACCGCTAGGCTCCTGGAATCGACTGTAGGCTCTGAGGGTCAGAGACAGGGAGTCGCGAAGCCTGCGTAGTAATTGCATAGTTTGCAGAGTCCAATCGAGGGAGTTTTGGATATCTTTGGAGTCCACATATGCTCGGCTGAAGGCAAGGCTATATGTATCGGTTTCTTTCTATTATTTTATTAGTAGACGTCAGACTTTGAGCAGTCCATGGGTGTATGAGTCTTACCAACTTGTGCACTTTTCCTTCAATCGTACGGACCAAGAACGTCCATTCCTTGCGGATCAGTTCGCACCTGATCGCAACTATCTGTAGCCAGTACTTCCTCGCATCCCAATTCGGCGCGTCGGCATCCTGGACATAGTCATCATCTCTGTCTGCCGCGAAGAGGTCCTGTTTTGGTTCTCCCTCATCTTGTTCTACAAAGGGTTCCTCGGGAAGGCCTGTATTGGCAAAGGCATACCCAGTCCACTGGGTATCACTCCACCCGCACAAGACAATGCTTATGTGTGCCTTGTAGATGCAGTACGAAAGTGCCTCTCCACTGGAAATTGAAGTATCCAGGAATGATAGGTCGGTCGCGGGGTGCCTTCGTGTACTATTTCCGGAAGTACTTGGACGAGCAAGGGTGTCTTTCTTCCGCATTACTAAATATGTGAGATGGAATTCCAGACGATAGGTCTTGAAGCCATTCATGGGTATGTGTACTCGAAATAACGTTTCCGAAGCAATGTGCTTGCAGATAGCATCACGGAGCGCTTCTTCTTGATGGCCCCACACAGTTTCCGCTAAGACGCTTAAGAGCCGTGAAGTAAGCTTTGAGATGTATATCAACCGTCGGTCAGCGTTCGGCAAGTCGGGATGTCCATATCGCTTTCGTAGCAAGACTGCACGTAGTTCCTCTGCATTCAGACCTTTCGGGTATGCTCGGCTACTTCCACTCGGAAATTCGCGATCGTCGACCCACGCCCAGGTTTCGAATTGACGTATGGTTGCTGACTGTATCTTCTCTTCCGAACAGTACTTTTCCACAGCCTGTGCTTCCCATGATGGTATGGAGCCAGCGAGATCTCCAAAGAATGTGTTCAAGAAGTCATCCGATTGACTGTCTGCGTCATAGTCGCGGATACTGTCGTTATTGTTTGGCTCTTCTGCAATCTCATCATCGTTGAAGGCCTGACAAAGAGGATGATCTCTGCAGCTTCGTGGGACATTAAAAGTTCGGGGCCATTGTTTGCCATAAGCTCTGTGACCGCGGCCCATGCTGTGGCTCCGAATAGGCCTTGTGTGTCTCTTGCATGTATTAGCGACGTTACGCGCAAATGACTTTCGGTTTCCAAGATGTAGAGACTGGTTGGTAGAGTGGTTTCTGGTAAGCTCTACTCGGTCTATCGGTTGTTCTGCATCCATTAACCCCAAAAGTGAGGGCACGACAGTTATGATCTAGAATGCAATCAGCATAAACTCTTCACCAACATATACACTTGGTCCCTATCATGGCATCAGGAGCGCTTACGCTTTGTGAGTCAATAGTAACTCCAGAAATCAAACGAGAGCGAGGCGTCAACGATTCGACTATCAAAGAAACCCAAGGCTGAACCGATCGAGATCTGATAAGTAAGTATGAGACCGTAGGCTACTATTAAGAGAGTCTGCGCAGCTGTGCCACTGTGCTGGAACGACACGAGCTATCAGCGAGCGCTTACTGGCTTGCAGCCTGGCGCGTGGCTCCATAGAAGACATTCTCCAGTGTCAGGGTAGTGCCATGTCTCACATCCATATGTTTGCCTTACGAAAGGGTTCAAAATAGCCCGGGCGCGTGATGAAGCACTTCGGACACCCAAAGCGAAATCTCCGAAGCGCGTTACCGACGCATCTACCAATGGGGTGTTAATCGTATATGAGAAAACATCATACGTGACAGATTCTACATGGCCGTACTTTGTGCTACGGTTGGTGTGCAGAGATACAGACGTGCCCAGGTGATGAGGACTGGCGGACGTGGAGCGCATGTACTTAGGTGTGCGGCAGCGCGGCATTGTGCAGTAGTAAGGCCGACTGGCGTCACCGAAGCTGGAGCTCCAAAGCACCGAGCCGTCCAACGCCCCTCAACCCAACACAAACCTCAATTCAGGCAGATTCTGCGCATGATATCTCAACATGATACTCAGAACGCTATCGTTTCTTCCTCTAGCCATCGGCGCTCTCACTACGGTTTCACTACCTCAGAAGCTGCTCGAGCCGTCCGTTCCTGATCCATCTACCTCAAAAGATCTGCTACACCTTCACCGCAAGCTCGTAGAAATCGAATCCATATCCGGGAACGAAGAGAATGTCGGCGATTGGCTTATCGAATACCTCCGCGCGCACGACTGGACCGTCGAGAAGCAGGAAGCATCAAAAGACCGATACAATGTCCTAGCCTACGGCAGCAAGCGCGAAACAACCATCCTACTTTCTTCGCATATTGACGTCGTACCACCATACTGGCCGTACTACTATAATGAGACGACCGATGTAATTGGTGGCAGAGGGAGTGTGGATGCGAAAGGCAGCGTCGCGCCCATGATCATGGCCGCGCAGGAAATACGAGAGCACCTACAAGACGACATATCTCTGCTCTTCGTTGTCGGCGAAGAAACAGGCGGCGACGGAATGCGCGCATTCAGCAACTGGGACAAACGCCCATCCTCGCACGAAATCGTCATCTTCGGCGAACCCACTGAGGCGAAGCTAGTCTGTGGACACAAGGGCATGCTAGGCTTCGAGGTCAAAGCGACAGGCAAGGCGGCACATTCAGGATACCCGTGGTTGGGCGTGAGCGCCAACGATATCATGGTGCAGGCACTGAGCGAGCTCCTCAAGCTGAGAGAACACCTCCCATGGAGCACGAAATACGGCAACACGACCATGAACTTCGGGCGCATACAAGGCGGAGTCGCAGCCAACGTCGTCGCCGAAACCGCAACCGCGAACATCGCTACGCGCATCGCAGCCGGCACCCCCGATGTCATACGCAGACAAATCCTCAACGCGCTCGAAGACGTCAAGGCCTTTGCGCAGAAGGAAGGTGGCGATCTGGACGTACAATGGGGTGGCGAGGCATACGGTGTGGTGAACATAAACTGTGACATTGAGGGCTTCGAGACATTGACTGTCAACTATGGGACAGACGTGCCGCATCTCTCTGGTGACCATAAGAGGTATCTGTACGGCCCTGGCTCCATCTTCGTCGCGCATTCGGATCACGAGGCGTTGAAGAGGAAGGAGTTGGAACAAGCTGTTTTAGACTACCGTCGTCTTATTCTCAAGGCGACGGAGGTAAGGGAGAAGGAGCGGCAGATGCAGGATGACGAGCAGCTGGAATTGTGAACTTTGGTCAAGTGAAGAATGCGGATGTAAATTGTAAATAACTAGATACCCAAATGCAACAAGTTTCCCTTTACGTCAGTTGTAGCCAGTTTGATGTACCCCCACATTTAGTCTACCAGGAGAAGAGTCTCGCTCAATACAGGTAGGTCTGAAAGCAGGTGCTCAATGCCCCTTCCCAAGCTCCACTCCCCAACCTTTTACAATTAAGAAGCAGACTGGGTAGATGGCACAACGATTATTCTGGCGCATAATCCCCTCATATTTGAAGGGGCAGAGCGAACCAGCAATGGGAGAGAATGCGTGGTCCGTCTGGGTTCTGTTCGTTGCGCTGTTTGGTGGAATGGAGAGTAACGCGAAGAGAGATGCTTTGTCTCACGCACGGAGCGGATGAAGGTAGGCCCGGCGACGATAAGATAGACCCCAAAGCCCCTGGGTCGGCCAACGAGAGATGAGATGGAAAAGGAGGAAGGAGCGATGACACCACGCTATGCATTCAACTTACCAACGCCGATGATGCTAGCGTCTCAGACCTCATATCATACATTTACTTATACAATCATAAAACAGTCAATCAACATTCTCAGCTTGCGATAGCCGGCACGTCGTCCTCCTTTTGCGCAATACCTTCGGCTTCCTCAGCGGCCTTGGCAGTCTCCGACATACCCAGATCCCTGAACTGCCAGCCATCGTTCTCTTTGACCCAGTCTTTCCGCTCGCCCAGAATAGCTACACTGCTCTCGGCGCCCTTGACGAGGAACTGGTCGGCTACGGCTTGTATCTGCTCAGCTGTGACGTCGAGGAGGCGTTCGCGACGCGTCTGCAGCATATCATCCGTGACGCCAGACAGGAACAACCTCATTCCCTCGCGACTGACACTTTGTGGCGCATCGTATCCTTGGAATGCACTGAGCTTGGCTTCTTCAAGATCCTGAGGTGTCCATGCGCGGTCGCGGGCCCATTGCCCTGCTTCGGCCATGATCTTCATACTGTTCTGCGGGTTGGGGTCGCGGTATGAGTACATTCCAAAGAGACCACCAATGCTACGTGCGTAGGCGCCACCGCCGTACGCGCCACCTTTCTCACGGATCTCTGGATGAAGTTGCTTGAAGGTGAGGAGCTTGGCGAGAATCTCGAGAGGTGCGCTGGAGGCGTCGGCGTAGGCCACTGTCGGGACAGCGCGGGCGGAGTAGTAGACTTGATATGGCAAAGGGAAGAAGGACTTGGCGTTGCGAGGGTACTGCTTTTGCTGTGACGTCGACGGCACAGAGACGTCCTTGGGTAACGTGTTCAAGAAGCGATGGAGTGCCTCCTGGTTTGGCGTTGAACTTTCGTTACCGCAATTGATCGCGACACGAAGTTGGTTGCTGTTCGCAATAGTGAAAGTTTGGATCGCTTTGAGTTTCTTGATAACCTCGCCGAGCGACTCTTGCGATGCGAGAGCTGTCATAACCTTGACTTGGGTGAGACCGCCAGTCTCTTCTGCTAATCGACTCACAGGACTGATTCCAGCTTCGGCGAACTTCATGGCATAAGAGTGGCCAGATTCTGCGATCGAATTGATAGCTCCACTCGCCGCACTCTGCAGGAGCTCTCGGATCTTCTTGCCGGCTTCAGGCCCATCAAAGTCCGTCTCTTGTATGATAATCCGAAGGAGCTCGTACATGTCGGGTATATTACGGTCGAAAGCGTAGCCGGAAAATGCCATGCCTTCCTCGTACGCGTCGAGTGATAATGGCGACTGTGAAGAGTGGTAGCCTACGGAGATGCCTCCAGTCTTCAGTTTGATCAGTTCCTCAAGTTGTTCCATCGTCTTGTCTTTGGTACCCAGGCGCATGATGGCGCTGGTGAACAGCGGGATCATCTCTCGTAACTCGTCTGGAAGATCCTGTAATCTGTGCACAGCACGGAAGTACGTCAGACCGTTGGTGGGTGCCTCGCGCCACTGGACCTTCACGCCGTCCAGCTCAGTATGTCGCAGTGGCTTCCTCTCCTTTTCTCGAGGAATATCTTTGACGTGAACGGTGGGCAGACAGCTCAAATCTTCGTTTCTGGCTTTCTCTTGAACTTCCAGTAGCTGGAGCTCTCGCTCTTCCAGGTACTTCTGTGCCTCCTGCTTGCTTGGGAACTGTTTCGTTGTCTCTGCAATCTTTGCCGCTAATCGTTGGCTTTCTTCGTCTACGAGTTCCTGGCTGAACGTCTCCGATGGCTGCATGGTGAAGGTCAGGGTTTTGTCGGTGAGTAGGTACTTTTCAATCAGGCTTTCCAAATAGTTGCCTTCAGCGTACTTCTCCTGGAAAGCATTGACGGTTTCTTGCCACGCGAGGGCCTCCATTGGATCGATACCGTTGAACCAGCCGGGCTTCAGTCTTTGGAGGATACCCATACCGAAGTTTGCAGTCTTGTGCTTGAGCGAGAGCTCCAACTGATGTAGGATACCATCGACCTTGATCTTGTCGAAGCCGTTCTTGCGCACCTCGAGCAAAGTCTCGGCAATGGTTTCGCGGACCTTATTCACATCATTTGCCTTAACGGCGTCCATGCCAATAGAGAGAACACCTCGTCGTCCGGCGCTGTCATAGCCGGTGTTCGCACTGAAATCAGCACCAAGTCCAGATTCTACAAGATTGCGGTAGAGAGGCGAGCCGTAGCCGCTCATAAGCAGACTGCTCAATACTCCTAGCGCAAAGTTCTCTACGGCGTCTGCAGTGTCCCCCATCAACCAGGTAACTGAAGTCTTGTACTGCCTGTCCTGAGGTACCAGTGGGTCGAGAGGTCCCGCAACCGTGACTTCCTTGGGGCCGTCCAGAGTTATCGGAGCCTTCACTTCCTGATCCACGGCTATCTTATCAAAACCGTTCAAGCGACTGTCCACCTCCTTGAGATGCTCCACCAAAGGCATGTCTCCGTACGTGAGAATCTTGGCATTACTTGGATGGTAGTGGTCGGCATGGAATTTCCGTAGCTGTTCCCAAGTCAAGTCGGTAATCTTCTGCGGGTCGCCACCGGAGTTGTTGATGGCTGGGTATAAATGGTCTTGGAATTTGGTGTAGAACAAGTAGCTCGCATCCGACATCTGGCCCTTCATCTCATTGTACACCACACCCTTGAAAACGATGCGCTTTGCGTTAGGGTCCTCCGACTCTTTTGCCAGCGGGTTCTCGGGACCCAGCCGCCACCCCTCTTGGGTAAAGTCATTCTCCTTCAGTAACGGGTGTAGCGTCGCATCGAGGTATACCGACATGAGGTTTTTGAAATCTTGCGCGTTTGTCGTGGCGAATGGGTAGCCAGTGTGGTCAGGAAAGGTCCAGGCGTTCATGAAGTTGGACAGCGAACGGGGGAGCATCTTGAAGAAGGGGTCGCGGATGGGGTATCTGGCTTGTCAGCGACACGTTGGGTGTAACAAAAAGGTGGCATACTTCTCACTTCCACATAATGTGGTGTGCTCGAGGATGTGTGGCACTCCAGTGGCATCTGGTGGGTTGGTCTTGAAGCCAATCGAAAAGACGTTGTTTGCATCCTCGCGAGCAATGTGCAGATATTCGGCGCCAGTCTTGTCATGCTGGAGATGTAAAGCGGTCAACTCGAGCTCCGGCACCTGCTTGACGCGCTTGAGGGTGAAGCCATGCAGCTGCTCGCCAACATTGGGGAAGTTGGAGACATCGGTGATAGCGGCATATCCACGTCGAGACAAGGTTGACAGTCGGTGCGGGGTTATCGTGGCATTCCGAGGGCTTTGAACCTGCCGACCAACGGAACGTAGCATGTTTGGAATAGAGGGTGGATGACAGAGTGCCGCGCAGCCTCAGAAATGTCAAACACACCCCATCGATGACGCCTGTCGCGCCGATTGGCCGAGGGGCCCCATACCAAAAGAGATTAGCCCGCAAAATTACTAAGACGAAAGAGTGCGCCTGGACAGGCTGTTGATGCGTTATACGGCTGGAGACATGTCGGATTGGCTAGCCTGCCAGTGATCTCATCTGTCAGGTCCGATATTGAAGCTCGTGGGCGTTGTGGAGACTACCAGGTGTCTTGTGCCTTTCGCGATCGACCAGACCACCGACGTCCTCCCCTCCTTCCTCTTCAACACCCGCCACGAGACATTGCCCGATCCGACCCCGACGACTGCATGACCCGACACTGTACATACTGCTTCACCACGCCCGTTGACGCCCCCTGCACTGCGCTCCACACCTGTTTTCACCCGAAGCAGTCCCGAGACGCCAGCGGAAGACCTGTATCCTCACCACGCGCATTGTGAACAGGCGGCTGCTGCAAGACGGATGCGCAACTGGACTGCCTAGAGACCTGTATTGGGGACACGTGAGATTGAGTGCATAGGTGGAGGAACCGTCGGAGGCAACACGGGGGATCCACAAGCTGAGGCGCTACACGGAAGAGTCACGACTTCATGGCAACCGTCGCCCAACAGCGCCAGCCGACGTCTGCCCAGTCCCGACCTCACCACGAAGCCAGCCGCAGTGCATCTGCCTCTCCTGCAAACATGGCACCCGCACAGCACAACCCTGCGCCTGCGCCCGCGCCCGCCAAGAAGGGCAAAGGCAAGAAGGCGACCGACCCCTCGGAGCAGCAGAAGCAGATCCAGGCCAAGATTGCTCAGCTCGAACTGGACCAGGCAGGGGACAAGGAGCAGGAACTCGAAATCGGTGCGTCTACCTCTTGCGACGGAGCTGTGGAGGAGGGGAGACTCTGGGTGGCGCAGCCCATGTGTGCACAGCACGAGACTGGGGCCCTATCAAATGAATCGCTGGCTGACGTATGGCATGGACAGAACGCGAAGTCAAGAAAGCAAACCGCGAACTCTCCTCGCTCCTCTCCAACATGGACGGCCCGCTGTCTCGGCTCGAAGTCGTGCAGAAACGATATACCGAACTCCTCTCCGATATGAAGCGCACGGAACGCGAACATCAAAAGGCGAAGAAGCGCGGGGACCAACTGCAGAAGGAAAAGGACGCGCAAAGGTCGGAGTTGAACAAGGTTACGACAATGAAGGACAAATTAGACAAATTGTCGCGTGACTTTGCAAAGGAAAACAAGAAACTCAAGGACGAACTACACAAGCTCGAATCTAGCGAATCCACCGCTAGGCAAGAACTACACGAGCGTCTCGAACACCTGGTGAATGACGTGGACGATTGCATAGCAGCTGCGAACGGGCCTGAACCACAGAACCAAGCCGAGCAAGAACTGGACGAAATGTATGTGTGGCACAACCAAATCCGGGAGCATGAACTAACGAAGCAGATTTCGTCAAAAGTTCAAGTCGTTCATTGACCAGTACGAGTTGCGCGAATTACAATACCACTCGATGCTGCGACTCAAAGAGCTCGAAATACAGTATCACGCCGCCCGACTAGAGCAGCAGCGCAAACAACAAGAAGCCGAATCTTCGAAGTCGCACCAATTGACCCGTCAAGTGTCGACTTTTTCGCAGACCGAGACGGAACTACGCACGCAGCTCAACATATACGTCGAGAAGTTCAAACAGGTATGCAACCCGTTAACCCCTCGTTGGTCTGTATCATCATGGTTAATACTGACCAGATGCAGGTCGAGGAAACGCTCAACAACTCGAACGATCTCTTTCTCACGTTCCGCAAGGAGATGGAAGAGATGTCGAAGAAAACCAAGCGTCTTGAAAAGGAGAACCAGACGCTGCAACGTCACAAGGACATCACCAATCGTAATATTGGCGAGATGGTGGAAGAGCGCCAAAAGATGCAAGAGGAGCTTGCCAGGCGGACCAAAGAAGCTGAGGACCAGCGGAAGAAGATCGCTCGCCTGGAAACACTGTGTCGTGGAATGCAGGCACAAGGTCGAGGCCAGGTTCCGATGCACGAGCTGGATCACGAAGAGCATGACGAAGAGGATGAAGAAGTCACGGAGAGCGAGTACGAATACGAAGATGAAGATAGCGCAGAGTACGACGACGACACTGAAGAAGACGGTGTTGAACCGGCACTTGTGCATCGACCGTTCGGGCCTGTCCCTCCACCTCCGCCGCAGCCAACAACTGTGCAGGGAAAAGTCAATGGGCATGCGCAAGCTAATGGGCAAATGAATGGAGTCAAACGCTAATAGCAATATCATAGAGACTCACTCTTCGATCCATCCACGTCTTTTCAACTTGCAAATGATGTCCCGCCTCCGCCATCTCAGACAACGCCTTCGAAATCCCTCGAAGATATCGTGAAGCAGTGGAGTTGGGATGATGTGGACCTACCGTCTATTGCGCACTTCAATATGACTGACCAAGCATTCGACGAGTTCATGGAGCAGGTGAATTGGGATGATGTGGCTGCGCAGTTCGATGCGGAAATGAAAGCAATGGCTGACGAGACATCTGCTCGTCTTGCGTCAAACCATGCGGAGGAGCCGGAGGAGCCGAATTTGGGTGTTGATTGAAGCATTTTTGTGCTCCGCAATTGGCATACGTGAGTATAGTGCGAGAGGTCGATTATTGACAACGACATCGATAGCTTGGATCATGATATCCGACATTCATATTATCGTGCTCTCCAGCAGAACATTTCCCATACCATGACTATTGTGACTACCAAATATGCATGTTCATTCCGTCTACGGCGGGCGAATCTCGGCAATGGCCACGATGTATCGAGTCGAGCTAAGATGCCTCGGCTTATGCACCCACGTTTTCCCCGCAAAACCCCTGGCAGTCGATGGCAGCAGGCACGGCCGCTATTTAGCATCCACATTCCCATACTCACCATGCGGTTACATATAGCTTCATTGTTGCCAGAAGCACACTACTCAGACCGAACTTGGCGTTATCCGACGTGACCTACCCCATCTACTTGCATTCATCAACCGCACGTCACTACAGCCTACGCCATCATGTCACCGCCGGCACTGCAGACGCCGCTTTCGAAGTTGCTGGGCATCCAGTATCCGATTATCCTCGCCGGCATGGCGCGCACCTCTGGTGGCCCCCTCGCGGCTGCCGTGTCAAACGCTGGTGGCTTAGGTGTAATTGGTGGTCTCGGATACACGCCGGAACAGCTCCAATCGATCATTGACGACCTCAAGTCAAACCTCCGAGACAAGAGCCTGCCCTTCGGTGTCGATCTCGCACTCCCACAAGTCGGCGGCAGCGCACGCAAGACGAACCATGACTACACGCATGGACAGCTCGACGATCTTATCGAAGTCACAATCAAGAATGGCGCAAAGCTGTTTGTTAGCGCTGTTGGTGTACCGCCCGAGCGGACGATCAAGAGGCTTCACGAAGCAGGCATTTTGATCATGAACATGGTCGGACACCCCAAGCACGCGAAAAAGGCACTAGATGCAGGTGTGGATATCGTATGCGCCCAGGGTGGAGAAGGCGGAGGACACACCGGCGACATTGCGAACAGCATCCTAATACCATCCGTCGTGGACGTCGCGCGCAAATACAAGAGCCCGCTCACCGGCCAGCCAGCCATTGTAGTGGCCGCGGGAGGCATCTACAATGGCCGCAGCCTGGCAAGCAGCTTGATGCAAGGCGCACAGGGCGTATGGGTTGGCACGCGATTCGTGGCATCAACTGAAGCTGGCTGCTCGCAAATGCACAAAGAGAACGTGGTCACCGCCGACTTCACAGACACCGGCCGGACACTCGTTGTCAGTGGCCGACCGTTGCGTGTCAGGTACAACGACTACATCAAAGAATGGCACGAGCGCGAGGACGAGATCAAGAAGCTGACGGAGGCGGGTATTGTGCCGCTGGCGAAGGACATGGACGATGGAAAGGACGTGGATATCCCGTTCCTGATGGGCCAGGTTGCGGGGGTTATCGGCGATATCAAGCCTGCAAAGGAGATTGTGGACGAGATGGTGCAAGAGGCGATCGACATGCTGAAGCTAGGCCAGACGTACATTGGAGGGCCGAGTAGTAAACTGTAGGTAATAATTGTAGATTTATTTGTATTTTGATAATGGTGCCTCGCATCTCGGTCCCTGTGTTGATGTGTAACACAACGTTGGAAGAAGCGCATACATGCATCCGGCTCTTGGTCGAAGAACACATTGCACAAACGTTATTGACTTGTACATTCGAGACGAGAAACATGTCCATGGCCATGTCGCGTCGCATTGTGCTGGTGGTGCCTGCGCCTTCCCAGAGCAGTGGCATGTGGATGATCTGCGACCAGGATCGCGCTCCCCGAATCCATGGCAGCACCGCAAGCTCAGGAGAGATCTGACGGCATGCCCAGTCCCCTTCCGCCTGGGAGTATTCACAATTAATATACACTTCTTCGCACTTCCGGTCGGCCCAAAGCTAGTATTATTATCCTCGCACATCTCGAACGCCCTAGGCCCCTGGCGTTTGCGGCCTTCTCCACTTTCGCTGCCACCAGGGCCTGTACGGGAGCCGTCTCTCTCTTCCGCGGCGCTCGCTCGCCAGTCCGAACTCCTGCAACCCATAGATGACGCTGGTTGCGCAGGCGACACCACGGAGCAGCGGCGCATCATTCCATGCAGTCAAATCTCAGAGCCCAGGCTGAGATTCAGGCCCAGAGGAAGAAGGTAGGCCCCGTCCCGCTGCCGTCCAACGACGCTCGTGCGCCGCAACAAGCAATTCCCCCAGGCGCATGTTTGCAATACGCATGCTGAGACTGAAATTATAGCAGCTCGCGAATTCGTACAAACAGTTGCTCGAGTAAGTTCGTTCTTTGCTTTTGCGCGCCGGCTGCGTGTTTCACCGGGTCCAATTTGCTGACGCAGGAACAGTGAGTTCGCCGCGACTGATCTTAAGACGGTCGGCAACTATACACTGGGGAAACTTATAGGCAAGGGCAGTTTTGGCAAGGTTTACTTGGCGTCGCACAAACTCAGCAATGGCTCAAAGGTACCACCAGCAGGACTGTTACGGGGAACCACGCTGATCGCAAGCAGGTCGTGCTCAAGAGCGCGAAGAAGGACGACGCCAACCTCGCGCGCGAGATCCATCACCACCGCCAATTTACGCACCCACACATAGCCCGCCTGTACGAGGTCATAGTCACCGAGAACCTAGTATGGCTCGTACTCGAGTACTGTCAGGGCGATGAACTCTACAACTACCTACTGGCCAAGGGCGCCCTCGAGCCCGCCAGAGTTCAGCGCATCTTCACCCAACTCGTCGGCGCCGTCACCTACGTCCACAACAAGTCTTGCGTCCATCGCGACCTCAAACTCGAGAACATACTGTTGGACAAGCACGGAGATGTCAAGTTGGTCGACTTTGGTTTCACGCGCGAGTACGAGGGCAAGTCCAACTACCTGCAGACATGGTGCGGAACAATCTGCTACAGCGCGCCGGAGATGCTCAAGGGCGAAAAGTACGCAGGCGAAAAGGTGGATGTTTGGAGTTTGGGCATCATTCTTTACGCGCTTCTTGTGGGCGAGCTACCTTTTGACGACGACGACGAAATGGTCACGAAGAACAAGATACTGAAGGAGGACCCCAAATATCCGGAGCACTTCCCGCAGCAAGCAAAGGAGTTATGTCAGTCGCTACTATCCAAACGGCCGATCTTGCGACCTACACTGGCAGACATACTACAGAACCCTTGGTTATCGGAACATGCGCCCCGCCAGCAGGAGATCTTGAAACTCCAACAGCCGGCGCCTTTCTCGACCGAGCTGGAGAAGGAGGTCTTACACCGCATGCGCGCTGCCGGGGTGGACATTGACATGGTGATTGAGAACGTGCTAGCCCAAAGATGCGACTCGTTAGCTGGTTGGTGGGCACTGCTGCTCGAAAAAGAGGAACGCAAGGCAAAGAGGCGAGAACGCAAGCGCAAAGAGAAAGAAGCAGAGGCTAAGAGCCTCCGGCGACTGAGCGCTGCAAGTAGTCGACTTGACAAACTTGCGCCTACCATAAGAGAGTCTGACGAAGAAGGCATACACTCTCCTTCTACGCCTAAGAGTCGCGGCAGGACCACAAATCGAAGCAGCTTACATGGTGAGTATCACGGCGGACGTCAGGAAACCCTTCTAACTTGAGACAGGTGCTCCCGAGCTACCAAAGTTGCCAGAGCTAATCACCTCCCCCAATCTCACAGTCGACGATAAGCCACTGCCTCCAATCGATACCCGTCGGGGTCGCAAGTCCCATTCTTCCTCACGCCCGCCACCACCAGCGAAGGATCTCGACAGACGGCGTTCACGCAGCAGCATGCTACAGGTCGTATCCACCAACCCAGATCTTCTTTCTCCCAACGGTTTCGTGCCCAAGCGACGCCGGAAACAGCCCTTCATCAATCACCTTTTGACACTCCGGAATTGGATAAAAGAGACGTCAAAACGAGCGCGATCGCCGGGTTCCAAAGCTAGCAGTGGACAGTCCCCAAAGATACCTCCAAGCAAATCTTCGGATTCAACACGAAGACAGAGTACAGCGAATCGATCGTCTGTACACACGAATCCCAGGTCTCCGCCCACACCACAAATGGCTGGCCCGCGGCCCCGAGGCTCAACACACGGCTCAGGCTCCATGAGAAGGCTCTCAGCATCGCCCGCTCCACTAACACCACGATCCTCATATCGTCGCTCGTCTGGCGGTCTCCGCGGTCGAAAATCCACTTCGTCATCTGTATCCTCGATCCGCAGCATGCCACACCACCACCACTCGCACTCGAAAGCCTCATCCACATCCTCCGCCTCTCTCGTTTCTCCCGCCGTTTCCACAAGCGGCCACTCACACAAACCCTCCAAATCCCCCCACAACAGCATCAAGGTCCTCCCCGCCACCCCCACCTCCTCAAGCTTCCCATCCAACATCCGCCTTGTACGTTCTGGCTTCCCACCCGGTCTCAACGAATCCAGCGCCGCTTTCGGAAACGGAAACAGCATTCCCCCGCAGTCTCCCGGTCTTGTCTTCGCAAAGAGGAGGAAGAGCCCTTTCAAAGGTCCCATGCTTAATGTTAATACTGGAGGCTTGAACGGCAGCTCGGCAAATGGTAGTGGTGGCTGGAGGAGTAGAAGCGGAGAAGGTGGTATGGGGAGTCGGGGAACGAGTGTACAAGGCCGCAGGAGTGGAGAAATCTTAGGCATCACAGAGGAAGATGAGGAAGAAGACGAGGAGGTCGAAGAGGTGGATACCTTTGGTGGGAAGTTGGGTGAGGGCGAGTTCATTGAGGAGGAAACGCCTGGGCCGTTGACTCCGCCCAAGGAGAAGTTCAAAGAGAAGGCCTGATGATTTGGAAAATTGGCGCGAGATGGAAGAGGAGGTTTGAGGTTATTTTGTTGAGAATGTGGGGGTTGGCCGCTTATTTTGGCCTATTGTGGACTGTAGTTGTTGTTCTTGATGCGTCGTTGCTGTTCACTTTCTTTCGCTTCTTGCATTCATCTTCATGCTCTCGCGCTTTAACGGCATACATTCGCGGCGTTTATCCTTTTCATCGGATACCTACATATACATGCTTTTTCCTTTCTTTCATTCTAATCTTATCGACACGTATATACACTATGCACCATTTGCACCTCATGGCGCCTGTTAGTTGCGCCTATATTTCCATTACGCGTGTAGAGTGTATTGAACCCCTAGATGAGATTCTGCTCATCACAAAATCGACTTGAAGAGAACGGCAATATCGTTAGGATACGAAGTCAACGGGTCAACGTTAGTACTGCATATCGATCAGCGTAGACGCAATCTTGGGAACACAAGCATTCTCGACTAACCCGGTCCCAGGTCCCGATCAGCGAATGCATCATTCAGTTCAACGTCATGATGACAATATACCCCTGCACGATACGCCCTCGAAGCACCCGAAGTAACGAGAATCGATGACGCAGAACAACATTGCACAAAGACACGTGTATGCATATACGTATCCAAGTACAACAGCTGTATCAGTAGGGATCTACTTGCGCTCAACATAAGCCTTTGCGTTGCACATTGGCTTCGACGAGGCGGTGTGGTGGACATGCGGCATCGGAGGCGAGGTTGGATTGGGACAGTTGGTGTGACCTTGTGTGAAATCTGGCATTGTCAAAGTTCCGGTGGTGATCTTTGGTGCGGAAAAGTAACGGTGTTGCGGCTAAAACTTGTGTTGGTTAAAACGCGGCCAACATGTCGGAAGCGCTAGAATGGTCTAGTGGAGCTGTTTAGTGACATGCTCTTGTCTATAAGAGCTTCCTGGTCGATTCTAGTCTACTGAAACAGTCATGCGCACTATTCTCAGTGACATTGCGCCCAATGCGTGAGGTTTGCCATGTGATGCGCACGAGGCACAAGCCCAACAGCCGAGATGTGGGAGGTGGTGCAGGGGAAGGCAACGATACGGCAACGCTGTGTTACGTCAAACGCCGCAAGGGCCAGGAGGGAGTAAGTCCGAATTTGGCGCATTATCTTAGTACGGACATCCGAGAGGGGTGTTCAGGTTGAGGGAGAGGTAAGGGATTGCTGTGGTATCATGTCCTGGAAACGAATGCGGCATGCCCTCAACCAAGCAGTGCTCACAAAAGATGTCAGGGAGAATGGGGTGACAGATACGCCACCTTGGGAAGCTGCTTCCTCGGAAGATGCAAGGTCAGCCGGGAAGATCAGTCTGTGCATCAGTGCATAAACGGCGAGCGCCATCGCTGCACCGAAGAAGACTGGAGGAATTTCAAGCGAAGCCGATCCTGACGCGATTCTGCCTGCGAAACTGCGATCACGGCTTACATGTGTGTGTAGCGATAGTGAGAAATCTTCAACCGAGGCAGAGTCGGTGAAACAGGCAACAGTTGGTAGAGACTCTGGGGTGTTGCGATAATGTGATAGGTGCTGGTGGTGGCTTACCATGTGGGTTTGGGCGTTTTCTGACCCCACCAGTAATAAACGGTAGCCGTAACGACACTGCGTCCTGGCCAGGGATTCTTGGCAAATGAGATTGCACATGTGAGGTTTACGAAGAGCCTGCCGGTGAAAGAAGGGACGGCTAATCGTCGATGAGGTAAGATATTCGACTATGCAGGCGAATGGGCAGAGTTACTTGACTGATACGGGAAATGGTACAAGGGTCCAGGTAGCACACATGTATATTGATTCGCAATGGGCCAGCGTGTGTTCTTACATGACGAGAGGATGCGGGGCGTACTGCTCGTGTACGTTCGCTGCAAGCCGAGCTAGTCGACAAGCATACTGCACACAATTCAAAGGAGATTGCGGCGCGGTGTTGGTACAATACCCAGTTCTCTCAAGATACCGATGGCCGAGAACCAAGCGATGGATAGGCGACATCTGTACCTGCATCGGATGAAGATGATGTTAAATTGAGAAGCATGAGAATGCTTGGTAGCCCCTGCATGTGGCAGGATGCGTTGATGGAGGGTCGTCAAGCGATATGGATCGGGAAGACGTGATATGATTTACCCGTCTTTACCGACGCGTTCATCGAGCAAGTATCGACACGGCTGCGCGTAATGGGTACACATAATAGCGACAGGAAGCTATGTGCCGGGCTGGTTTGTTAGACGCAGGGTGGCCAAACATCCATGTCGAGCCATCGCTTCGCCGTTCTGACGGTTCTGACGGTAGAGGCTAGGACTTGCCGGGACATTAGTTTTGTGAATGTTCCAGGCCATAGGCGAGCTCATGATAGAGCATGAAGGGGCAACCTTGGAAGGCCTAAAGCAGCACGTTGGCCATGCGCCAATGCTGCGGCAGCGGGACGGGTCAACGGGTGTTGTGAGAGGTCGAGCCCGAGGTCGCGCCGGCTGTAGTCACGATCCAAGAGCTCGAGGCGTGAAGCAACACAGCAAGGAGCACCTAAAGGCTGCGATGGCGGTTATTGGAAGGTTGGTTGAAGACGTTTGACCGTGACGTGGGGTGAGTGGCATGTCTTGCGCGCACATGCCGCAAGAGTGCTGGTGGCTTGGAGATAAGGGCGGCCCGTGCAGCGTTGGACTTGGGGAAGGCACGCAAGCGCCACTGGGACTCGACACCGTGAGGTCGCCGTCGTTTGATAGCGCCGGCAGCCAGCGCCTAAAGACGTTACTGAGTCCGACACGCGAGACGCAAATCTGGAGAACTGTAGAATAGAGTCAAGTGACCGAGAGTGACATTACCGCCTGCAGCTTTGCGGGTTTTTGGGACGTTTGGAGTCATCGGTGTCTGCCGCGGCCAAGGATGGAGGCGGAAGGAGCGAACTCAGCGAAGAAGGAGCGAATGTGCAACATTTCTCCGGTCCACGGGGATACCAGTCCCCTCACCATGCTCCTTACAGGCTCCTTGCAAACCGTAAAGGTAATTGCTAGTCGACATCTCACTAACAATCACATCACTATTGCACAGCTCTGCCCTTGGACAAGCTCTGCGTCTATTGATTCCATAGATGCGCCACGCTGCGATAACGTCTCCCACACCTAAGCCAAATCTAGCTGCACCCCGGCTACTGCACATCCTAGTCGATAGTCCCAACCCGGCACTCTGGAAAGGACACTGACCCTGGGCGCCTCAGTTCCGTGGATGCGCTCGCGCCTCAAGAATAGGCCTAAGCCCTGCCAGTCTGGTCGTCAGCACCGCACTCATATCCCGCCCCTGCGCCCATCGCACAGGAAAAAGCAGATTCCTCCAACGGCTGCACTGCAGCGACTCCGACCGACGTGCAGAACCGCTGCACTCTACACTCTTTATCGTCGCTTGTTATCGCGCCGTTGCGCTTATCCACCATGACGATAGACGACGACATGTACGGCACCGAGAAGAGTTTTGGAAGAGCCTCGCAAGGGTCCGACTACTATGGCGAATCATCACGGTACCAGGACGGTCTGGGGAGGAGGGTCATCGAGAGCTTCAAGCGGGACCCGAATTTCGCCATGACTATGACGCCAAAGGGAAGCATGGGGGCCGACGGGAACGTCTTCGATCCAGAAGCCGCGGCGGCGAACACGGCAAACTCACCACTTGCGCGGAGACTAAAAGGTCGCCATCTGCAAATGATAGCAATTGGAGGTTCCATAGGTATGGTTTGGCATGCGTCAATCAAGCGACGATCCGCAAACTGACTTTACCAGGTACCGGCCTATTCGTCGGCTCAGGGCAAGCGCTAGCAAATGGTGGTCCAGCATCGCTCGTCATCTGCTACTGCCTTGTAGGTATCATGTTGTACACCACCGTGCACGCACTGGGTGAGATGGCAGTACTCTTTCCCGTCGCTGGTTCCTTCTCGGCATACTCGACGCGCTTCCTGGACCCCGCATGGGGCTTTGCCATGGGTTGGAACTATGCCCTCCAATGGCTTGTCGTACTACCACTGGAAATCGTCGCTGCTACCTTTACAATCGAGTACTGGAACGGTGACAAGGTCAACAACAACGCTTGGGTGGCCGTCTTCTTGGTCTTGATCGTCGTCATCAATCTTTTCGGTATCAAAGGGTATGGTGAAGCCGAGTTCGTCTTTGCTATCATCAAGATCACAGCAGTCATTGGCTTCATTATCCTGGGAATCATTATCAACATAGGCGGAGGTCCAGATGGAGGCTACATTGGCGGCATGTATTGGCGCGATCCAGGCCCATTCAACAACGGCTTCAAGGGTCTCTGCAGCGTCTTTGTCAACGCCGCGTTTGCCTTTTCAGGAACTGAGCTCGTCGGTCTTGCCGCAGCGGAAACAGCCAATCCACGCAAGTCCCTTCCTACCGCTGTTAAGCAGGTCTTTTGGCGTATCTCGCTGTTCTACATCGTCTCCCTGACTATCGTCGGATTGCTGGTTCCCTACAACGACGCGCGTCTGCTCCAAGACAAGAACTCTGCCGATGCTGTCGCCTCACCCTTCGTCATCGCTATCCAGAACGCGGGTATTCAGGGGCTGCCGTCTGTTTTCAATGCCGTTATCATGATTGCTGTTCTGTCAGTCGGCAACTCTTCCATCTACGGTTCCTCGCGCACGCTCGCTGCACTTGCTGAGCAACATCAAGCTCCCAGGATCTTCGCCTACATCGACCGCCAGGGTCGCCCTCTCGTTTCCATTGCTTTTGCTTCCTCCCTCGGTCTCCTCGCTTTCCTTGCCGGCGCAGATCGTAAGCTACAAGACGCCGCCTTTAACTGGCTGCTTGCACTGTCTGCTCTCTCAGCGGTCTTCACCTGGCTGTCCATCTGCCTAGCTCATATCCGCTTCCGTCAAGGGTGGAAGGTGCAAGGACACAGCCTGGACGAGCTCGCCTTCCGCTCTCAACCTGGTCTCATCGGATCCTACGTCGGCCTCATTCTCAACATCCTCGTTCTCATTGCACAGTTCTACGTATCCGTCGCTCCAATCGACATGGACGTGCTTACAACATCACAACGTCTCCAGCGTTTCTTCAGCGTCTACCTTGCGCTACCAGTTACCCTTGCCTTTTACTTCCCCTACAAGTTCTGGTTCCGCACCTCGGTCGTGCGTTCGCATAATATGGATCTCGTCACCGGCATCCGCGAGCTCAACATCCAGGCACTGATAGAAGAGGAGCGCGAGGAGAAGAGGAAGTGGCCAAGGTGGAAGAAGGTGTACAAGTTCTTTTGCTGATAGACGCCCTACGACAACATTCCCTTTTTTCCTGTTCTTTTAGCGATGGCGCTACACGTTCTTCTTTTCGCGGTGCTCCTTTGTGATACCAGGCGGCATGCTATCTAGCATTGCGCAGCCTTGCGATTTGTATTCTCTTTCTTCCTGTATGTTTACTGCTGGTTAGTATTAATAGACACAGCATAGTGTCTGCATGCATCTGTAGGATTGCAAGAATAGAAGATGAGCTTAACACCCAGAGTGTGAAGATAGACAGTGCCTCCTAGGTTGCAAGCAGAACAAGCATGAAATTTTGGGGTATTGCAACATTACTTACCCCACCCTCGGCGTTCTGAGGTTTCGAAGCCTGAAGAACCCCACCGTCTCAATCAGAACCCCCACCACCCCACTAGGAGCGACCGACACGTTTTGCACCCTCGTGCCTTCTTCACGCCACGGTTCCGACTGCCGCGCACGTCACATGCAGTCCTAGATTATAAATTCTGTTAAACTCGAACTTTCATCGGTTTTGTAGTGTACGTTGTAAAACATTTCACTTCTCGCTTGCCCCCGCTAATAACCATTCCAGGTAGCGGTTATCACTCCGGATTCTGATTTTAAATCAGTGTCTTCCGGCAACCCCGGTTCGATTCCGGGCAAGACCTTTCTTTTTGTTTCCACTATGTCCTTTTGCTAGTGGGAGGTCCAAGAGGTATAGTGGAGGTTCTGGGGACGTTTTAGAGAGATGGTGTGGTGGAGAGGGTTTTTTTAGCGTCTCATGGGCTTCTGGGGTGAGAACCGCAAGTTAATGCGACTACCTCCATTGCACCATAGTCTGGACACTCCGGGATGGCGTGTTGGACAACATGAAACGTGGTCACACCCTATATATGGCCAGGGAGAAACAACTGCCTTCGAGAGTATACACAATTACGCTTCACGCAGTGTAAATACGACTGTATTCACCATTGAAGTTAACCCCCGCAAGAGAGGGTCTCTCACATGTGAGCATCCAGTCAAAATGTAGTTGCTTGTATCTGCATTCAGGCGATGCGTAGGTAGGTGATCTAGCTACAGGACACAGCATCCAAGTGAATCAACTATGGGCGAGAGGCTATGCTCGCTTGCTAATCCAGTCTAGAAACTGTACACTGAACCGAGGACCAGGCATGAAATACGTGGGCGCCCGGTTCCTGTAGGCTTCCTCCAACATTGTACGCATAGAATTGATCCCAGCTGCGGATGCGTTCGCCATGTTCCTTGACCGATTGTTCATCTACACGCCTGTTAACGATGTGTGAGGCAAGAAACGCAGCTTAAGCATTGGTTACGGCCTGCACAATAGCGCCCTTGGCTCCTTGATCTAGACCGTCCAGCTTAGCCATATCCTCCTTGTCAAGCTCGAAACCGTAGATGTCGGCATTGCCAACAATGCGGGATGGTGTGTCGCTCTTGGGAAGAGGAACATAGCCCTTTTGCAGACTCCATCGGATGAGAACCTGGTTTGGCTCCTTGTTGTGCTTCTTAGCGATGCTGGCGAGCGTCGCGTCGTTGGCTTTCTCGTTGCGGACGATCGGGCAGTAGGCTTCGACGACGATGTTCTTGGACTTGCAATACTCGACGACCTCGCGCTGTTGACACCATGGGTGAAGCTAAACGTATCTGTCAGTTCGGTTGCGCAATCAAGTGAGAGGTTTGACAAACCTCAATTTGGTTGACAGCAGGTAGGCTGGCCTTGCTATCGATGGAGGCGAGCTCATCGATGTGCTGAATGCCGTAGTTGCTGACACCAATGTCGCGCACGATGCCCTTCTCCTGCGCCTGCTTCAGCGCAAGCCACATCAACTTCCTCGCCTCCTTGCCTCCGTTGGGGCTGTGGATGAGGAACAGGTCTGCGTAGCCGTCCTTTCCAGCAAGCTTCTCAACGCTCTCGGCGACCTTCTTGTATGTAGACTCGACGTCCTCTCCAGGGCTCAAAATCTTGGATGTGATGTAAACATCTTCCCGAGGAAGCCCGCTTTCCTTCAGCGCTTGGCCAACTTGCTCTTCGTTCGCGTAGTACTGGGCTGTGTCGATGTGACGGTATCCTGCCTCGAAGGCCTTCTTACATGAAGCAACGCACACATCCTTTGGAGATAGGTAGACTCCGAAGCCGATCTGTGGAATCTTGTACTGCGAGTTCGGCAGACTCAGAGTCGAATTGATGCTGAGAGTTTTCGCTGACATGGTGGATAGCGGGGGTAGCGATGAATGGAGAATACTTGAGTGAAGTTGTCAGCAAAGGACGAACGCTGATGTGCCAAAGAGCAGAGTGCGATGAGCGGAAGAATTGAGAAGGCAGGAGCATACCAGGTTGTTGAGAGGAATGAAGTTGCCATTAAACCTCCCTTAGGTAGCTCTAGACGCATACTACAGTCGCTCCTGCAGTCGTGATGTCACTGCTTGCAGGTCCATAGTTCGAGAGTGGGTCCGAATACGCTCTGGGCTTGGGAGGAGACAGCATAGGCGAGAAGCTGGCATGCCTCTTATACAATGACCAGTCGCGCAATAAGTATCAAATGGTGCGGGAGCGCGTATGTCCAAAGTCGAAAAATAGTTTGACGCGTCTTCGTTGCGCGACCGTGACAGGCGCAGCTCACGCTAAGATCTGCGACCCCCATAAATCACCGGCCCCCCTCCACAGCCGTCCGCGTGCTTCGAGATTCATACCATGTTTTCTCACCATCCAACGTGTGTCGCAACACATCCTACCGTACCCGACGGTGATGGTAATGTACCAAATTTGCTCATAGTCTAGACGCCTCACTTATCTTTCTTCACTCCAGCCAGCGAAATATATATAACTCGCGATCCCTTTCTCCTGAACACTATCACGTTGTGCATCGCGAAGACCAGAAGACTTGAGTCTTGCCAACACACGATGCAAAGCTCCGAGAATCGGTCATGTACGACATTGCACACTGCATGATTCTTTGTCATTGGTTCTCGCCGTCAGATGGAACATGTCGGTACCCCGCCATCCTTGTGTTAAAAATTTCGCATTGGTATACCCATCGACGTGCGATGCCATACAGCAGCTCGGAAAGTGACACGAAGTGGTCACGATCAGGACTCATACAGCCTCACAGTCCCTGAGGACGCTACACAGTATACACAAACACTTTGAGAGAACAAAACGAGTGGTTGTTTTTCTCCGTCGAAAGCATTGTACCGCTCTCGGAGATCAAGCGGTGAGACTTTCTCCATAAGAGACAGAGGCTCTTCTGTACACGAAAAAACTCGATTATGTAGTCGTATTCTGCAGCCGTATTGATGTCCTAAGAGGCGACTAGGAAATCATCAGAATAGTCACGACAAACTGCGTCAATGGCTGTTCAACCAAGGCCGATGAGACGGTATGCGTCCTCCTCGATTGTGATCTGAGCGGCATTCTTATATCCATATATTAGGTCTCACATTCCACCTATCCAAGCCCTTGTATGTTCGAGACGAAAAGAGTCGACGAATAGCGACCTATTCCACTCACACCAGTACAGGCCAAGAAGAAACACGTCTATATATGGCATTGCGTGAGTGGACGCCTCAGAAGATTCTCCGCGACCCAGACCTGACTCTATAGTGTCAATGCGGGAAGTCAAGCATACCTATTTCGTGCGCCGGCTGCCCGGGGTGTGGTTATGGAAGATGTGCATACTGCACGACAACACGGGTCCAGGTTCGAGCATCTGCCACTGGGTCTCACTCCTGTGTTGGGGGTCGTTTGGCCCGTTCGAGACGAGGTCTATCCTCATCAACTTTGGGTAGCAGTACAACGTCCCAGTCTACTACGTATGATAGTCAACCCAAGCCTGCAATGTCGGGTATGGACATACGACAACGGAGCCAACAAGCGTTGGACACGATATCTGTTGATGACAGTACCGTGGTTCTGCAACAGGGCGTGCCGGGTGCCAGATCTTGGGAGGAGAAACCGGTGAGTTAACACACGATTACCAGGTCTCCTCCATGTGGCATCACTTGGCATACCTTCCTAACGCGTGTATAGCTTTGATACGACAGCCTCTTGAGTTAGTGAAAAGACAGCAGAGCAATTCTGTTGTCATCGACTACAAATATCTTCAAAATGAAACAACAGTTTCAGCCCTACTCTGAACTTCTCTCTCAAATTCTAACCTGATGACTTACAACGCTTGCTATGGAGCACGACCGCGTCCAGAACGACAGTTATGAGTTGGCACGTATCATTATCTCATTTCCTAATGTGGCTGGCTATGATATGCCCAGTGCTTTAGCCTCGGATTACCCAACTACCAAAGTGCCGCTCATCGGTACGCACTCTCGTTGCGACCGTCTATCTCTAACATATGATTCGCAAGGCAATCTGCAGCATTCGAGGGTGCTGGCGAAGTCCAAATGCCCAACGTCCTCCACGCAGTGAGATTCGGCTATCGCCGGAGCCCAACGCCACTGATCGCACCACAACGCCGCTCCTCGCTGGCCCTGTGTCACACAAGACTAGGCTCATGGAGATTGATTCTGGAGGGTAGTCTCCTGGATTTCAGTGCTTTTCATCCCGTTCAGGATTTGCCTTGTCGGCAGAAGTCGGAGGCTAATATCAAATGTAGCGCGCCGGCTCTAAGATAGGGAGGATAACCACTCACGCACTTTGGAAAGTAGGCAAGATGAAAGCCTCACAAAAGCCTCGTGGTGCAACACGACCCGTAGCCAGCTACGTGTTCAAATCCAACACCGTAACATGCTTGCCCATGCGCTCATACAGCGCCGTGTGACCATGAGACAGCAAAGGGGATTGTCATGACCCTTGACAGCTGAGATGCGATGCCGATATCGCGTAATACATCGCGCTCTCAATTCCGCAGCTTTGAGCGCTTGTATATATTCATACTGGCCGCCGAGCATTTCCTCACAGAGCTCGGAAACTGACTTCGCTCTTCACCTTTTGCGGAAAATTCGGTGTGTCGAAGAAAATGCCAGTCGTGCATCTTGGCATACGCATCACCCTTTTAACGCGATTCTTCCCAGATGATACATGACCAGGGTTCAGACGAGCATGTTGCTCCAAGCAGCGCCCCCTGCAGGTATGTATCTCCACATTCTAACCGAGTGAATTTACTAAGTTAGGATGGAATGCTAGCCCCCCAGACAAGACTGCTACAAGGGGCCGATTCTCATTCGTCCCGCTTGCGAAGCAGTGGAGTGACTTGTATGATGACGCTCCAATTCCAGACGAGGATCTTTCATATATGGAGGAGTTACGACTTTTGCCCTTGGAACCCAAACGCGGATGTGTTGAGCTTTTTGTGCGCGCCTATGATGACGACTCCATCCCACCAAAACTAGAGACAATAATCCGTCTCTACGGAAGTATCGAGAGGACCGACCTTGACGAGCAGACCAAGGGGACGATCTGGCTGGACGATAGAACTTCTAGTGCATATCCCCTGGCTTCGTCTGCATTGTCTCCTGCTCAAAGGCCTTACCATCACGGAGCAACTCCTCACTTAGATCCACATACGCCGGATAGTCATTGTCACAGCGCACTCGACAATAACCCTGCTGCGGGCACCACTCCAGGCATTCCAAAGGACGCTTCTACAGAAAGCGCTTCAGCACGATACTCTCCTACTTCAAGACGTCCCAACGTACCATTGACAGCGAAGATGCTATACACGCTACTTCGAGAAGAGGTAATCATTATTCGATCTTTCCGAGACTTTTGGCTTCCATATGCGGGCATTAGGATATGCAGAAAAGCCATGTTCTCTTTGTGTCACCAACTTCGGCAATTTGGTATTTCATTGGTACCCAGAGAGGAGCCCCAGTTTATCGCGCTTATGTATATGCTGCTCACACCCGAATTACCGTAACTGACCAGTTAAATTAGAGATTCAAGCATAAAATTTTACCAGATTCGGACCGGCGTTTGATGTGAGTATTCGCACCCAATCTAGATCACGTCAACTAATTCTGCCATACAGCTTCATACTCGACCCGGATGGCTATGACTTTGTAGCGCTGACAGAGACTGTACCGCATCATCAGTATAAAGCACTCAAGGATATCATCACTAAATACCATGCTTTCCGTCCTTCAATGGGAGTCGGCCTTTCTGTGAGATATATCAACAGCGATCTGATTGCTGATGTGCTAATAAGTATGAAGACCAGTGGTATGCCTAGTTACCAGCTTGACTTTCACCTGCCCTTCTTTGCGATGCGAACGAATAAGCTCCACACACAACGAAAGAACATCAAGCCGCATCGAGAGTGGATAAATCTATCATTTCTGGCTCATCTTCTACCAGAACCAACTAAGCCCGGTGATCTGGGTCTTTACCCTGCGCAGATCTCTCTTACTATCTGTGGTACTAGTGTCAGGCAGTACGTCGGATATGGATTCGAGGATGCCGGATTTGATCCAGACCGGCAATTTGGTGACGGAGAGTTCTCACTCCAAGGATTCCATGCTGACCAGATGACCCGAGGAAAGCAAGACGCAAATCTTCCAATTTGGGATCCAAGGGAATACTTTCTCCTGAACTTGAGGCATCGAGTTGGACAGATATGCGAGGAGTGGGAGAGAGTTGTGCACGACTTTGAGGAAGCTTTGAAAGCGCGTGCCTCGCATCCCTTGAAGTTGCATGATCGTATGCTCGAAGTCTTTGGGGCTTTGTTGCCGGTTCTTGAGGACACAATAGAGATGTGGCATGACTTTCTTGGGGCAAACGGGGACCATGGCTACTTTTCCAATTCCACCCCAAAGTCTGATGCCTCACATTTTGGAAATATGCTTCACAGCATCGACAAGGAATTCTTGAAGTTGACAAAATACTACAGGGCCCTGTCGCGCATGCAGAATCAGTGCGAGAAGTCAGAAACGTCTCTCGGAGCGCGAATGATGCAGCAGAACAACTACATCGCAGTTCTCATGGTCCAGTACATTGGCCCACTTAGCCTTGTCACATCTTTCTTTGCGATCGAAGAGCCTGTCGTTAAGTTCGAGCGCAATCTGGTTTCTTTCTTGGGGTTGAATTTTATTCTCATAGTGTTGGTTCATCTTGTGCGATTGGTCGTGGAAGGACACATGTACCGGCCCAATTGGTGGGACACTATCGCGATAAGGGTGAAGAAGACGTCAAAGGATGATAGTGCCATCATCAAGAAGAATGCAACGGGCGACACCGTGGTACAGCGCAGGCGGACTTATTCTTGGTTCAAGAAGACGAAGTAGTCAAAGCAACATTGATAGAATTGTTCAAGAGATCGAAGATTGTTCGACTATTGCATTGATATTGTGACTCACGGCTGCATGAGAATACCCAGGCTAAGATGGGTGAAGGAAATGCCATTGGTCGCAAGATGATGACAGCACTTACCCCGCCTGTTATACACGGAATGGTGGATGATGGAACGAATCAGTATCTTACCGATAATACGCGCATCTCCAAGATGATACATACCTTCATCTCATTGATCATGGCTGATGAGGTGCATGAGGCAGGCCAATTGTCGAGAAACACGACAGTCCAAGGTTCGCTGTCCAAGCCGACGTGGCAGCGTGCGCTTCCACGATGAGGCTGAGAAGATTCACCGGTGAGCATTTCAGGCTGTTAGACCCATTCTGAGTGCCATAAGGCTCTATCCCGTTTGATTCATCGTTCGGTACCGCATCGTTTTCCGGAAGCCTCGTTTGAAGCGCATCATTGGAACACTTTTCAGACGCTGTCGTCAACAAGGAACGTAGCAAAAGAATACGTCGAAATGGAGGCGCTCGAAAATACACTCAGCACTTTGAAACTCAATGTTCCCATACCTGGGGTCAATAACGCAGAAGTGCTTGCCAATCCGCTCGATGTGTACCGCACTTACCTTGCCGAAGTACTAGCCGACGCTGTCGGCTGTGACATCAACGTAGCTTACAAGTCCATTCAATGGCCGAACAACATCTTCAATGGCGATCTGGCGGTCATACTCCCGAAGCTCCAGCCTGGTGCTAAAGCTGAAGAAGTGGCTGTCGGACTTATGAAGAAGGTACGTACCTTCCATGTCTAAGTCTGCCTGACATAGCAATCGCTAAGTCAGCCTAGTTCCCAATCGACCATCCACTCTTCCTCTTGCCCTTCCTGGAGGGTGTTCACTTCCGCGTTTTCGTCAAGCCAGAGTCGCTATCGCGGCTCCTCTTGCCATACATCTCAAGCCGGAAGAATATCTACGGCTCCACCCTTTCTTCTGGAGAAGCACGTAAAAAGCTCGTCGTCGAACTCTCTTCCCCAAACATCACCAGCGAGTTTCAAGGAAAACACCTGCGAAGCACAATTGTCGGCGCATGCATCGGCCGACTGTACAAGTCGATGGGATGGGACGTGATGCGCATCAACTACCTCGGCGATTGGGGCAAGCCGATCGCGTTGTTGTACGTTGGATGGTCGAAGTACGGCTCAGAAGAGATGTATGAGGTGGATCCGGTCGGACATCTTCTTGAGATCTACCACAAGATCGAAGAAGACTTCAAGCCCGAACAAGCGGCGAGCAAGCAAGCGCGCGATGAAGTAGCGAAGGAAGGAGAGGACAAGGGCGAAGCGCAGGCCGAGATTGAAAGCAAGGGCATTTTTGCGGAACGTAACGAAGCTTTCAAGAAGCTGGAAGAGGGTGACAAAGAGCTTGTCGCCTTTTGGAAGCGCGTGCGAGATGCCAATATCGACAACTACACCAAGTTCTACGAGCGCCTTGGTGTTCGCTTCGATGAGTACTCTGGCGAGTCGCAGATCAAGCCCGAAACCATGATGGAAGCCGAACAGATGCTGAAGGAGAAGGGTATCTCAGAGGAGAGTGGGGGATCTCAGATCATCCATATGCAGAACATAGGTGCGAAGGCTGGTACGGCCATCATTCGCGACCGCTCCGGTAGCAGCACATACCTTCTCCGAGACCTCGCCGCGGTGTTGGAGCGTTCGAGGAAGTACTCGTTCGACAAGATGATATACGTGGTTGCCAGTGACAACAGCGTCCACTTCACTCAGCTCATCAAAGTCTTGGAAGCGATGGACATGAAGGAGCTCGCTGACAAGCTTCAACACGTCAAGTTCAGCGAGGTATCGAGGATGGCAGCGACACTTGGTAAAGGATACAAGCCACAGGGTATATTGGACGCATGTGAGGAAGCGATGGCTGCGTTGGCGGAAGCCGATGCCGAGAAGCTCGAAGTGGTAGGTGGGTTGGACAATGTCAAGGAAGGACTGGCGACATCGTCGCTGCTCGTGCAAGAGCTCTCAACTCGTTTGACCACAACTCATGCCTTCGATACTGGTGCGATGGCCTCCTTCAAGCTTGGTGCGGGCCCGGATCTGCAGTACTGGCTGGCTAAGCTCCGCCAATTGCTCAAAGGCGCTGATGCCGCAGCTGAACTCTCGGATGAAGATTACGAAGTGTTGGCTGAAGAAGACCCAGCCAATCTTCTGCGCATTCTGGTTCAGTACCCGGAGGTCGTGAATGCGGCATACCATTCGCTAGAGCCGGCTGGTGTTGTTACTTATCTCGCTGCTTTGGCTGAACAGCTTGCTGAATATCTTCCAGAGGATGCTGCGGGTGATCAGGATGCGAAGGTCACCCCTGGTTTGACTGCGCTATATAAAGCGACTTCGGTCGTGTTGGAGAATGGCATGAGGCTGCTGGGACTGGCACCGATCGCGCAGTCGTTGCCGGAGCGTGCAGACACGCCGGTGATGGGATAGGGAGATGTTTCTTTCGTGTCCAAATTGTCAATGCGTGGGTTTAAGTTGCAATGGGATCTACCATTGACGCTGTTGACCTTCAGCCTACTTCCTTTGGCGTTTCTGGGGCTGTCCACTGCGCTGCTGTATAATGACGTAATGAATGATGACTAGTGTTTCTATAGCCTGTGCGATAAGGAATTCATAATCGATGCCTTACTGTTCTAGCCCGTGTCGAGGTCCACTCTGCTGTCTGTTAGTCTGCAAACTTCATTTCCAACCTCTCAATTTTCGTCGGAAACTTTTTGCTTCAAATATATACATTTAGTTTTGCAACTCTCCCATCAAAGTCCGATATGGTCTAGTGGCTAGGATTTGCCGCTCTCATCGCAGAGTAAGCTCGCTATTGCAGCGCAGTGCCGGCAAGGCCCGGGTTCGATTCCCGGTGTCGGAACATCTTTTTGCCTTTTTTTGCCAAACTAAAAACGTCGTTTCGCCCGCCGTTCAAACTGGGGACGATCCAGCCACCCACCACAAGCCATTCGCGCGCAGGCTTCTTTTTTCTCACCCGTTGCGACGAGTGCGGTGTGTTTAAGTTGGGTTGTTGACGCGTGCCACGACCTCAATCTCGCACCCTCGCTCTACCCTTCATCACCACACTTCCTTTGTTCCCACCGCCTCATGCCAAAAAGAAACCAATTGGTTACCCCAGAGTCTACATTGGCTGGAAAAAGAAGTAAACAACATTCTAGAGCGATGTAGACACCTCCAGGGCTGGTTGTCTGGTCACTCTCCTCGATGGGGCTACATGCTACCGTAACATCTTTGTCATTATGAGTCGATCACAGTTCAGCCACGCGCGCCCCTGGGCTTAGGAAGCAACAGATACGGGTAGCGCGTTTCGCCGCCTCTCGTATTTGCTGATGCATCATCACCAACGCCAGGCACACCACGACCGCGATTCGTCGCCTAAAATTACAAGGCATGGTGGCGCCTCGGTAACAATATGAAGTATTGACTTCGAAAGGTAGGAACTGTATAACTTCAAGCTCAGTCCGCCGTGACAGCGGTGCATCTCCATCAGCCGTCGCCAGTCATCCAACATGCGTCCCTCCAGCTACATCCCACTCCTCACCGGCGCTGCCATTGCGCAAGAGTCCGTGACGATCCTCAACTTCTTCCAATTCGACAGCACCCTCACCGTGCTAGGTTCAGATGCGAGTGCAACAACCTACGAGAACAGCTGTCCCTCAGATGGAGCCGGTGTCTCTGTCGTGCCGTCTGATCTTCGTACGTTATACATCTGTTGCGAGGGATTGAACTAACACCACTAGGACCAACCCCAGACGACCCCTCAGAGACTCCCTCACCTACACCCGCGCCCCGCATGCGCCGCCAGGACGATGATTCCAACGAGGACTACTCCTTCTGCGAGCCATACACCATCCTACAAGGTCCTGAGACGTACGAGATGCACCTCACGGACCCGACGCCAGGCGCGTGGACAATGGATATGGCATGCAGTTGGCAGGGCGCAATGTCAACGGCAGACTTGACTTGTGATGTCACCCAAAGCGGATACGTCCCTGATCAGGCCGATCAGGTCGCGTCGACGAGCGTCTTGTCGCAGAGCGAAATACAGGAGATGGAGGCGTATCAGGTGGTTGCATTAGTCACCGCAACTGGTGCGTCTTCTCCAGGATCAGCGTCAGCGTCTGGAGGGCCATCGCCTACTGGCCCGGCATCAGGAACTGGGGCGACATCGCCTTCAAGGTCTCAATCCGGTGCCGCGTCGACACCGAGCACTGGTCTGGCACCTGCTGGATCTATCCCGACTGCGATGGCCATGGTGGGTGCTATGGGCATTTTTGCGGCAGCGGTAGCTTTGTAGGGTGTTGTATGCTCTTGTGTGTGTGGGTCGCATGAGGGCGTCCGGTAAGTCACAGCATCTTGCATCTTCGAGATCAAGTTTTCAATGATGCGAATAATATGGACTTCGTCGTCTCCTACAACACCTCTATACTCAGATGCTCCTTCCGTTGCTACTTGCTTTCCGGTAGCGTTGTACTGTGCAAGTGCGAGGTGAATGTGGAAGCAGCACCTAGGCAATCCATGGATCCAATCGCGCTCGCACGTGACCGCGCGCTGTGTGCAAGACGCGACCCTGCAGCGACAGTTACCCAGGGTTGAACCCCGCGTTCGAACAGCACACTCGTTTGCTGGGTGTGACATATTGACATCGGCACCTGAGACCATCTCTTTGTCCCACCTTCTTTGTAGTACCACCATTATATGCAACCCTCGTCACATCCCCTTGGTACCCGAACATCGGCAGCTACAATACCAAAGATGCCAGCCGCTGTATCTGAAGCGCAATTCGTCACCGCAAACCCAAAGTCGCGACTCTTCAGATCATTCATGCGACATGCCTCCGCGCCGACGAGCTCATTGACACTTGAATTCCGCGTACCAGGCGAGGGAAGCTTCACCAACAGCCACCAACACGCCCTTCCATCTCCAAAGTCCCCACAGACAACCTCGAGGTCGAAGCAAGGTCTACTCAGTGAGCTATCATGGGCGCAATCACTTACAGCTCGCCTCCGTCGTGACCGGGACAATTGGCGCTCGCTCGCTCTGAAGCAAGAACAGGACCTCACGGCCGCCCATCAGGACCTTGAGCACCAAATTTGCATTGTCTCTGAGATTGAGCAGGAAAACGCCAAACTCCGGGTCCGTCATGAAGAGGATAGGACAGCTGGCGGGCAACTCTACTCGCGCTTCCAGGTACTCGTCTCCGCGCACGACAAGCTTGTCGATCAGCTCAACGATGCCATGCGTACCGTCGCCCGTCTTAAGAAGAGCGACCGTACCAAGGACAAGGTGCAGCAGCGTAATTTGAGCTTGAAGGCTACGCTGCAGATGTACACAGCTCAGGGCACCTCGGCCACTACCCAGGCCGCGGCAGACACCGAGTCTACGCTTAGGGAAGCACTGGCATTATCTAATGAACGCATTGAGGAGCTTGAGACCAGGGGTGAGGCTATGCTTGACGCATTAGAGAGGCGCAACGATAGTTCTGGTAGTGACGACGATGAAGGAATGGGAGAGAGGGACGTCGAACCAGGATTGTTGGAAGCTGAGGTCGCATTCCGCGGTGTGCTTGAGGATGAATCATTCAAAGAGCAGAAAGTGCTTTGGCTGGGTCTGCTAGAAGATTGAGGAAAAGTGAAGGTAAGAGGACGAGCAGATATATTCAGTCACTGGTACATGACAACGCACATGCAGTCGCTTTCGACCAATTGCCTGCTACGACAGAACAGTGAAAGTATCCTTGGCGCAGTCAAGGTCGTTCGACTGCGGGGGACTGGACGCAGACATAGCAATACCGCATTCAGGCCATCATCGTGCGCATAGTAGGAAAGCGCAGTTTGCGGTGAATGAGAGCGAAAGCAGCGCACGTGGAATGCTCAGAACCAGCGATTCGTTTACAAAGTAACACGGGAATTGAAACTATTCGCTACGTTTGAAATTATTAGCCAAGTCATGTCTTGACCTGCTGACAATTGACTGTTCCCAAGCTATGCGCTGAGCGTGCGCCTCTTGCTTGGCCGCGGTCACCCCGAGTCGTATTTCGCATTCACAGCCGGATTGGAGGACCGAAAATCCTCAGCCTCGCGACTTTCGTCACCGAAAAAATTGATATGTGTCGCTATCATATCATCTCATGTTGTAGGTGTCGAACATCAGTTGCAACATTTTCGTTCTGTCGATAAACCATATCCAGTGCTGTCTCGCTATGACACCGCCCCCTCCAACTCCAAGATCTGGTATGAGGGCCTGTGATCTGCCTCATGATACAACAACTACACAACTAACTCTTCAGAAGCTCAAGCGGAGGGCACAGCCTCAGCACCTGATGCGACTGTGCGCACGTTGCAGGAAGCAGACACAGACACCGATGCAGCCACACTTGTCAACGAGCCTAGGAGAACGCCGGGAACATCGGATCGGTCAAAGTTTGTTGAATCACTGTTGCTGAGTTTGTGTTTGGTCATGTAAACTAGCTGTGGAGCAAAAAGAGTGGACATCGTATATACATCAGACTCAGATACGGAGGCTATAAGACGGAAGGAGTGGTGAAGAAGGACTACAATGGAGCGACTATATGATAACTTGGGTGAACAGATGGTCCGTGATAATGCGGCGAAATGTGCGACAGTGTTGATCCATTTCTGAAACTGTTCAACTCTAAGGGGGTTGACAAAGACATGCCTTTCCCGTGCGGCAGGTTGACAATGGCATAATCCGCGTATTCATCATATACCCCTACTCAGATCGAGACGACTTATTCAGAATCCCACGTCGCTGGAAGCTTCCATTGGTATCTCATGCGTCTTCTATTGTTTCAACGTAGACATGTTTACTCTTACCCTTGTATCCCAGAAAGACCGACATCAAGACGTATACATGATGAATTTTGGTACAGATCATTGTACTCCTATGCACCCGTTTGCAACCCTTCCATACACTACAACGCCTTGAAAACACCTAGATAACATCCAGAAATCATGACCAACGCCAGGTGTTGTTTATGATGTCTTTTAGATTATCATCGCAATGATGAATATCTGTGCACAATGCTCATACTAGTGCCGCGACTCTCTCGACGTATATTGCTGATGTTCAGCATAACGTGGCTCCTCCATCTCATGCATGGAACGCTCTTCCAGCTCACGTGTACGATCTTCGGAGCGATGAGAACGGTGTTGACGCTCCTTTCGGGGGGATCGTGGAGTACGCTGAGCCTCCCATAGCGACTCGCCGTGATGCATGGAGTGGCTGCGTTGAGAGTGTCGTCGCTCAGACTGGAAGTATGCTTGTTCGGTGGCTTGGACTGGCGCTTCTTTCGGACGCTCGGCTCGTGTTTGAACGACTTCCTCTTCGTCGGATGCGGGGCGACGGGTGTGCTGCTGCTTCGCTGACTTTGGCTTTCCTGCACTTTTCCACTCACGGAACTCTTTGATGCAGATTCCTGCGACGATGATCTCAGAATTACTGTCGTTTGTTAGTTTCAGAGTCAATGAAAGGAGCTGCCCAACTCACACGATGACAATGGCGATGATGACTACTACCCAACCAAGACCACATGTTGGCCCTTTGCAATAGCTGAGATTGGTTGAAAACATCATACCGGCAACTACACTCCAGAAGATAACCTCAATACAGCTGATTATGGCATGCGCTTTGTAACTGTGCCAACGTTGGAAACGTGGACTATGCTCTGAAAGTATGAGGTATACGAGTAGGATGAGGGATTTGGCACCCTAGGTAAAAGTATTAGTAACCGGATCGATACTCAATGGTATAGCCAGGCTGGAGAGCTTCAACATACCATGCCCAATGTATATGTGCTTGCTCGCGTGCGCGGAACATTGGTAATGAACAGACGAGGAAGCGTGAGGGCGATGGCGAGAATAACCAGAACGACTTGAGCGATATGGATAGGGAACTTGAAACGGCTGCTAAAGACGGGCTTGTCAAGGAAATTGAACACTCCCATGTTGAAGCTGTGAAGAAATGATGGTGTTGATTTCGTCAGTGTCTCGTACAAGTCGTATCGTGGTTCGATCAAAATTTTGATCGTACTAATCGACGTCAAGGCTTGATCTTCGTTGCTGTGAGATGGTGTAAAGGGAAGTAATGTCAAGTATAATATACACTTTCTCTTATTGGTACTTACATCGACGCGTAAGTCTGTATGCTCCGCCGTCTCGTACGCGTTGTTACATTTCTTCTTGGCAATGTCAAAGTCCGAGTACGGTGCGATACGAGTGCGAGTGCGAGTACGAGTAAGAGATGTGATTGGTGCGGGCCCGCCAAGCCCACGTGCCCTTCAGCCCTACCAGTCCTAAACTCGTTCTTCGACTGACCAAGTTAGACTTGCGAGTAGTTGCGGGAAGAAGAACGGACGAAACAAGAATCTCTTTCTCTCGTTCGGGCTCAACCCATGGTAGACCCTGTTGTCGGAACTTTGATAGAGATAAGACAGGGCAAGCATTGGAGACCAATTGTCACGATGGTCAGGATATCCAGTCATGTTTAGCTGAACTCGCTCTCGCATTTGGGGTATATTCTCAAGATTACATCGTCCTCGTCGGCAGCGATTAATTCGGCCCGGTCGGTTGTGGCCCATGCACATGAGGGTGGTTTCCAGGCATATTCGGAACGCCCTCAGGACCAATCATCGTCCCAATATCCGCCCAATTCCACTCATGGATGTTGTTGATGGTAAAGTCCATAAACTGCATCTGCGTCGTTCTATCGAATCGGGCATTAGGATGCATAGCTGGCGGCATGTAGGCCTGGTCTGGGTATATACGACCGGGCATAGGATCCGCATACATATATGTGCCCACACCGGGTGGTGATTGATGGTACATGTGCGGTACTGCGTCTGGCTGTGACAATTGCTGCGCTGGGAGTGAGCTGTGTGGCCCGGTGTCGTGGGTCTCCATTTCCGGTTCCGCAAATCTGACGGGCGAAGCTAGGGAGTCGGCCATGGAATGCAACTCCGGGACAAGGGAAGCAAATTTCTCAATAGTACCAGGCATGAATGGATTTCGCCTATGTCGCTGTGCCAGATCTGCGAGCTGAGACAACAGAATCCTGGACTCGGACATGTCCGTACCGCCCAGCTTATTCAAGCATACCAGATCAAGGACCAGTACCGAGCTGGATGCAAGCGTGTACCAAATGTCACATGAGAAGACGGCATCGAACTTGCCCAATGACTCGAGTCTCAGTAGTATGTTAGCCAGAGATCGGCCAGACTCTGAGCAAGCTTCTGCCATGGCTGTGAGAGCAGAGTTTGTGGAGTCTTGGGCGGTTTTGGTCAGGATAGAAGCGCGGGCAAGCAGGGCTGAGCGGCACAAGACAATGATGGTATAGTGGTATACACAGTGCATCAGCATCAGGGCTCGTTGCATTGGTGAGGCGTCTATGGCTTCGAACTGGAGATGCCGGGGCAACTGCTCCTTCCATCGGATTAAATCACGGAGCACGCCGGCGGCGGGCGATAAAGGGCCAACGTAAGATTCATCGCTGGCGTTGGACTTGACGGTCTTGGGCGCGCGACATGTCAGGCCGAGCAGTATGAACAGGCGCGTTGAGCATGCGAAGAAGTCTGGGAGGCCGCCCACAATTTTCTCGTTGGGGACGCTGGTCTTTGCTCCAGGATTCTCAATAGCACTCGGACGGTCGTACGAGGATACCTGCATCGTCTCGAAAGCGTACAGCGTCCACCACAGTATCTTGCGCGACTCCCTGGCCAGCGGTGTTTGACCGGCGTTCACTTTGTCCTGGTGCAGTCCGATGGCGTGCGCTATGCGAACGGCGGCACCAGTCAGGTTCCAGCAAGCGTCCCGGTGGTTCGTGTTGTGGAGGTGTATCGCAGCCAGTAGCAGGGCTTGTATGGCTGTGATGCTCGACGTGAAGATGACAACAGGAAGGAGCGTCTGTGTCCTCTGCCACCACAGCCGCTCCTGGTCTTCTGGAAAGGGAATGCGCGCCACTCGTCGACCGAGCAGCAGCACACACGTAAAGGTGCATAGCCATGCCGGGTCTGCACTCCTGGGGTTGGCCAGCCATGCGTCGTAGGCCTCGCGGAACGAGGGCTCATGCAAGACAGGAAAGTCCGGGTGTATGTGTTCGAAGAAGGCGCGTATCAGCAGCTCGAGATTTGGCCGCTCGCTGGGATTCAGGTGTCGGCCATGGACTGCGACGGAGTTGTGGGCGGTCGGGGCGGCGGTCGGGCCTGGCAGGCTGCGCTGGTCGTCGCTGCCTGTGGGCGACGATGCCTGGGCTGCGTTCTTGCCAAAGCTAAAGGTGGAGCAGTCAGTCGATGTGGACATGGAGTTTATGCAGGGGCGTTACTGACAGTACAAACTCGCGTAGAGCGCCGCGTCCCACGAGCGTGCGCAGCTTGATGTGGAACGACAGCGAGCTGCCCGGCCCAATGTACTGCACCTGGCCCTGCTGGTCGGGGAGCAGCGACACCGTGTCGTCTCCTTCACCCTCGCCGCTGTCGTCCTGGTCGCCCTGCCCGTCGTTGGCCGCCGAGTCTGGCAGCGGGATGCCGTGCGAGGTCGCGAGCTGTCGCAGAGCCTCGGTACTCGAGACATCGGCTTCCGGAAGCAGCCCCTTCACCAGCGCCTCGAGCAGCGCCAGACGGGTGCCCAGTCCCTCGACACTCCCATACAGGCGCTTCTTGCGCGGCTGCGTCGTCAGGCACTCGATGTTGTGCACGATGCAGTAGCGACACGCCTCCTGGCCGGGCTCCTTGCGGCACTTTTGCTTGCGCGACTTGCACTTGTCGCAGCTCGTCTCGGTGCGCTTCCGCTTGTCCAGCGGTACGCGGCGCGAGCTGCTTGCACTTGCATGGCTGCTACTCGTGGGTGCGGGTGTGGAGGCGGACATGGGCGTGGACGGGTAGGTGCGGCGGATTTCAAGGCGCAGGGAGAAGAAGCATGGCGCACACGTCGCGAGAGCGCTGCGAACGCATTGAGACGCTCTTGTGCCGGTGGAAGATGCGACTGCAACTTTACGATGATGATGCAGGGGACTCCGATCTTGCCTGCGCTATCGCGGTGTCCGGTCTATCGGTAATTGAGGCTGCCGTCTCCTCTCTGGTGGGCCTAACCGGCGACCTGCCTTGACCATTTCTTCACAAGGACACCACAGGCACGTCCTCTTCCAAATCATCGAATCCGTCCGTCGTTGCCCCACTGGGAATCCATCGAGCGGGAACCATTTCAAGCTGGATGCTGGTCCTGGTCCTGGCGCCCCCTCATCAGTGCCTGTACAAGGTACGCTTGATGCGGCTAACAGACGGACAGCAGTCGCCGAATACGACCAAGCATATCTCGGCCGTGTTAGGGCACTTCTGGACATATGGCTAAAGACTCCCATCCTCCCTGGACAAGATTGACCAGAGCAGGGCTGCTCGATCTGGTAGGCACGAAGTGGAAAGAAAGACTGAGCCGGTCACTGTCCGGTTGTGATTGGTTCAAGCCTACGGCAGCTGGCTCACCTTCCCTCATGGGGTTGTGCAGGTACTTCCGATTACTCCACAAGCATGACTCGGCAGTGTGACCCAGTGCAGCCAAATGCCATGGCCACTGAATCGAGTTAACAAAGATCTAGTGTTCCAGACATCGCGAGACCCACATGGCACCCATGCCGGAGACGACTAGAACGACCGTCCTTTGTCGCAATCGTGTGCCCCACTGCCCTGTCGCCTACGCCGGTACCACGAACGCTTCCACCTCACTAACACCACTCAGGCACCATGGCCATGTTCAGGATATTTGGATCATCCCTTTCACCACCGTGTCTCCACTCTCTTTTCTGTGCCAGCATGTAGAAATGCATACCACAAGCACGGCTGTGTAAATCACCGGCGTTAGCGATCAAGGATCCAACGGCGACCCAGATGACAGCACCACGAAGCGTCGTGGTGAAATCCTCTTGACCTCTAGAAAGACGAGCATCTTGGCTTGTCCGGTAGCCGCTCCATAGCAGACAGGACGTATATCGCAGGTCCAGATGGTATCTACCAACACTGCGAGGGAGCAATTCTGCATGTCGTGTCAATCGGTGTTGGCAGTAGGCAAATTTCGAAAGAAGATCTCCAGGCCGGCACTGACTTCCCCGTACGTGTTAGCGCAGACGCGAGTGAGCACGAAAGGTAAGATGAAGACCATATCGTCGTGTAACCTGCGGTTGTGGAGACAATGATGTCAGGTCCCAAAGAAGCCAGATGTTGGGTCTATTGTTGTATGCGGAGAAAAGTAGGTCGAAATAACCAAACTCTCGGGGAAACATGTAGTGGAAAATCAGCTAATGTGTACAGTGTAAACAGTACTCCTGTATCCCGACGTTAGCGCTGTAACGTCGCACCCTCCGTTCTTGCAGACTCACCTCACAGGATTTCCTCCAGGGCTGCGAGGCGCTGCGTCAATGTCGCGTACTGATTTTTCTCTAGCAAACGATCCATCAAGCCATGGCGCAATCTGTTTCCAGCCTGCAGACTCAAACTCCAAGCTCTTTGTCATACTCAAGAAAGTCGTCATTGATTACGACGACGACACGTGTACCATCAAATCCTCGTGCTTGCAGCCTGCAGACTGAATTCCACGGTGCTGAGGCGAGAGGAGGGTCGCGCCGCTGAATAGGAATGATCTGTGTTCGAGCTTCCATGAGCTGAAGTTGATCTCGTTTGCTCAACAAGCGAATCAACCACGCCTCAATCGTGCATTGGCGCCATCACTCGTTATGCACGATGGATTGCGTTCATTGCGGGCCGACGCGTGTTCTTGGCTCGATTTCTAATTCCGATCTCAGGAGCCTTATACAACAAAGATGCTATAGCGACTATAGCGACGATTCGCAACGAGACCCAGAGCGCATCTTGGTTCGTTATAACTGAACAGCCAGATCGCGACAGCACGATCTGGCCAATTGCGTTGCACAACTTGTCGTTGGCCCCAATCCTGCCGGTTTTAGCAACTAGAGTCTGGTGACTATGGGCATTATCATCTTGATGCACGGCATGGCACCTGGACAGGCGGTCTATAGAAAGCCAGCGCCAAAGGAGGTCTGTACCTAGATGCCCGCCACGTCCGTGCTCAGCCGCCTGACGGTAACGACGCCATGATCACAGTATCGACGCGACGCTTGTCTGCCGATTCTTTAGCCGATAAGCTTCGTAGCCTCTTCCAACAGCTCAACAGCTCAACAAAATACTCGAAGACATCGCAATCACACGTCTATGTCTTCGGTGTCCTTCCTGACTTTCTCGCTACACGTGTCCCGAGAAGTATTGCTTGGAGGTGTCGAAAGACCCGCAGTCGTCCGGCACTCTGTCACGGCTCTCACCCACAACAAGGACGGGTAGGCTTAGTGACGGTATGGTAAACGTGGCTGAGAATCCAAAGAGATGGAAGCGCACGGGAAGGAGCTAACAAAGAACAGCCCGACAGATGTGGCGAAAGGACATACGAACCTCCGAAAAGTGAACGGCAGTGGGAGTTCAAGTACTACGAACCCGCTGTGCGCCCGTTGACCATTCGCTAATCGAGATTCTCGGCCACATCGTCTTTGGATGCCGAAGAAGAGCTTTGACTTGGGTAGTTTCATGGCATTGCCGAGCGAGCGGGCTTCTATACCTCGTTGATGTCAATGATCGGCAGCTCGTCAAACGTAACGTAACGCCTACTGCTTTCAGCCAACGCAAGTAGGTACTTCGAAGGCTATGTCCCACCACCCAGGACTTGATGCACCGCTTCAGTAAGCCCATTTACAGCTGTGCCGATTCTCACCAACGCTGAGATGTCTTTCGTCCGGCAGAAACTGGACACGAGCCACGACAACGGCGGTGGACTTGGCAATACGACACGAGCAGCACGGAGCCAGCGACGATATGCGCCCACCTTGTCCGTTCCTGACGACAGCCTCCCCAGTTGAGCTTCTGATGCACGAAGGAGCTGGCTCTGGAGACTCGGATCTCAAACAAGGTATCTTCGCAACCTCACCGTACACATCGCTCATCCGCAGCCGCATTTGGTTAGCCGTGGTAGGGTTGGACCATAACCCCTGCGTACATACTCCTCCTCGATCCCTGGCAGACGAGAGTCCGATACTCCAACTTGCGAAGGAGACCGGCGGCCTTGCGATTCTTGCAAGCTTCTCCGATCGCAAGGAACAGCTATATGAGCTGTACACGCTGACCATCTGCGCGGCTCATTGAGTATACGAGGCCTCCATCATAGCCACGGGCCACTGATTAGCCTTCTTACCGAATTAGACAATCCTTAGCAACAGTTCGTGTCGGCTCTACCATCTCTGCTTGATCGAAAATAGCTATCCTAAGGGCGGTAACAAAGTTAACAAAGCAGATGACGATGAACTTGATCAAGCCCATTCACCTCTCCACCTAGTCTGAGGTACGCGGAGAGGGTCACTGTGGAGGCCTGGACTGTCTCACACTTCGACCCTCGCAAGGAGATGATAGAGAAGACATCTGCTCGTGGGCCACTATTATCGGAACATGTTTCTTTGGCCGGCAGGACCCCGGTCAGATAGATCGCTTAGTGAGATAATGCTATCCTGGAAACAGGCGCCGCCTGTAGAGGAAACCCCGGCCTGGACGCATACTCGGGTTCGTCGTGTGCGTTCATGTCTGAGATACTACAAGCTGAATGGTTTCGAAATGTTTTTGGTATATCCTCCTACATGTTCGCTCCTAGGCCGCTTTCTTCGTTACGGCGACCGACTTTCACTTGATGAGCCCTTTGACTGTTGTCGCGATCGTTTTTGAGTTCACACACTTCTTTGAGGCGCGCTCTATCACGAAGAAGTATCGACAGCTGTCAAAGAGCACAGGAATCGGCGAAAGTAGGTCAGGGTCAGTGACCGTCCGACATCTATTACATTCCTTTCAGAGCAGACTTTTCCATCCATCACTCATCGAGCTAGACCTACAACTGTGTAGGGTAGTCAAGAGTCTCAATCTTCTCCGGGTACACAAGCCCACCCTGCTTCCGCACCTCATCCATGACCTCCATAATCAAGACACTCTCATCAAGGCCAAGGAAGCGACCCTCTTTCCTGCCGTTGATAATAGCATCTGCCGCCTCGTCGGCTTCCCAGAACATGCCCTGGCCCTCGCCTTCTGATTGCAGTGAGCCACCGAAGCCATTGTACCAGCCGCTTCCCTTACCTGGGCCCGGAATGGGGAATTCTTTCGACTCAACCTTACCGTCTGAACCGATGATCTTGGTGGAGAGGGGACGGAAGGAGTGACCGAAAACCTGGATCTCGCCCTTGGGCCCTTGTATGCGGACAAAGGGTTGGTCCATGTTGCCTCCGGGCGCTGTGGCGACGCGAAGCGAGGTTGTGGCTACGGCGTGAACCTCGCCGCCTTGCTCTTTTGAACGTGGGAATTGCAGGATCACAGTGCTGTGCTCATCGGCCTTGCCAGTTGGCTCGTAGTTCTTGACAAAAGCCTGGAGCTTGGGTGCCTGGCGCGAGTTCTCGGGCTGGGTGTGGTAGATGGTCTGGAAGACCCAGGTAAGGGCATAGATCCCGAGATCGAGCAGGGCGCCACCAGCCAGGTCCGGGTTGACCATGCGGTGCTTGCCGTCTGGGAAGTTGTTCTCGGGGTCGAGTGCCATGCTATTGTCCGAGATAACGCGTGTGATGGGTCCGATGCGACCAGAGGTGATTTGCTCACGAACATAGACGGAGAGCGGGAAGTAGCGCGTCCATACAGCCTCCATCAAGAAGAGGTTCTTGGACCTTGCGACCTCGGCCAGCTTGCGCGCCTGGGCGGCATTGACAGTAAAAGCCTTCTCGCAAAGCACGTTCTTGCCGGCCTCCAAGCAGAGCATAGCATTCTGGTAGTGGTGCGAGTGTGGTGTAGCAATGTATACGACGTCGATGTCTGGGTTCTTTACGAACTCCTCGTAGGAGCCATATGCCTTCGCTTCAGAGGGTGCGCCGACCTCCTTCAAGAAGTCTTTGGCGCGCGATTCGGAGGACGAGGAGGCGGCAGCGACGACCGTGTGCTTTAGGTGTTTAACGCCACGTGTAGTAGGGTCGCAGAGGAGATCCTTGGTACTGTCTATCTATTAGTAAACAGCTTCCGCGGGGTGTAGCGCGGGGTAGTTACAAGGTGACGGCGATGCCTCCAGTAGCGAGGATGCCCCAACGGACGGTCTTTGGTGATGACATGGTGTAGATAGACGTAGTAGTCTTTCGTTAGATTGAAGGTGAGATTGTGGGTTCAACAAAGAGAAGCACTTGGCGGCATCAGGCGATTGACTTTGTAGCTGGAGCTGCAGAGCTCCAACGTCATGACGCCCACCGAACTTCGGGCAAAGCGCCGCATCTCAACCCCACTCTTGCCCCTCCATCGTCTTGCCGGTGCCTAAAGGAGCAGACGGCCCGCGTTGCAATATGTGGCGGACTTAAGATGCGATTGCCGTGTGTTGGGAAGTTGATGAGTAAGGAGTGGGCTTGAAGATGTTGGACGGACGCGTCTCGCCAGAGCTGATGCCAAGCCTCCCAGCCTCCCCCCTCTCCATCTCCATACTACGAACATCGAAAGCATGTCTTCACATTACTTTCCGGGCGCAAAGTTCGAAACAGCCGCCATCTGGATCAGGGCCTAAAGGTGACCACATTGATCCATAGGAACCTGGTAGCGTTATGTCCGCATCTTTGTACCAGAACATTCATCAAACCGATAGACATACTCGTATACGCAGAGACGATACCAGTGCCGACAAGCGTGTCATGGCCGCACCATGGCTAGATGTCACGATCCTATTCGATAGATATGTCATGAGCGCGTTTGCACAAAGCTCATACCATAGTACGTTTTAGATATATCTGAAGACGAGCTCATGGGTCTTGTTGTCCATAGTAAAGGCATAGGCTGGTTGGTCCATAATGCGAGTTACAGCTTCGCCTTGCTACTGTTCTTGACACTTTCATGATATCGGTCCCGCATCTCTCTTCTCAGCATCTTACCCGAAGGGGTTCTGGGAATCTGGAAAGGTCGTTAGCATCAGCGGTCCATGTTGTGTGAGTACTCACCGATTCTACAACTTCAATACCACCAGTCAGCCACTTGTGTCGACTCAGACGTCCCTCTACCCACTGATTTAGCTTCTTTGATACTGCTTCTTCTCCTTGTTTCTGGCCCTCAGCAGTAAGCACAACCCACGCCCGGACGAACAGAGAGCCATCGCCGCGGCCGTTATCAACACCCGCTACACATGCATCGCGTACAAGTCCCTCTGGATGGTCGAGCAGCGTATCTTCAACTTCTGTAGCGGCAACCTGTAGACCTTTGACTTTGATCATCTCCTTCAGGCGATCGAGGTAGTGGATACGGTCACGCTCGTCGCGCATCACAAGATCGCCAGTGCGTAACCAGCCAGGCTCAGTGAAAATTTCCGCAGTAGCTTTCGGATCCCTGAAATATCCAGGGGTGACGACTGCTCCGCGCGCCCAGAGCTCGCCCTTCTCGCCTTTGGGCACATTGTTGAGTGTCTCAGGGTCTACAACCCGAGCCTGCATACCCGGTAACAGATATCCGATCATGCCGGGTAGTGCGGGCTCTAATCCAAATATGCCATGCGCAGCCGGGCTCGCGATACTGGCTGCTTCGCTCAGGCCATAACCACTTGGCACCGGCATCCCCGCGCCTTGAGGCAGCTTCTTGGCTAGTTGGTATGCGACATCTGGTGGCAGATATGCAGCGCCGCTCGACGCGCCGATCACGGAGCTCAGGTCGTACTTTTCAGTCAATGGACTCTGGGCGAGTTGGCGAACCAGAGGTGGCACCAGTGGAAGATGTGTGATCTTGTACTTTTGTATGCTCTTCAGTGCGAGCTCAAGGTTCCATTTCGGAAGCATAATACTGGTCTGTCTGATCATGTTGACGCGAAGGATCCAGATGATCATACCATACGAGTGATACATTGGTATGACGCCGAGCATAGTAACGGGTGTCAACGGTTCGTCTCCTGCAAAGCGCGCGGCCTGCGTAGCAGTAATAAGCGTCTGCATTCCAGAGTGGTAACCATTACTGTGTGTGATCATCATTGCCTTTGGTAGACCCGAAGTTCCTGAGGACTGGAATAGATATGCCATTCGGTTTCCCCCAAGCAGCTTCCGCGGCTGCTCTGGCAGCTTTGAACCTTCCCTTACGAGGGACTCGATCGTACGATATCCCGACACGGTATCTAGCTGAGAATTGTCGCTAAGTACGATGACTTTGTGAGGATTCAACTTGAGCTTGAGGGGTAGATTGTCGCCTTCACCGGTCCCTAGCTTGAGCGCTTCTCTCAAGACTGGAAGTAGTGTCTCATGGCACATGATGCTAGTAATTTGCATCTTCCTGAGCACCCACCATAGCTCATACGGTGTACTTGCCGGACTGATACCCCCGAAGACCAACTCTGATCGAAAGCATGCGTGCGCTACCATCGGATAGTGCAGGTGGTTTCGCGAGAATAGCGCTAGGATCTCGCCATCTTCCTTGTCGTCCATGGGACTCTTATCTAAACCCAATGGGTTTGGTCCGTCATACCGGAAGACACGCGCCAATGCACATACTCGAGCATAGAAGCTGTGGAGTGTGACGACCTCTTCTGTTACAGCGTTGATGAATAGAGGGTAGTCTTCGGGCAATGGATTGTTCGACGGAAAGCAGAGTTCGTGAATGTTGAGATCATCTGGTGTCGGTGGAAATGGTCCATATGGTGACGAAAAGACAGCGTCGTTGTGAGTTCGATATGTGTTTTTGGCGGGATCTGGAGCGTCAGGGCCTAGGTATCTGGACCAGTGAGGTTTGAAGATGTCGTATGTCATATCGAGATTTGAATGAAATAGTCTTGCTGAGTATTATTGATTTCCTGCAAGATATTGAGACATGGGCGCGACTACACAAAAGTGGCCCGCCAATGTTGCGTTTCTGTGGCCCGTATGGGCTTCCGAGGTGTACTGCGCGCCCCGCGTTCTCTCCACATTTGATCCTGACATCGCGTACGCGAGTAAGCCCAGAAACGCCACATTATAGCCTTTCGCGTGGGGCAATGCTGTGTGATGAACTGAAAGGGATGCTCTGATGTAGAGTGTTGGCATCTTAAGGAATGAGATGACCAGAGACCGAGATGTCAGGCGGCGCTGCTGCGGTGGAACCACTTCCGTGGAGTCATTCCCTCTCCAACCTTCAGCGACAGCGGCAGTCAACATCACAGATCCAGGCGCATACCACACAGTTTAACGATATTTCGACAACGCAGTAGCCTGCCGCGTGGTGCTGTCATCTCTGCAGAGGTCTGATATGAGCTGGCATTAGACGCGTGACTTACTTAGCCATGTGGCTGCAGCTGTCGGACCCAACTTCACGTCTAGCCCAAATTGGATATTGCAAGTTTCAGCTGACGGCGCGCCAGATTCGAGGATTCAGCCAATGCGATATCTCTACAACTTCTTGACGCGTCTTGATCGAGTAGATCAAGACCGCAGAAAGATTATGGGCCGCCTGGCACATCTGTTAGCTCTCCACGCCCGCATACAGGCGCGCGGGTACACACAGCTGGAAACCTCGCGTATGTACGAGCCCCCTGATGCAACTAGAGATCGTCGCGCTTGAGTCTCAGCCTTCTCAGCCCTCAGCCCCCAACATCGCCTTGCAGCCTGCCCATCTATAAATCCATCTCGCCACCCTCTCTGGCATGGTTGCGCGTTGTCAGTATCCATAGCAATCATGTCTACTTACTCCGACAACAGCAATGGCAAACCTTTCAAGAGAGGCACGATTCCCGCGCTTTGGTCTGCGAAACATATTCCGCACAGCGCAGACTTCCCTGATCCGTACGAATTGATTGGAGATGCATACGAGAGGATACCAGTCGCAGACGAGTGGGAATTACCGGATCCGTAAGTTCATAGCATCCACGTAGTCTTCCAGGCCAGGACTTACATAACGCAGCAACAGCAAGAGTCGGCCGTACTTGGCGCATATCAAATCGCTGTCGACTTCGTGGAGGACTTTGCGACATCTAGCAGACTGGATGCAGGTTAGCACTACCCCACTACGCTGGAATGAGATCAAAGAGCACCCAGAGGAGCGCGAGAATCGTGCGAATAAGACGAACGTCACCTTCGTCGAGTATCGTCCTGCCACTGCACCAAAAGCTACAGCGATTAAATCGCCTGCCTTGCTTCAAGAAACTCTTCAAGCTTTGTCGCATGAGCATACGAGAGAGCCTCCCCTGCGCCTTTTTATAGTAGAAGACCTGTCTCGACAAGTCATTGAGCTGCTGGGAGCGCGTTTCGATATAGATCCATTGTTCTTTCGAGAGCAGATCGATGACTACGTGTGGCACAACACTCGTGACCCCTGGGCGTCACCACCCAGCCTAGTCTCAAGCATGAGGCACCGGCCCTGGTTCAGGATGCGCAATATGAGGTTGCGATACCACAAAACAGAAGAGGACTACTTCAACTCGAGGCTGGAAGCAAACTCTTGGAACGTGCTCAGACGGCCTGACAACGATGAGAACCATTGGCACTACCAAGATGGAAAAGGAGCAGTCGTGTCCATTATGCGCACGCGTACCTCTATGTGGATCGGCAAGGACAAGAAGTGCGGTAATGGAACTGTCGGTATCGTCTTGCTGGATCCAACTGTTAGTCAAGGCCGGCCACTCTGTGAGTACTAACAACATGATAGTGACCGAAGTCCCGGGCTTTTACTGACACTGTAAAGGGTATGATCGTAGTAACTGGTTGCCAACTCCAAAGATGGACACCAAAGTCTACCCATCAATCAAGTCTTCAGTATCCTGGTTCGAAGACATTGTCCAAATGACGACTGCCTTCCCGTGGTTTGAGCGGAAAGACGGAAATGAAATCAACGCACAAGTGCTCGCCAAACCAACTATATACACCATCTGCGCAGAGTGGCTCATAGTATGCGACTATGTAAGAGCTCGTCTCAGCCAGATAGAGTGGGAACTCGAGATGCCACGCCTCTTCCGCTCGAAAGGTGATGCCATTGACACTTCGCTCAAGCGTCTGCATACCTGGCGTCGGCAAATTCCAGTGTTTCGGGAGATGATAACGGAGACGTTAGAACATGCGCTTCCCGCTGCAGCGCGGCTTACTACCCCTTCTACTCAGTCCTCCGATGCGCCCACATCACCTCTCTCCGTACCCTCGCTCTTTTCCGACAATCTGACTATAAATTACGACAACGTAGAAGGGTTTGAGGACATAGTACCTGACTTCAAACGCGTCCTTGCCGCTGTCAACGAACTGCAGGAGCGAGTCGACCGCCTGACTAGTATTGTTACATCAGAAATCTCCATCGAAGATTCGCGTCGCGGGCTTGAGGAGAACCATAACATGGCGAGAATCACATGGCTGGCGACCATCTTCATCCCGTTGACGTTCATATCTGGGCTGTATAGCATGAACGAGAGTGTTTCAGCGTTGAAGACGACGTATGGTTGGTACTTCCTGACGGCCGTGCCGTTCACGTTGATCGTCATGGCAATCGGCTGGGTGGCTGGAGGCGGCAGCCTGACACCATGGAAGAAGGATACTACGAAGCAAAAGGGCATGATTGGGGGAAGAGACAACAAAAAAGCCAAGTGACTAAGAGGTAGCGCACTCTGCTCTATCACAGTGTCTTGGAGGGCAGACTTCTCTGCGTTCAGACGACGTACAAATATAGTATTGCTATCAGCTTCGGCTCTCTACCACCACCAAGGTCATTTCTGGCTATCTGTTTCTCTCAACTATAACGTGAATGTGAAACTAGGGTGCTGATGGCCAAGTCTATCGGCATCCGCTCGCAGTAGTCTATCATCCCGTTCACCTCTCTCTCGCTTTCTATTTTCCCAGCCTAGGTACCAGCACTGTGTAGCGGCGAGTACGATCGTTACTACCAATGCACCAAGGCTTACAGAATGGCCTAGAACATATCTCGGCGCATCGCGCTGAAGATAGATGAACGTGCCAATAAAAGCTGAGCAGTTTGCAATTGAGATTACCATACCAATTCCGACTGCGCGGACATAGTGAGGCGCAAGATTGTTGGACGCCCATCCCTGATGACAGATGAGCAAAGTAAGCATTTCGGTTCGCAAGCGAAGCTTACCATGAGCATGGGCGAACCCTGGAAGACACCAATTGCGACCAGGAACGTCCCAGCGTACCGCACGGCATTCGTCTTCGCCACTATCAACATAACGTAACCGCATATCCCTAACACGCAGCCTCCTATGATGAAATAGCCGCGATTCTTCAACTTGTCGGAGGCGTACGCCGTGCCAATGACCGTGATGAAAGCAACCATGTTAGGTGGTACCGTGAAGAGCTGCGCGGTGGTGCTTTGATAGCCCATGCCGGCAATGATACTAGGCAGGAAGAGCGAGAAGCTCTGTCAAGCTTTAGTGTAGTCCCCAGCGTTTGAGATCTCAAAGAAGCTTACATATAGTGGAACCAATAAGAAGAACCAGATGAAAGCAGAAAGGTACGTCTGCGGGGCTTTGAGTGCCATCTTGACCCAATACCAACTAAACTTTTCGTCGTCGACATCGACTTCGGTGGATCCTCCTGCGTCAAGCCTCATGCGTCGCAATGCCCACTCCTTCTCTTCATCACTCAAGAATCCTGCTGCGGCAGGAGTATCCGGCATGAAGAAGAAGCATATGATGCCGAACACAACAGTTATAGCGCCCTCGACTGAGATCATGTCAGCGCAACACCTCCACAAGGTGAAAGATTAGCGAGAACTTACTAAAAAAGATCCAAGGCCATCTTCGATACCCCCCAACCTCGATGGTTGCCAGTCCCGAAGCGAGCAGTCCACCAAAAGCCCCAGATAGAGGCGCGGCGCAATAAAAGAGACCGCTTCTCAGCAGCATCTCGCCTCGCCTGTAGAACATGGCAAGGTAGATGATCACGCCACCGAGAATCCCTCCTTCACATAATCCCAGCAACAGTCTACATGCCACCAGCCCAGCAAATGACTGCACGAAGCCCATGAACGTACAGACTAGACCCCATGCTGTGATCAGAGCTGGTAGGTATATCCCAGCGCGCAAACGCTTAACGAGTAGGTTTGAAGGTACGTCGACTAGGATGTACGGGATGTAGAATACTAGGAGGGCGATGTTAAATCGTGTACCGGTTGTGATGTTAAGTTCGTCAGACAGGCCGGCTATCCTTGCGTTGCCGATGTTGCTGCGGTCTATAAACGAGAAGAGCCTACATTTCTCACTCAGCAAAGCCCTTGGAGTAGTGTGAAGTAGCAAAATACCATATCCCGAACAACCAAGGCAAAATACGAAGGTCAAATTTGCGGTTCAGACGCTTGTCTAGGGCTAGATCGATGGTCTCGTCAAGCGGAGTCGCTTTTTCGATACGTTCAGTGTCTGTTTCCTTGGGCTTATCCATTGTGGCTGGTTGGCAGAATTGTCACGGTAGAACGCGCTTTCACAACAGCAACAGGAGAATGCGAACAGAAAATGCAATACAGATTAACAACTTCGAAAGATCCAGCTAGTGCAACGCCCACGTCCAAGCAACTGTACATTTTCCCGAACCAATGCTTGCAGGCTAATGTCTCTCCACATTGCGGGGAAGTTTCGAAGGATCAGCAATGTTGCGGGGATGTCTCCTAAGAACATGCCGAGCTATTGAGAAAGGCTTGTCGAGCAGTGAGCTTCTCGCCACATGTCTTGTGCAAGGGCGATGTGACGGGTAATGTTTCCCCGAGCACAGCTCAAGTGTGAATGAGAAGAGAAGCTGCGCGGCTGGTAAGCGAGATGTCAAGAAATGTGGCTGATGATGGCCCGAAACACGTGCCGGTAGCGCGCCGTTGCCGCCACCTATGTCGTCATGAACGCCCAGAATCCTCTGGCCAAAATTATGCTCGGCAAATCAACAAGACGGTAGAAAATCTCTCCCACTATAGCGACGAGCGGTGCGCAGACCAAGAAGCAGACAAAAGTGCTCAGAGAATCTTTCATGCCGGCGTCGGCCATGTGCGTGTACAACTTGATACCGGCGGTGTAGATGAGTATGGATTGGACGAGGAAGTAGCCTAGGATGTGTAAGTAATTGTTCAGAAAACTGATTGAAGGGTTGCGACTTACTAAAGCTCCTCTTGCCTAGCGAGACGAAGAAGCCTCCGCGGAGGATAGCTCGAGGCAATTCGAACGTCTCAATCAGAAGCATCGACCCGAGGATGATGAGGTAGTTGTCAACCCTCGCCATGGGCTGGTCTAGATCTATGTTCTCGTTCAGAAATCCGTCATCGTACAGCGCGGTGTGGCCCCATAGCTCGTTGTCGCGCATGTCTGTTTTCCCGGAGATGAAGACGAACTGCAGTACAACACCGGTAAGGACCATCGCGGCGTAAAGTGGCCAGACTGGGATACCGAAGTTGCCGATCTTGAATCCTCGTTGGGACCGGGTCTTGAAGTCCATGTTGAGGACCGCATCAGCAATGATTAGGCCGGTAATGCTGTACCAGGCCCAGCTCTGCACCCAGAACGCTGCTACGATGAAAGCTAGCATAGCCTTTACTCGCCATGAGGTGCGTGTATTCGGAACAATGACCATGGTGATGTAGACGGTATAGCTTTGCTGGAAGAGCACGGAAACTATCCAAAGCGTACCAGATGGGAAGACATCGTTGGCGGCTTGACTAGCGTAACGCTTGTTGACCCAGAAAATCTCAAAAAGGGAGTTGAAGTAAACCAAGAAGTTCTGGATCCGCATCGGCGCGATGGTGGAGATGTTGCCAGTAGAGGCCAAGAAGTCAGAGATGTAGTCGGTCGAGGTTGTGCTGAATGCCGCTGCCGCAAAAGAGTAGGCGATGAAAGTCGGAATCCATAATCTGATGCCACGGCGGAAGACACTCGATGCGCCGACCTCACGCGTCTTGTTGGCGAGGTAAGGTAAGCAGATAGTTCGCGCAGAGAGGAAGATAATCCATGAGTAGATCAATGCCTCGTTGGCAAAGATTACTGAAAATGACTTTCGAAGTGCGACCTGGTACGCCGGGCCATCGACATTCTTCGAGTCTGGAAGGGCGGCTGGGAGAAAGGTCTGGAAGAATACGTAGAGAAATGATTGGAATACAAGCAGGCCACGAAGCCCAATGAGGTAGTTCTGGTCAGCTGACAGGGTTGTCGTTCCTTGCTCGGTCGACGACGAGGGGAAGATAGCCTTGAGTTTGGATGAAAGGGTAGGCTCCATTGTTGCAGACATCTTGTTCGATACCGCGGTAAAGATGAGGATCTCGGTGATAAAGAGGAAGAGCAGCTTACAAACAAGGCAATTTACCCTCGACTTCTGATTCCACACAGACAACAAAACCAGCACGACCCTTGGCGACTACTTGCAGCAGTAGCACCACGTCCCGTACCAAAGACCCCCCGTGGGAGACCCGAGATCAGCACCTTGGCCACCAGAACAACCACGTAACTAAAGGCGACTTTTCTTTCCGTGACTAGCACAGCATCTGCCTACCGAGCACGGGAAGCGTTGAGCTTAGTTGCAACGCAAGCTTCCGAGCACAATTCATGCGCATGCATGCCAAGAGTCAGCTATACTTTTTGTGGCGTTCTCTACGTCCCGCTGAGCAGTTGTTCGATAAGCGTTGACTCTAGTTGAGGCTGGCAGCGGGTAACATTGGCGGCATACAATAGTTCGCATTTCCCGACAGCCGGACCACTTACACGAAGCGGGCGGCTGTTGATCGTTATCTTGATCTCGGATGTTGAAATGTCGGCCTGCCGACTTGTAACGTTGCCGTCTTCATCATACACATCCCAGACGCACGTCGTGACGTGCTGGATGAAAAGCACCCTAATCCCTCAACACCCAGGTACCGCCAGGCCACGGCCTTCCTCAGAACCTTCCACGTGTGGCGCATGGGGCAGCCCTACTTGGGCATCTTCACCTGTCAGTGACCGCCATGTCAACTGCGGCCGTCCGTGCACAGTGATTTTCATACCGAACATCCGTGCGATAGGCCACGAAGGGTCGTGAAATCCGCACGTTTTCCAAAAACTGAGGGGCTGACTCGTGTGCTCACACCAAAAAAGGAAAGTCCGCGTTCCGGAGAGCAAAAATCCGCTGAAACAGACCTGACTTACCGAAGATAACGCCGTGTCGAATTTTTCTGCGAAGTTTGCGGATGGTTCCGCCGGGCTACGATGTTGTGCTACCCGCCAGTTGTAGTATGGTAGGTAGCATCCCACGCGGCCTAGGGAACGCAGACTTGCGAAGTGGATCTACGCGCTAGTGAGCGCGTGTCGATCGCCCGCATAGTCGACTTGTAATGTCCCGGCCACCCCTGGTGCTGTTGATTATTTCCTTTTTGATATCGTTAGGCCGATGCTTTCTGGCAACGCATCAGGGAGCAGGGTCTGTTTCAGTAAAGCGCTGTCCTTCGGCCCTGCTTCATGGTAAGATTTTACTTATCTTTGAGTTTACCTTCCTTGATAGACTGTGCGTGACAGATCGGAAATCGTATCGCCGACGTGAGTCGCCCGGGATAAGGCTGATGCTCTGCGTTCCGCTGTGATGCCGCGCGTTATCTCATGAATCGAGTTTCAAATGTTGACCACTCATGAGCCAGAACAACAGAGTCAATGGATGAACAACGATCATTGGTAAATGAGAAGAGCGCATCATTTCTCGAAGAACCTTGTTCGCGACAACGGTCATCACGTCAAGATGTGTAGAAACGATATGTAGTAATAGTGATTATAATGTAATTAATCGGGTATTATGTACTGATGCATGACTCATGAGAGCTTCAGCCGCCACTGATGGCTTGCGGGCTTCATCCCGAACTAGACTAGAGCATTCAAAGCCTTGTGCCCTTTCCCTAAGATATCGACAATAAAGAAAATTAAGAAGATAATATGATATGGCCCTACTTCCTAGCTGTTGGGTTCCAGGAGCTGTACTTGACAAGCTGGCGAGCGTGGCCGTAAAGACCGATTGTGGCGTTGAGAACCAAGTAAAACGGGTACAGAACGGAGAAGAGAATGATCATCCTTCTGGAGATGTACTCGGATTTGACCTGGTTGGTGATCCAAAGCGTAGCAATCAAGCAGACAATACTGTGACACGACACCGTTAGCGAGGTACAAGACTACGTCGAGGACTGTACGAACCTGATAATGAAAAGCCACTGTGACACGGGGTACTGGAAATAGACCAGCCTCCAGAGCTCCTCCCCGGACGTCGGAAACTTGACGATAACGAATGATGCGACTAAACACGTGTACTGTGTGACGAGATAGTACGAGGACTCGCGGATAAGTAATAGCGACAAGACACCGAAGCGAGCAGTGAAGCTGCGCTTGGCGTGCTCTTCGTGCAACGGATCCTTGACGCCATTCCAAACCATCTTCATGTGTCGCATACTCGCTTGAGCCCAACCTTGAGCCCACCGAAGACGTTGCTTCCAGAATGCGCCAAAGGTTGTGGGGGCCAGCTCGTAGGAAGTTACGTTGAGATCGTGAACAGTCTTGGCACCTTTGGAGAATGCGCGGAGAGCAGAGTCGATGTCTTCAGTAAGCATGGTGTCGTCCATCTTCAGGTTGCGAAGAAGAGACGTGCGCCAGTAACCGTTCGATCCACAGAATAGACCAAATCCCCACATAGTGGAACGACCAGGATGGGAGACAGCGTAAATCTTGTCGAACTCGACTGCAATCATGTTGGTCATGAAGCTGTCGTCGGAGTTGAAGATAATGCAGCGGCCTTGAACGATGTCAACATCCTTCTCGGCAACAAATCGTTCAGCAGCCCATCGGGGTGAGTTGGGGTGAGGGTAGTGGTCGCAATCGTAGATGGCGATGATGTCAGATCCAGTGTCCAGCGTGAAGTAATAGTTGAGGTTGTCCGCCTTGGAAGTCGAGTTGGGCACCTTGATGACCCTTGCATGTGGGAAGCGCAGAGGAAGTTGGTGCAGCTCAGTCTCCAGTGGCTCGATTGGCTTGGGGGTATTGTAGAGGATGACGATACGGATCTTGTCGGAAGGGTAGTCGAGCTGTTCAAGCGCATAAAGAGCGCGATCCATGATGATGTCCTGCTCATTGGGTAGGTAGGCAACGATAAGAAGATCGAGGATGGGTAGCTTGTGGTGTGGCGTGGGGAACAACCACTGCTTCTCCTGCGCTTGTGTGACGATGGCTCTGGCCTCGCGGCATGGTGTGATACTGAAGAAGGCCTCCAAGACAGTTGTGCCGGCAATGTAGAAGTTGGTGCACATGTATATGAACCAGAAGATGGCAATCAGCCCGTTGCTGCAGTACATGTAGAGGCATACCGAGAAGACGTAGTAGGAGGCGACCAGACCGAAGGGCGTCCACTCAGAGATCCAGGACGATGTCCGCCCGATCGTCTCAGTAGCGATGGAAGGATTCTTGGTGACCGACTTTTCGTTGGCCGCGGGGGAGGTGACCTCCCCGACCTCAATTACGCAGTCCTTCGTGGTGTCAGACATCTTGAAACGAGTGTATGATGCGACCGTAACGATGGAAGAGGCAGTCAAAGCGAATGGTGACTATGATGGAGGGGGTGAGACTACGGACAAGGAGCGGATACAGAACATATATTCGGCCCTTGATGGCACAATTGCTTAGTGCGTATAGTAAACACCGTAGCCGACACGCAGCGGCTGTAGAAGGGGCAAAACCGCCGGAGGGTTCATGTCGAAACCGTGATTACCGCCCGTGGGAGCTGGTCTCCATGCAAGCTTCGTGCTCAACTGAGATCAGCATTACCTAGCATCAACAGCGCCAAGTTGTGATAATGAGATTGGAGTGGGTCGGCCCTGCACGTTGGCCATGTCGACCCCGGTACAGCTCTACAGGTCGGGAATGGTGAATATGCCAAGTCACATGTCAAACCCACGTCCACAAGTCTGACGGGCCAACCAGGTGCTTTTTGCCAGTTGACCGCAGTTTGGTCAACGTCAACGAACATGCAGAATCGGGCGGGTTGGGGAAGGAACATCGGAGGGACACATGCCAGCCGCTATCTTGCGGTGCATCTTCCTGGCATCCGGTGTCCATGGTGGCACTCAACCTGCAGAAGCTGAGAGACGAGACACTGCACTGGGTATTGATACGACAATGGGTTCCCGCAGCGGCGTGCTGAGCGCATGAAGCACGGCTGGAACGGAGCAGTGTGATGCGGACCCTTGTCGCCTTCCGGAAACGACTGATATCGGTCGATGCTGGCAACGAAGATCAATGATCGAAACTGGGATGGTGATGAAGTTTCGTCGGGTTTGTTGAGGCAGAACGAGCGCGGGATGCATTGGGAGGAAACGTCTGTGCTAGCGTCGATGCACGGGCAGGAGTGCGGCGCACGTTTCCGACCCACCGACAGCGCGGGCACGGCATCTTCCTCAACCTTCTCTTCTGCACGTCCTACGGCGGCTAGTCAGCCCCATGCCACGACGCCCATTCTGCTTGCTATCAAGTAAGGGCCTGCCAAGGAAAGCTTGCATACCTTTTTTGGCCTTGTTGCAGGGCCGCGCGCTCCCCGCTGAGGCAACGCTCCGATCATGACCCTCATGAAGCAGGCCAAGACTTTGGTCCAAGATAGGGGACTTTGCAAGGCCGTCAACCTGATGCCAGTGCTGATCGGAGAAGCAAGGCGGCTCCTCCCCGTCCGGAGAGCAGTGTTGCAAGCTTAGGCCGGGGTCTTTACACAGGCCTTGCACAGCTAGCTGCATGCATATGTCGCAGACAAATACTGCCTTTCTGACTTGAGCAGCGGATCTGTCCCTGTTTCTGTTCAGTCACACTCTCTCTCATCAGCATGTTTTCCTCTCATTTGCTCGGTCTTGCCCTTGTGCATATCTTGCCTGTGCTTGCTGATGTCACGCGTGGGCAGGACAATTGTACCTGCGGTTTCTACGACACCCAGACATCAGAGCTCTTTACTGACTCCATCATCGTGTACTTCAACGAAACTACCCAATTACCGATCGACTTCATCGCCGAAGACTTTGCCCAGAAGTATGCAAAGGATTGGGTGCGTCTACCGTGAATGTGCCTCAAATTCAATCGCTAATGCCTCCCAGAATGCTGTTTATCGCGAAGGCGCCTCTCCCGATAATCTCAGATTCAACAACGACTCTCTTCAGCTTGTTGTGGAACCTTCGACTGCCGACCATCTCGTTCGAGGCGCTAGTCTGCGGACAAAGCGACGCGACATCCAGCATGGCTCTTTCCGCACTCTACTCAAGTCTGCAGACATGGATTCTGCGGGCACGGCGGCATCCATGATGTGGAAGTACAATGAGACCGAGATTACCGAGCTCAGTGTCATGAACATGAACAACCAACGAGACCCATGGGTAGGAACCTTTGTCAACAACGAATTCACTACGCGCAACCTCGGAATGAACTACAGCCAGCTTCTCAACAGCACGGCTGCAAACCGTAACTATACTACCCTTGGTGGTGGCCTCAGCAATGGCAGCATCAACCCAT